CTACACTGTGTGGTTGGAGCGGTTACCTGGCCTATAGAGACCAAGGTGAAGCAGGCCAACGGTGAGACCCCCCCACCTCGTGGGTGCCCAGATAATCGTCTGTTTGTCCCTATTAATCTGCGCCCACAGGTGATCCACTGGGCTCACTCGTCTTTGCTCACCTGCCATCCGGGCGTACGTCGGACCATGTTCGCCATCACGCAGAGGTTCTGGTGGCCGTCCATGGAGCCGGAGGTCAGGGAGTACGTTGAGGCATGCTCCGTCTGCGCCAGGAACAAGAACTCCTCCAGAGCCCGCGCAGGCTTGCTACAGCCGCTGCCCATCCCGTCCCGGCCGTGGGCAGAGATCTCGATGGATTTTGTCACGGGGCTACCGACCTCCAAGGGGAACACCACGGTGTTGACCGTGGTGGATAGATTTTCAAAGATGGCACACTTCCTAGCCCTACCCAAGCTGCCCACCGCTAAAGAGACCGCTATCTGCATGATGAACAACGTGTTTAGGATCCACGGGTTCCCCAGAGACATTGTGTCCGATAGGGGGCCCCAGTTTGTCTCGCGGTTCTGGCAGGAGTTCTGTAAGCTCATCGGAGCCACAGCTAGCCTCACATCGGGGTACCATCCCGAGGCCAACGGACAGACGGAGCGCCTCAATCAACAACTGGAAACCAGCCTCCGGTGCCTGGTGGCCCAGAACCCTGCGTCATGGAGCGAACACCTGACGTGGGTAGAGTACGCCCATAACTCCCTTCCCACCTCCGCCACTGGCATGTCTCCCTTCCATTGCGTTTTTGGTTACCAACCCCCTGTGTTTTCCGAGTCCGAACCAGAGGTGTCTGTGCCCTCCGCCCAGGCCTTGGTCCGCCGCTGCCGCCGCATCTGGGCAGCGGCACGCCAGACGCTAATCAGACAAGGGGACAGAGTGAAGAAAGCAGCGGACCGCAGGAGAAGACCGGCTCCAGTGTACCAGCCCGGCCAGCGAGTATGGCTCTCAGCCAAGGACCTACCCTTGCAGGTCGAATCACGAAAGCTGGCCCCTCGCTTTGTCGGCCCGTTCCCCATCTCGAGGATTATCAATCCAGCAGCTGTGCGCCTCCGTCTGCCCCGGTCCCTGAGGGTACACCCAACTTTTCATGTCAGCAAAATCAAACCAGCGAAGGAGAGCGCAATGGTGCCAAACCCCAAGCCACCCCCACCCCCTCGAATGGTCGAGGGGGGGCCGGTCTACACGGTGAGGAAACTGCTGGCGGTACGTAAGCGGGGACGGGGCAGGCAGTTCCTCGTGGACTGGGAGGGCTACGGCCCAGAGGAACGACAATGGGTCTCGTCTAGCTTCATAGTGGACCCGGATCTCATTCGAGATTTTTATAGAGCACACCCGGACATTCCAAGGCCGCCTGGTATTCGGCCTTGAGGGGGGGGTAATGTCACACCTGTATGTCAAGTTGCGTTTTTGTCCTGTCTCCAGTTGTTTTTTGACTTCCTGTTTTATTTTGGAAACTAACTCCCTCTCGTTTCAGGTCCCTTGCCCTTCCTCATGTGTCACCAGTCTGATTGTCTCCCCTGATTCCTGATTGTGTCCACCTGTTCCCACAACTCCCTCATGGGTACTTATAGTCTGCGTCGCCCCTTGTCCTGTGCCAGTGTGTCTTGTTGTTTTGCCCTGCACACCAGCCCTCACGTCACGAGTCAAGTCAAGTCCGATAACGTTTGTCACGTCCTTTTGATCCCTGTTACATTTCCTCGTTTAAGAGAGATTTTGAGTTTTTGCCTTTTGAATTTTGATCTCAACCTTTTTTCCTCATTAAGAGAGATTTTGAGTTTTTTCCTTTTGAACTTTGATCGCAACCTTTTTTCCTCATTAAGAGAGATTTTGAGTTTTTTCCTTTTGAACTTTGATCGCGACCTTTGTTTCCTCGTTAAGAGAGATTTTCAGTTTTTTCTTGTTATTAATAAAAAGCAATATCAGCTGAACCCTCTGCGTCCGAGTCCTCCTCCTTCCTGCCTGACACATCCAAAATGATGGCTTTTGTCTCATCTACAGTAAAACACCAAAAGTTACATGTTAATGTAAAAAAGCTGCTGTAAATAGGACTGAAAGATCGAATCATTATTAGTTGTTATGTCAAGTTGTTTTTCATTTCTTTTAAGCAGCTTACATTATACAAGCACGCGCCCGACAACAAGCTTCTCCAGAGTGAAGGCGGCCCTCACCTTTGACCTGTGGCAACTGACCTCTGAATAATAATAATACCTGTGAGCTCTTCTACTGAATCCAATCAACAACTAACTCGGTGAAATCGATACACGTGCCGCAATTTGCACAAACCCAACATATGGATCGTTGATCGGTTCGGCTCAACGGGCACATCTGTTGATAACTAAAGCGACCCGGGGTGTCAATGAAGACAGGCGAGAAGCTCTGGAGGCAAAAATCTCACTAGATTTATTCATAGAATCGGGACGGACAGGAGAGATATTGCAATTCATAAATCTGTTTCTGAATAAATATTTAATAATACTTTAAGGGCCTGTGTGAATGATTCAGGAGGGTTAATTAGAAGAGATCAGTATTCGCAACTTGATTTGCATTGGCGTATAATGCCCTGAAACTACAAACTATCGTGTTTTTAATATTTTGGAATGAGACCATCGTTCCCACTGGGAACCCGGCGAGTTTTACAGGTTTTTCTCTACCCGAACACCTCCGACATTCCGCTCCACGCTGGGAGAGGCGAGGGTGGTGTTCACATGGATAATTGGCATGAGTCCTTCACACGTGGACCTTCAGCCTACCCTCTGACATGTGGGTAATTGACAAAGGGGGCTCTGACAACGGGTGGAAACTGGCGGCAAAGTGTTGCTTGAATAAGAACTTCCCTTTTCCCGTTTCACCATGTTGACTTTTTGTCCTTCAGAGCTCATCGTGAGGTGAAGTTGGACCAGGTAGAACTCAGTCTTTTATCTCGGTTTCACTCCGTGGTTCAGGGTTGAGTGATGACCTGGCTGTGTGTTTGTGTACATACATTTATCATTATATCATTGTGGTGATTGAATGCAGAACTGGTGTTCGGGGTCCAATGAGCTGAATCTCTAAGGTGACCCCCCCCCCCCCTCCTGCTGCAACAACTGCCTTTTATTTCGCCCTCCTGTGTTTGCCGCACTCAGAAGCCGATCGTTGTGGGGTCCGTTGTGGGAAGAAAGGATCCCAGGGGCCTCATTTCTCTCCTCCTCTGTTTGTGTCGTCCATCTCCAGCCTGTCCGTGTCCACCGGAGCGAGATCATGACTTTGCTCAACGAGTCAGACGAGACCTCCCCTCCCTCCTTCCCCTTCTCCTCCGTCGAGCACAACTTCTCCCACTTTATCACGCAGGACCCTTCGTCCTTCATCTCCTCCTCTTCCCCCTCCTCCCCCTCCTCCTGGCTGACGTCCTCTAACTGCACCGACTCTCCGCCGGCCTCCTCTCCTCCGTACAACTTCTACGCGGTGCTGCTGGTGCTGCTGATCTTCTGCGTGGTGTTCGGGAACGTGCTGGTGTGCGTGGCGGTGTCGAGGGAGCGCGCTCTGCAGACCACCACCAACTACCTCATCGTCTCACTGGCTGTGTCCGACCTGCTGCTGGCGACGCTGGTCATGCCCTGGGGCGTCTACCTGGAGGTGTGTGTGTGTGTGTTCATTTCACACTCAACACTTGATGCACAGGGAACTAAATGTGGTAAAGAAAAGTTGTGGATTGTGGACTTGCTTCTCTAAAAGTTTAGTTTCCTATGCAACACTTGCAGAACATTTGCTCAGCGGATTGTACAGATATTTATATTATATGGCAATTCAATGTAATTTGATGTATTCATGCAATCGACTGAGGCTGCCATGTGTAATTATTTTCCTTTTGCAACTATTTTCTTTCTATATAGGTTTTAGTGGAAAAATGTTTTAAATAATTGATTCATCCTTTTAGAGAAAAAAAAGCCAATGCACTCTCTAGTTACAGCTTTTTATAGTTATCATATATCAAACTGGACACTTAAGGATTACAGTGTTCACCAAAACATTTCTTAGCTTTTTTGGACCTTTATACTAGTTTAAAGGCAAAGATCAATGAGTCTATAAAAGGTCACATAATTCCTTTCATATCACATTCAAGGCCACATAGAAGCCAACCAAGATAATGATCATTATGTCTGCAGATGAATCTGCTGCTGATTGACTGTAACGTCTGAGTGCAGAGAGCAGAAGGGAGACATTTTACACCATATTTGGAGAAAACACATTTACATGCAACGGTGACACATTTTCATGTGCTTTCTGACGGCATTATTTATGAGCCTTCCCCGTACCGGCAACATTTATGTCAAGTCATGCATTAATCCAATCCGCTTTCAATTTCTACATTATTAACCCTGCCGCATTTTCCCGGAGCCCGAGGGGACGTGTGCAGATTGCTCATTTTTACGACAAACAGACCGAAACCAAAACTTAATTGAAAAGTGTAGTTTACAAGTCAATCATCGGCTTTTAGACCATGGAGCAGCAAATCTTTGGTTTTGTTGCACGAGAAATGAATGAACAGGTTAATCGATTTTCGAAAATGTTGCGGGTTAATTTCTTGTTGATTAACTTATTGGGTTTAATGTACTCGTTGTGATTACAACTATTAATTGTTCCGTTTACAATAAAAATAATAATGAGTTTTCAAACGATTTCAAGCAATGTCTGTAAGGAGTAAAAATATTTAAGGTCAAAGTGTCCATCATATTTATCTTAACCCTTTTATTGTAATTTAACTAAAAACATTTGAGTGTTGAAATGGGGAAAAACGAAGCACCATGACTGACAGTAAAGAAAAAAAAAAGGAATTATGAAGTATCTCTGTTTGTTTTGAAGGTGGTGGGAGAGTGGCGCTTCAGTCTCATCCACTGTGACATCCTGCTCACGCTGGACGTCATGATGTGCACCGCCAGCATCCTCAACCTCTGCGCCATCAGCATCGACAGGTCGGGTCCCACCTTTGACTTCAGCCTCTACTCCGCCTGCACCATCCCATCCGTCTTCCAGCAGGAGCACGGCCGCGGCGTCTCTTTCGCCCTCCTCTGCCGTTGGTCATTACGGAAACACACTGATGCCCTCCTCGTCGCTGGGCTCGGCCCGTCAGCGGCGGCACCCTAATGACTCCGTGAAACCAGTTCAGACACGTCTAAATTCGGTGCAAAGATAACGACGGAGTCTAATGGCTTTGTGTGAGCCGCAGAGGATAAGATACGCACATCGGTTAGAAGGTTCTCCTGGCTTCACGCCCCGAGTCATTTCACATGAAACAGTGAGGTTAGAGTGCCGACCACTTTAACAGGAGGGTGCTCGGATAGTGTGACGGCCGGAGCTATTTTTATTCTCGGCCCTGCGGTTGATGGATAGTAAATGGGTGAATTAGCGCAAAGCAAATGGGTCACTACAGTAAGTGTTTTAAGTGTTGGCTTCCATACAAACAGTCACGGATCCCCAGTGTTTGTCTGGGTAACTTTGATTAGGACTATTTAAATGTTATTTCTTCTCAAAATCCACAGACGTGTATTAATTCTAATGTTCCTGATCACTTCAGTTTTATGTAATCTTTTTTCGTTCTGAAAAAACATCTTGTGTAGCAGTAGCAGCCTTTCCACTCTTTCCATCGGGACCATTTACCAACCAAAGCATCGCTTTGTAGTTCTCACAGAGCCCCGAGCTTGAAGTAATATTATGACATAAAATGCCATAAAATGTTCTGTAGCTGTATGCGGCTACGAAATAGAATAACATACCTTTTAAAAAGTCCTTTATCACTGCCACTGTCCTGCACCATAACTGGAATTGATACGGGGCTCCTTCACGGCTGATATATTCCTGAGCTTTGAAAAAAGATAACGCTTTCCCTCGAATAAAAGACTGCATGTTGCAGATTGTGACAGTTGTAGAGTCTCTGCGTTTGGGTCCACGGCCCTGTGCTTTCAGTCGGGATTACAGCCGTCTGCTTCCCCCACCTGCCTACAAAGCAGACGGATCTAACTGGTTTGGACATTCTGACAGGTGTGTGTGTGTGTGTGTGTGCGTTCAGTTTGGTTTGAAATGTGTGTGAACACGTCGACTGGATAGATCAGTGTGAAGACGCGTTAATATTTGTGTGTGCTCTGTATTGACCACTGCGTTGAGCCAGCGCGTGTGACGCATGCTAAAGTGTTTTCTTTGTGCGTGCGTGTGTGTGTGTTTACCACTGCAGATACACAGCGGTGGCCATGCCGATGCTCTACAACACCAGATACAGCTCCAGGAGGAGGGTGGCGGTGATGATTTCTGCCGTGTGGTTTCTCTCTTTTGCCATCTCCTGCCCTTTGCTGTTTGGACTCAACAACACCGGTGAGGAGACCCGTCCCCCCCCAACAACTGCCACGCACTTCAAAACTAAGGCTTTTGTATTCCGTCAAAGAATTTTGTGACCTTCCATTTCACTTCCGTTAAAGAGTTGCAGGTTAAGTATCTACTCTAAGCCACCGGAGGGGAAGCATCTTCGGCGCTTCTTGAATTTGTTCCGTTTCACACAACTGCAAGTTGAACTTAAAGTTCTTTAATGATAATTTGGGTCCTTCGTGGTTAGTGTAATCCACAGCTGTTAAGGAATGTTTTTCTCATTTCAGCTGAGCACCGTTGTTGTCTGAGGTGTAATTTAAACCAGAGCAGCGGTCACACTTATTCAGCACACCCTCATCCATCTGCCGCTGAATTAGCTTATCACACATTGATCACATTGTAAACAAATTCTCCACGGCCGGCTCCCGTACGCCTGCAGCGAGTCAGCAGACTTTACACCTCAATATTTAATAGTTCGGAGACCCTCCCATGTCCTGTTTTCATCAAGTGGATGACAGGTGACATTGGCCTTGGCAACAAGCGTTGAACACATGATCCTCCGTTTGTTTGTTGGCTCACAAAAGGAGCAGCAGCGGAGCGGCCCGGCTGCTCACCTCCGCCCTTAGTGGAGGCAGGTACGAGGAAGGACTGTGAATCGGCTCCCCTTGAACCGAAAGGCCCCTCGAGAATAAGTGGTAAACAAGACGTTCTGCGAGAGACGAGAGCTTCGGCCGTGGGTCCAAACACAGCAAGATAGCGAACGATTTCAGCTGCGAAAGAGATTTCACCCTCAGTTACGGGCGCAGATAACAGCATGCGGTCAGAGGGGTACTTCTAGTGCCAATTTCCATTCACCTCCAGTGGCAGTATTTGCATTTAAAGAGTTACTAAACCACAGAGTCTTTGCATTTGCCCTTGAAACTAAAAAAATGGCTGAGCCACGCCAGTAACAAGAACTTATGGATAAAGCATTAAGTTGTTTTATATCCAGGCAGTATGAAGCTACAGCGAGGCTACTGTTAGCTTAGCTTTAGGGTGTAGACTGAAGCAAGCAGCACGGAATCTGTTGAGACTTAAAAACCTCTCTATGCTCACTAACCACATGATGGATCAAATCCGTACAACAACCAAAGTGTAAAAACCAGCACTTCTTGTCTGATCTCTGATTTATTCAATTTAATTATGCTAAGCTCAGCTCTCCTGGCTCATTATATAACAGACAGGCATGAGAGTGGTAATAAAGTCCTCATCTAACTCTCTTTCTAAGGGAGAATGAGATTATCCCACAGAAATAGGAAGGAGTCTCATGGGTTCGACAATAAAAAAAAAAGCATACGTTGGCAAAACCGAGCATAACGTCTCTGGTTTGTGAGTTTTTTCTGACATTTTCCTCTTTTTTTCTCTCCTGCGTCTCAGCCAGCCGGGACGGCACCACGTGCAGCTTCGCCGATCCGGCCTTCGTGGTGTACTCGTCTGTGGCGTCCTTCTACGTGCCCTTCATCGTCACTTTGCTGGTGTATGCGCAGATCTGCGTGGTGCTGCGCAAGAGGGGCAGGCGCACCGGCCCCCCGCGAGGACACGGCCTGCACGCGCAGGGCGCCGGCGAGCCGGGAGAAGGTCACCGACACAGGAAGGTAGAGGGTCGCGCGTTCGGCGGTGGACTCCCTTTTCTCTTACAGTAAATCTGGGCACCGATAGACGTCGAGCCAGTGGCCTCCACCAGCGTTGATTATAACACCAGAAAAGAGACCATCCGCCACCAAGAGACCATGGATCACCAAATCCATTGACGCCGTGTGCAAAAACACCACTTAAAAAGTTTTTCCAAATAGGCTTTTTGTTGAGTGTTGAGTGTCTCCCCATCATCCATATTTGAAAACCTCTGAGACGTGAAATGTTCTGTACCAGCGTGCAGGATGTGCACACGTTCTATCAGCTATAATCAATATTGACTTGACTGTATAATGAATCTGTGTTTCTCCAAAATCCAGTTTGACATATTTGGTCATTTTGAAAACAACGGCGCCTCCACTGGAATTTATAATCGAGTGCTGTTGGTTTGAATTTCTGGCTGTGCAACACTTGTTTATAATAACTGGTCCAGTAAGCAACTAGATATTTCAAATAGTTTCAGCAAAAGTAGGGCGATTCCCTAGTAAAGACCCTGATTAATAAAACAGCGTGTACACAACACCAAGGCTACAGAGCCATTTTGTATAATAGCAAAATATGAATTTTGATTTGACTGTGGCTTGTAACCCAAACAAATTTAAGGGACCCTTTCCTGGGTGGTTTATAATGTTTATTCCTTTAAAAAAAAGAAGAACATTGGCAAATCTGTTTGTTTCAACTTGCATTTCTTATGCCTTCTCTTTCAGAGCAAGTGTACACAACCAGAGGATGTGAAGTTGTGCACCCTGATCCTGAGGCCCGCCACCGCTGGCCCGCAACGCAAAAAAGTGGTGAGTCTCTCACCGTCATGTCCCCAAATGTCCCCCTGTCCTCCTCATTCGATCTGCAGTGACGCCCCGCTCGCTTCCTGTTGCCTTTTTCCATAAACGTCCACCTTATTTGTGCCTTTGTTTCGTCGTTACGATGCAGCGTCCACTCCTCTGTTGGTCCCCCAACACCGACCTCCGTCCCCACCCTCCTCCCTCTCTCTTTGTGTGTCAGACCCTGGTGAAAGAGGCAATGGTCCACCCCCTCGAAGTGGAGCCGGGTCGCTTCCTCCCGCGGACCGAGCAGAGCCTGGCTCCTCCCCCTGCTCCCCAGGCCGCCTCCCACTCGGGGCTGGCACGGATCTCCCTGGCCATCTCGGTTGGACCCGCCCCGGTTCATCCCTGCACCGTCACGCGCTCCGCCCTGATGCCCCGCCCCCCCACCCTGGAGGACGGCATGAGGGGGCGTGAGGGGTGGAGGGAGCGCAGCGGCGGGAGAGACAAATGGGGGGTCACCAAGGAGAGGGTCAGAGGGAGGCTGTCGCAGCAGAAGGAGCGGAAGGCGACACAGATGCTCGCTATTGTGCTCGGTGAGTGGAGGACCTTTAGACACGTGTGGGTGTTATTTATTACATATAATTAGACAGGTTGTCAAATACAACAAATCATCCGTGACGCCAATTTCCATGTCCTCCATTATTTACGGCTTTTCACTCGAACTGCAGTTTGTTTCTCGAAGCCCTCCTTTGTTGTTGTGATTAATGTGAAACCGCAACCCGTGATTGATGAATAATGCCATTTATCTGTCCCCCCTGCAGAACGTGTGCCACATGCATGTCGTGCTAACTCATCTCCTCACACACTCCCTGTCTCTGGTTCCAAGGCGTGTTCATCATCTGCTGGCTGCCGTTCTTCCTCACCCACGTGCTGAAGGCCCACTGCAGGAGCTGCTGCATCTCGCCCTCGCTGTACAGCGCTGTCACCTGGCTGGGGTACCTCAACAGCGCCGTCAACCCCGTCATCTACACCACGTTCAACATCGAGTTTCGCAAAGCCTTCATCAAGATCCTGCACTGCTGAGAGGCCGGGGAGGACGGGGAGGACGGGAAGCGCTTTGCTGTCGGGACTCTGAAAGGAGCGCGACGTTGATTTGCGATCAGAGGTGAGAGGAAAAAACAAGTAGTGTTTAGTTTTGAGATGCACGAGGAGGAAGGGAGGGGGGGGGATACATATTTAAAGTGGTACAAGCTTCATGGGAAATAAAAAGACGAGCGGCTCAGAGAAGACCGAAAACAGAACATGGACTTCAGACAGAATGAAAAACAAGACAATAGACAATGTTAAAAATAGTGTGACAAGGCTGGAAGTGTTTACTGGGAGGAAGACGCGCACTGTGTTGTGTAAATACGGGCTGCAAGCGGAACATGTGAGGACTCCTTCAAATAATCGGTGTCAGACTTGAGCTTTTGTGTTTTCTTGTCATCCCGAACACACGGCATCTCGTTATGTGTTCGCATGCGCTCGGCGTTCTCGGAGGGCTGAAGCGACCAGGAGTCCCGCGTAAACTCTCTCAATCGTTATTCACACTCTTTGAGGACATGCTGGAGTTGCATCATGGCAGAATATCAATGTGGTGACTGAGACGGTGAAGAAAATAAATATGTTAATGTTTTGCTTTGTAAAAATGTGAAATTGTGGGCTTATATTGTTGTAAAACCAAACGTCATTTGTTTAGAAGGGCAGGCGTTGTACAAACCATTCTAATAAACATTTTCTTTCATTGCTTAATTTTTGACATTTATTCGCCCTGAAGTTTTTTTCTTTTTCTTCAGATTCTGAGTATACGTTTTATATTATTGTATATTAAACTACAATATACAATTTATTGTAATAAAATAGGTAGAATATAATAACTAAAGATATCTATAGAGTACAAGTAAACTACATCATCTCTTTTTTTCCATCAAACTTCCATCACTTGTTTTTGTTTTTGTTTTTGCCGAACTATGCTTGGATATTTCTTTTCCTACAAACTATGGTGTATTTTCCTTTCAGACGGGTAGCGAGCCTCATTCACTGACTGGGAGAACTTATCCAGATACGGCAGGTATTTCGAGCACTCAGTATTCAGATAGAGCTCTTAAGCACACTGAGGATTTTGGATGTATCTTGTTTTATTCAAAGCCTCCATCCCCGCTATCAATATTATCAACAATCCTGCCATGGGCTTTCCCCTTGATCTGTAAAAGAATCTCCACCGGGACATTATGTATCGTGTACTTGACCAGTTTCCTGTTATCTCACTAAGCTTACTGCTGGACCCATAAGCCTTATATTATTCTGTGCACATCTATGTATATTTATGAGTGTATGATGGAGCCCTCGTGGTTGCACTGAAGCATATTTAAAAAAAACTTTTCATATCATCATTCACTGCTGTCTACTCTCAAAATGTGTTTGATGTTTAAAAGATTATTTAACTGGATGTATAGTATGACACGGACTATTGCTGTTAACATTAATTTATTGTTTGTGATCAAAACTAATACCTGTAAATGAATAGTTTTACAATTGTGGAAATGTGCTCATTCATATTCCTGCCAAGAATGAAATAAGAAAATCGTTACCGCCGTTATAATATACGTGAAGCTGCAGGGGGAAACGGCGTCGCTGCTTCATTTAGGGACTGTAGAGAATCAAGCATTCATTTTAATTTAAAGTTTATGCTGCTGCACCTTTGTGGCCTCTGTGTTTTCCTGTGAGCTGAAACAACAACTCCGCCACCTAATATGGGATCAAGTGACGCCTGCACACTTTACTTATTCATTTATTCATTCAGGGTCATGTGCACACGGCGAGGGTGCAACTATACACTCAAGTTGTAAACCACGAGCAAGCAATACTCCGCCATCTAAAAAAAGCGTAGACATGTTTCCCTCCCCCCCCCGGTTTCAGGCTGAAAAATCCCACACAGACATTAGATGGGTTGTCGTGACATTCATGTTCCCCAGATGATGAATCCTTGTGAGCTAAAATCCCCACAGAGATAATAGCAATAACTTTCTGTGTTGTGAAACTACACTTTCAATGTGTTTTTTGTGTGTCTCTTGGAGGTGAGCTCAGCAGCGTAACCTGGAATACGCTGAGTAACAGCGTGACTGCTGGTAATTTGACAAAATACCGCCACACACACACACACACACACAGCAGGCCCGTACAGACAAAACCTACACATTCATAATAGCAGTGTGATTATTGGATACCTTTCTTTCAGCCTTGAGAAACTCCTTGTCTCTGTGAATGTGTGTCGGTCCGAGCTGCCGTTGTGCTCCTCCGTAGTGGTGAGTGGGAGCGGCTCGTCGCTTTGGTGTACATTACCCTCTGTTGTTAAACTCTGACCCGAGGTCACAATTATCCCCATGCATATTTCATAGAGTGCACGTATCCGTTACTGACCGGAGGAGAAACGTTAGGTCGTAGAGGGAGGAAGAGCGGACTGGAAGGAGAAGGAGGACAATGAGGAAGGGGCGAGGAGGAGGAGGAGGAGAAGAGCGGTGGAAGAGCAGACACCTGTGCCAGGTGAGGATGACGGATTCCCCGGTTGCAGATGACTCGTCTGTGGATTATCGATGCTCCAGAGCGGGCGAGCGCCTTCGTCGTGTAGTCACTGACCGGCTGTGATGCATTTACTCTCACCGCCGGGGTGCAAAGATGCTTTGATAAAGAGGGCGCTCTGATGAATAATCCCACGCACACAAACAAAGCGGCTGACATTCAGGTGAGAGCTTTTGAGGTTTAGAGGGCGCTGATGTAATGAGACAGAACGGTGTAGTGTGGTGAACAAACAATGTATGCCAACACAGACGTCCTTCCATGCGGAAAACAATCGGCGGAGGACATGCTGCTTTAATGACAGGACTCTTCAGAGTGTACATTTTTAGGCCTTTTGGTAGCATGAAAAAAGTAATGTAATTCATGAGGAAAATATTTTTTTTTTTATTTACCTGCAGATTAATAATTCATATTTGATTAAAAAAAAGCAAAAAAAAAGCATTATTTGAAAGTTATCTACATCTCATGGGAAAATAATTTTATCCTGAGTCATAATTTTGAAAACAATATAGTTTAAAAAACAAAAAACGTTTTATTTATAATACACAAGAATATCAGCACAATATCTTAAAGTTACGCACAGAAACATGATTGCAAGCATTGTTTTGTTGTTTTTGTTGCTCTTATTTATTTTGCAGGACTCAGCTGAGGTTTCAAGGAGTCCCTCCGTGTCTCATATCGAGTAGATCAGACCAGCACACATATGCTGCTAGCTGGACCTCACCAGCTATAAACTCTCAAAACAAACAACATGAACGTTGAACAGTTTTCGCATGTCATGGCAGCTACCGGTAGTGATTCCCAGGTCCGGGCGGGCGGCACCAGCGCCTCTGTTGTTGCTAGTTCCGTCCCCGCGTCCCTTGAGCTCTGGACATCTTTTCAAACTCCGACCAGTCACGAAGTATTGAGTGTCTCGTCTCTGGTCCCTTCCACAGTCATCGCACTCATTCCTCAACACAAACTCTCAGCAAATGGACACATACATACAGGGCCTCCATCTTCTCGTGAGGCAACAACGGAGCCTCAACTTTCAGGAACTTCCTCTTCTCCCTCTGGTACCAGAGAGGGAGAAGATCAAAACACGCTGCCTGCGCCAGCTCCCCGGGCTGATAATCCCCAGAACGTTCAGCAGAATAAACCGGCAGATGGAGGCGCCCTGGAAGAGGGATCGGTAATCTGCATCGTACCCAAAACGGATGAAGAGCAAGGTATGGGTTGTGGAAGGCGGCTGTTTTCAAATGATGTGGACATTTCTCCACACGCTTTCGGTTGTGTCCCAGAAGGCACACTGAGTAAGCAACACTAATCAAAGTATCAAAGTATCAAAGAGGTGGCGGAACCTGGACGTTTAGTCTCATCGTTGTTTACATCCATCTCCACAGTTTTCTGCAGGCATGTTTGTATAATTTAAAATCCTTCACATAAAACTGATGAGATTAAAATAAGACAAGTGTTTGTCACGGAAACAAAAACACAATGCAGCAATTTACCATGCATCCATTTTCCTCCACTTATCCGGGGTCAAAGGTCCAACAGGCTGACCAAACTGTCCCATTACTGATCTCTGCACCTCTGTAAATCTGATGAGGGCATATCCCTGTGGATGAACGATTTAATGTGTCTTGATCTTTAAACAAGAGCTTAAATAATAAAGAGATCAGAATTTAGAGAAGGTAAAGTCCCTTTGTGAGACTAGCGGGTATACTCTTGTCTTCACAAGTGCTCACATATAAGGTGCCATATCTTTTATAATCCCAATATTGAACAGCAAAGACTTGGCTGAAGATTTCATCATCTTCTGAGCCTTGTCGGTCCTTCAGATGTGTTGCAGGGCCGCTTCATCTCCTGTCGAGATGCCATTGATACAGAATCCCCGGCTTCACACCGCCCTCCAAGTACCTCTCCTGTATTTGTCCTCACAGATGAATCATCGCTGCTGTCTTTACGGGATTGTTTCCATTGTGTGCTGTCCTTTCACTTCTGGGATTGCCTGTTTGATTTCTTGATCTAAGCTATTTTTCAGTCGCCCCTTTGGAAAGCAGCTTTGAGCCATTGTTGTCACACAACAACAGAGCCATCCACATGCTCCTGACTCCTCTGCCTCTCCCTCCCCAACGTGGCTTCTTATCAGCTCTTGGACAGGACGGAGGGCCGAGGAAGTTGTTTTATAGCCTCAGTATTAACCTGAGCAACGTGACAGAGGGCTGGTGCGCATCCTATTTCATCCAACGACCTTTGAGATCATTGAAGGGTATTTCTTTAACGGACTCACGGCAGTGGATTTCTGGCGCCACACTCCATCGGCTTAAATCACACGATGATCGTCTCCCACAGGTTTATCCTTCAGCCCACAACATTACATATCTCCCTCAGGTGTGTCATGAGTCATATTAAATGGTTTAAACTAAGGCCGTGTACACCGTTTTGACAGTTAGGGCTACGTAATGATAAGTAATGATCCAGGCGGGTAGCTTTTGGCAAGGCTGTGGACGGATGGCACAACATCGTCTTGCAATTTTACTTTTTAAATGCAAATTAGCACCACTTAGCCGACTAAAGCAGCCTGCCATGCAGCATGCTAAGCAGTTCTTAGTGTCTTTTTCCCCCTTCAAACTCTGCACTAATCCAATCTGTTGATCTATTCACAATTTGGAGAGAATTATAAAATAAAATGAAAGGCTTTTGTCTCATTGTCATTCGTTTCTGCCTCAGGAGAGAGTGCAGGATAAACCCGGCAGTCACGCTTCTTATTTTTTTGCTTAGTGAAGGTTGTTTTATATTCAAAGTGTATAATATGTCACAGCATGGAGCATCAAATTTACACGGGAAGAGAGCTCTCGGGCGAAAAAATCATAAATGTCATCCCAGGGGTTCAGGATTGACTCACCTTTACATTTAGCATCACTGTCGGTCGCCCTCCCGCTGCAGAATGCTGCCACCGGGCTCTTATCAAAGAAACAGTCTGAGGTTGCACATTTCACCACTTAGTCCGCCTCGGGTGGCAATCAGTGAAGCATAAAACCAATTCCAACATTTTTTATTTTCTTATACCTACGAGGCACCGAATGCAGTTGTTGCTTTACCTCAAATTATGGATGTGCTGTGTCCTCAGTTCCTTCAGGAGAAGCTTTCCAACAGCAGCTCGCCTCTCAGTGCTCGAGCCAGCCTCCCGTTTTTTTAAATGACTTCCATAGCGCCTTTGTGTTAAGAATACATCCTCTCTCTCTGTATATACCATATGGATATATATATCCATATAGATATGCTATTTCACATTGCAATGTGAAGGCGTGTTCAAGACGTTTACACCAGGGGATTTGCTGCGTGAACGAGTTATACAGTAAATAGTGAAATAGGGAGTTTCACTTCATTGTTTAGCTGTCTGGTCCATAAATGGAAGGCTTTCAGAGAAATAACTTTAAAACCTGGTGCACACAACTGGCCACAAATCGGCTCAACAGACACTGTTGTTTAATAATCAAATATATTTAAAAACGTATTGATTAAAATAACATAAAATAACTCAAAGTATGAAATTATATGCTTTTGACGTTAGGCTATATGACCGGAAAAGTTACTGCCTTAATACTTATAGGTTAACTCTGAAATAATGGTGGCCATGTTGCTATGTTGCCATGTCTACATGTAGATATTTACACAAAACACACAATACTAATTTTTGTCCTGTAAACAGCTTGTTATTTTTTTGCGTTTCATTACGTTAACTAATACCTCTAACAAAACCGACATTGTTTGTACAGATTGTACAAGTATTTCTTTGTTTCTTTGCAGACTCGGGGCCTCGGGCCTCTTCATCCCGTGAGCTGCTGCTTACTGTGTTCTTCATCGTCATCATGACGCTGGTCATCACCTCGGCTCTCCTCGGTAACCCGCTGTGACTCACACAGACAATCAATGGGCTTCAGACATTCCTTTAGCAGGCAACGGGTCCTCTTTCAAGCATTCAAATGATTAATCAGCAAAACTGAGAAGTTATAATACATGCATGTCCTTCTTTAACGAATTGGCCGTAGTTTTGAACAGGGAATCTATTACCGGGGGTTTTGATGATGTTACCCGCCTTTGACGATTCTGCAGTTCAATTATTCAAAATACTCAAAATGAACTGTGTTCATCGTGAGGTTTTTTTTTCCCTTATCTCTTGAAATCAGTGAAGTTCCTGGTATTCCCCCACAAGTTTGGAGGTTCGCCTCCTCTCTGTGGAGCGAAGGGGAACTGCAGTGCGCCAACCCAGTCCGTTCTGACCAAGAATCCAGTGAACCAGACCGACCTCATCACTGCAGGTAATCACGCTGGTTGAGGCCTGTGGCCTTTACTCTCTGCTTCTCTGTCTCCAGTAGAACGTTATCACACAATACATCCATCTGCTGTGTGGCAGACATGGCCAGAGGCCTCATCATGCAAAGGGTTTTGGTCCAATATCACCATTACCAGTACACTGAATTAAACTAATACACTTTTGCTGAATTCAACCATCTGTGTTGACTGATATATACATAGGTAATTCTCACCAGTGGTTTTGCATGTGTCGGATTCCCTTTTTATTCATGTCACACTTGCAGCCTGCCCAGCTCTGCTCAGTGATGGCCGACGTATCGTCGGGGGCACGTTGGCCGTCAGGGACAAGTGGGTCTGGCAGGTCAGCATGCAGTGGAGAGGGAAACACTTGTGTGGCGGCGCCATCGTCTCCCCTCGCTGGGTCGTCACTGCGGCTCACTGCTTTGCTCAGTAAGAGGTGGACGTGGGGGGGAACGGAAGTGAGAAAGACGGGGAGGCTCAGAGTGACCCTGCCTGCACATCGGCCCCCCTTAGCAGGGAGGGCTGACGTGCCAAAACGATTACATTCAACTTGACGGTTAAGTCGATGCAGGGGCTCTTTGCTAGCGTTGAGCAAGTGTTTTGGGCAGTCGGTGCACATTAACATTTCGAGGACCACTTCAAACTAAAAGCATCTTATTCAAGGTGCTGAAGGAAAAAATGAATGATTGTTGACTCCTCCAAGTAAAGTTTACTTTTTCCAGTGTAGTGCACTTTTGAAGCAGATGTGCACCAGTGTGTAAGTTACTTTACATCCAGTTTTTTGGGCTCAACACCTGCACTACAGAAGCGTTTGTGTGGGTGTGTATAGTTTGTGTTTGTTTGGTGTCGTCTCATGTGATAATAACCCCTCAAAGCAAGAAGACAGGCACCGATCACCGCAGATTGATCCACTCGATTCGAGCTCAGAGCAACAAACGTCTGCGTCTCGCCGCTGTTCCCCCCCCCCCCCTCAGGAACAACATGGCGCCGGCCGACTGGCTGGTGGTGGTGGACACGGTCAGCATCGCCGACAGCTCCTCGGGGAAACGCTACAGAGCGCTGCAGATCCTCCACCACCCTCGCTACGACAGCTACAACAACGACTACGACGTGGGCCTGCTGCGCACCGTCACCGCCATGGACCTGGGAGGTGACAGGAGCATTAATAATGAATAATAGTACCATATAACATATTTCTTGGTGCAGACTCTGCCTTCACTAAAGCAAGAAACAACAAAATCCAAATGGTGGATATTCTTATTGCTCCTATTTTGCAGTGTTTTGATATTTACTTATCTTTACTAGCGTCCTGGTTAAAACTTTTCACATGGCTTTGCTTGTCTAACAAGTCAAATAAATAGAGTGGTGAAAGTAGGGGTATCACCACTGTCATATGATAACCTTCATGTTCTGGGTTGCTCTGCTTACAATTAAAGATAATGTCCTGTTCTGATGGCTCTGTGCTGTTAGCAGGCGGTGCAGGACCGGTCTGTCTGCCCAGTGCGAGCGAGTCCTTTCCTCCCGGAGCGGCCTGTTGGATCACCGGCTGGGGATACACTCAAGAAGGAGGTGTGTTACACTGACTCAAGCCCTTTCTCCTCTTCCTCTGTCATGATGCAATCCCACCATCAAGTCCTCGACTGATTCCACTCCCTCGGTCCCAAACTGGGATGTAAAAATGATTGCACTCATTACCCTCAAATGAAAGCCATAGCTCATTGCATTACGCCCACTGACCTTCAAGTTATTATTGTTCTCTCCGCTAAACGGTAGACAATAACTGCACAGCCAAAATTATGAGATAATTCTCTTTAAATATCCACGAGGGCTGAAGCAGCTGCTCGGTTTATGGCCGCGCTGTTCAGCCCGTTGGCTGCAGTCAAGTCAAATTAATTTTTCTAAACCTCTCTCCGATTCACCCACTCCGTTGTCCTCACTCTTCAGGCTTTGTGCCAGACGAGCTGCGGCAGGCTCAGGTCAAGGTGATAGCTCAAACCGCCTGCTCCGACCCGAGCGTCTACGGCGTGTACCTGACCCCTCGGATGATTTGCGCCGGCACCATGGACGGCGGCGTGGACACCTGCCAGGTGCACACATATACAACAAAAAAAAGCCCGAGAGGTGTGGGTGTGTAATGTTTCATCAATGAGTCCGTCTTGTTCCAAGGGGGACAGCGGTGGACCCCTGGTGTGTGAGACGGCCGGGGGGGACTGGAAGCTGGCCGGCGTGGTGAGCTGGGGAGAGGGCTGCGGAAGGCCCAACAAACCGGGCGTCTACAGCAGAGTGACCCAGCTCGTCCCCTGGGTTAGAGGACAGATGGAGGTGTCTTTCACTGTGTGGACGTGTGATGATCGCAAGTGTGTTCAATGACTTTGCAGTTTAGTTTTATCTGGGCCATATTATTTTTTCAACCATAAAGTTCAGATAGAGCGACTGATGTAGATTACAGCAACAAACATTATATTATGTCAATGTTATATCATATTGAACGCACTGCACCTCCTTTATGATATCCAACGTTCAACTCGGGTTACATTTTAAACAGGAGTGTTGAATCAATCATAACCGGAGGGGCAGTAAAGAGCAGTGGCTCTGTGAGGCATGCGGGATGCATGAAGCAATGAGGGGATGCAGATTGTAATTGTGTGTGTTATGCATTGCCAGATACACATTTATTAACACATTTCCTTTTCGGACACACACCACTATATTTTTCAAGTAATGGTGTCATTTTCACTTGTTTTATTCCTGCTGCAGGACAAACCGGGAGGGTTGGAGATCACAACAGCCATTACCGACACCTCACGCTAACCTGACCGATATAACTCAAGACAATTGGCAATAAAGAATTGGATGAACTGTATCTGCTTGTGTTTTATGCAACCATAAAATAATATGATTTTATTGTTACGATAATAGTACCCATATCTTTATAATGAAGGGATCCTTGAAAACACTTCAGTTAAGATAAACATATGTCTCTCTATTCCTAGATGATTCTATTGAGGCTAACAGACAAACTGAGTCCAGCATTGACTGAACATAAAAGGGTTAATCAAGTCAATAGTCTGATTTTCGTTGTGCTTAGTGGGGCTTCATTTATTCTTATAGCAGCCTCCAGGCCAATTTCAATAAAGAGGTCTTTAGGTTCCAGGAATCAGGAAACATTTATTGCCAAAACATGTCAGACATGCAAGGAATTTGACTTGGCGGTTGGAAAGTGATAAAAAAAAAAACCTGTTAATTAACTTGCGGCCAAATGAGCACAAACAGGTGATCAAACGGTCTCCTGCTGCATTGGTGCGCGCTGCAAAACGTGCGAGGGACGTGAACGCGCACGTGCCCTGAGCGCGTGCCGGTGGTCCACACACACACACCTTCGGTCCATGACAACAGTCTCCGGAGCTTTAAGTGCAGCTGTTTGTGTGAGAAGAGCAACCAGCGTCTCCGCGCGGCACTTCCGCTCTGAACCCTTCAGCTATCGACATTATCGCGGACAATAAGGTCGGGAGCACCGTCGCAGTCTCGTGGTCTTATTTCGTCGTAAATCGTCTTATATCGGCAGCCTTGCTGACTCCTTAGACTCAAGGTTAGATCGGTATCTAAAAAAGAGGAGCCGGAATGTGCTCTGTGATTCGCCCGGTGAAGCCTGTCCAACGGGCTCTGTCTCTCACGCTCCGCCTGCGAGCCGCCGCCGGGGGCTTGGCCCAGGACAGACGCCTGCGTCCCGCCGCGAGTGCTGACGTTGGCCCGCTGCGAGCGAGCTGCCGGTCGTACTGCTCCGCGATGTCACGCACCGAAGGACTGCTCTTCAGACAGGTGCGACGCTTCTTCTCCGGTCGACGCGTGTGTGTTTTTAACGTTAGCTTCTGTCGGCGAGTGACGTCAGAGGGGGAGCTAAGTGGAGCTAGCTACACGTTAGCTCGACTATGCTGCCCGAGTTCTTGTGCAGATGACCGCTATTTCTGAGTGGTTTTTAGTTGACTTTTGGATGAAGCAGTGGACGAAGGTGCCTCAGACCATGGTCCACTTACTCGCTTGTTATACAGATTGAACCTAATCTACATTTATATGGCAAAACTAGCTTTGTTTTCATTTACAGAAGCTGCAGTAAGAGGAACTTGAGTGAAATATAGTTACCGGTACATTACATTACAGGTTATTTAGCTGACGCTTTTATCAAAAGCGAGCTACATTACATTGCATTTCTAACCCGTGGCTTTTTACATGTGTACCCGGGGAGCAATTAGGGGTTAGGTGTCTTACTCAGGGACACTTCGACGTGGGACAGTGAGCCCAAGTGGTCCTCAAATGGGTCATTACATGTAACATGTACCATGTATCCTCTCCTCTGGCCATAAAACGAAATAATTGAGTAAAACTACCATTGCTGGCTTTCCAACCAGAAAACACACATTTGGCGTTGATAACAAGTAGTTCCCCCTCGTAAAACGTCATGTTTAATCGCTTGAGCGATCTCTCTGTCTCTCACACACACTATCAGGACGACGTGTAGTACGTGCACCATCACCCGCCCAAAGCTTTTATAACTTATTGCTGTGTCATACCTGTTATGCTTTTTCCCCTCCCCCAGCTCTTTGAGTCGGAGAGCAGCACCTACACCTACCTGCTGGCCGACACGGAGACCAAGGAGGCCATCCTCATCGACCCCGTCCTGGAGACGATTGACAGGGACCTGAAGCTTATACATGAACTGGGGCTCAATCTGAAAGTGGCAGGTATATTGATTAACCTGCTGTGGTTGGAGTTGAGGCTATTCTACCGTCCGATAGTGTCAACTATCTTTTAAACATCTGTTGTCATCGTCTGATAGAAACCTCTCTTTTGTTCATTTACAACACATGACATATGCAAAACATGTGAGGCATCATGAGAATCATTTGTATCATGTTTGTCAGTAAATGTGAAATGTATGCAGGATTACATGTAACATGAAGACACATGTGCTCGCATTTCATCACAACAATATTTGATAATATAGATCTATTGCCAAGCCATTTGGGGGAAAAAAACGTTAAAGAAATGTTATTCTTCTGGCAGTGAACACCCACTGCCATGCTGACCACATCACGAGCACCGGGCTGATGAAGAAGAGATTGGCTGGTCTGAGAAGTGCCATCTCCAAATTCAGCGGCGCCTCTGCAGACATCCTCCTGTCAGAGGGAGACAAGATCTACTTCGGAAAACATGTAATAAGGACATGCGACTCATCCCATTCCACGCGATCAGTCCATACGGCCCTCATTTTAGAAACATTTATAACAGAAGTGATGTTTGCATTATTCTACTGTTGGTTAATTAAGTATTTTGTAATACATATATATCATATAATACATTCTACATTGTATTGTGGATCCTACTGTACCATGTGTAGCCCTCTAAAGCAAACCTTTGCTAAGCCCCGCCCCACACTGTTGCTTTGTCCAGCGGTCAGAGACACGCTTTGCTTGTGAGGGGCAGGACTTGGCGACGGGTCAATGGCTTGAATGGAATCGTTGTCAGATGGCGCGAGTTGATCTCCGTCTCTTCTCCCCCGTAGCATGTGGCGGTGAGAGAGACACCGGGACACACGGACGGGTGTGTGGCGCTGGTGTCGGGGGATCAGAGCATGGCGTTTACTGGGGACGCTCTGCTCATCAGAGGCTGTGGCAGGACAGACTTCCAGCAGGGTACGCAGGCGCCTTTTTAAAGGATTGAATGCAGGAGGAACACCAGAGGGCAGTGTTGTGTCGCTTTTCTTTTGGAATTGGTGTAATCTTTAAATAAATCCTGTCTCTGTAATTCAGGCTCTCCAGAGAGGCTCTACAAGTCCGTCCATGAGAAGATCTTCACTCTGCCTGATCAGTGCCTCATCTACCCGGCACACGACTACACAGGTTGGTTCAGCAGAAACACACACGTCTGAATGTTTGCGTAACATCTAATAGAGTCACCGCTTGTAAAAACTAAGTAGACCGATTCTAAGCGCCAGCATGGTGCTAAAAAGCTGTTTCGCACGCTGACGTGATGCGTGTTGTTACAAGAGTCGTTGTGCAAATGAACAAAGTGCAACTACTTATTATGCTGAAGGGCCCATTACAGTATAACGTATGCAATTTGATTAAAAGTATTGAAGCATGTCATCTTAATCACTTTTAATGTTGCAGCTGGTAAAAGTTAAGATACATTTAACGACACAGCACTGCTATGGAGCTTTACCTATCAGAATATAAGAGTTTGTTTTGTGTTATTTATACGATACATATATATAATAAAGTGGCATTCAATTCAAGTACTCAAGTAAAATGAATGAACCTTAATGTTGTACTCAAGTATGTAAATCCACCAAATCCTTATTTTAATGTTTCTACTTTGATAATTAAAAACAATCATCAATCACAAATCATATTTGATGCACACTGATTTTATTTTTTTGTTGTTGTTGATATGTGATAAAAGTTGCTATACTGTATCAGAGTATATCTGCAAATAAGTATTTAAAGTCTTATCAATTCTTCACATTCTCTCACATCCGCCAGCACCACGTGTAGTTTCAGTGCCTTTACCAAGTGTTTCCCTTTGGATCGCTAAGTGAGACTCATTCGGAGCCCAGATGACCTGTTGGTCTTGTCTTTGTGTGTCAGGTCGGACCGTATCGACGGTCGGTGAGGAGCGCACCTTCAACCCCCGCCTGACCAAGAGCCTGGACGAGTTTGTGACGATAATGAACAACCTGAATCTCCCCAAGCCTAAAAAAATAGGTATCCTCACGAATTCTATGGCCAAATTAAATGAGATTTTCAAGGTTGTCAAAACTCAGATTCACACAGAAATAATTATTTAAATATGTTTTCTTTTCCTCCTTTTTTGCAGATGTTTCAGTGCCTGCTAATTTGGTTTGCGGAATACACGAAGTCTGAACGTCTTTCCAACAAGAGAATTTTATTGTTTTTCTTACAGGTTGATTTTCTCAATGTAGAAATGTTAGAGAAGTGCTTTTCTGAATGTATTCATGTAAATTTGAATATGTATGTTGCATAGCTACTGACATCGTCGGGATAATGCTTCATATTAAAACACAATCAGCACTCTTTAAACTATTGGAAATTAAATCTAAATATCTGTACATGAGGAAAAACATTCTATTTTGATTACATTGATCATATTGAAGTGTGCCTTACTGGGTATTATGATTAAGTTGGAGGGAGAGGAGGATTTTAAGAAGCAAAAGCTCAATTGGGAATGTTCCATTCAAGGTTTGGTTTGATTCATTAATGCTTCGCTGTGTCTAAAAACTGTTGTATACAGTTCAGAAAAACTTGCCGTTTGAAAATCATTTTAAACCAAGGGTGGAGTTTGATAATGAGATCGAGGATGTTAAGTGACATTACAGCGACTGTAGGTTCCAACAACGTGAGTCAAGATGCTTCTGTGAAAAGTAGGAACTTTCCTTTTTTCTCCGTCTGAAGAGAGCACATTCTTGCTCCGCTGTTGTACCGCTTTATGTAAGTCTCCATATCGATGCACAGTAAATTGCTTTGCTGTATTTAATCTCACTCTATTCAGCTACTCTTGCTATTGTTCTTTCAGTGTGTCAATGCTTGAATATCTGGTGTGATTGTGCTGAAATGCTTGCAAGGTTTTAAGCAAAAAAATAAAAGAGGACTTTCTAATTATTTAAAGAAAGCGTGTGGGTGTTGACTTGTCGCAAGTTAATACTGTCAACACACACACACACACCATCTACCAGCTGTCTCTGTCAGCATTTGGGACAAACAACATGATTTAGACCTCCTCTGCCTCACCTACTGTCCTCGGCAACAGACACCTGCATTGTCTTCAAATTCAGAGCTGTGTGTGTGTCCCTGTTGTCGTGCGTCCAGCTGAAAACATGCCGCTGTAGAGGTGCCGAGGTTTCCCTTTAAAATGTTGCTGTCCTCCTGGTCCTGTGTGGCTGTTGCCAGCTGTCCTTTCACCCAGTCCGTGTCACCCATCTGCCTGCCCTCTTTCAGCCTCTCCCTCGTCCCACTTCCACTGTGCCATGTGAACCTGCTGCCTGTCCTCTCGCTCGCTCGCTCTCACGCTGTCGACGTGTCACCGTAGAGAAATTATTACGCCATCGCCCCATTCAGAGAGAGCCGTAAAGAGGCCGGTCGGGCCGATAAAGCCCTCAAGAGGGAAGAGCAGGTTCCGCCCAACGGAACATGAATACTCTCGTGGGGACTTCCTGTGGAGAGACGTGAACCCTGGATGCTTAGTATTGACTACAAAATGGGGTTCATTACCCGCAGTGTCAACTACGGTTTATATTTGCTACAAATATTAACGTTTACTTGGTACTCTGTGGTAGGTTTACAGCGACTGTAATACTTTATGGTATTTTAATCTCCACAGGGATCAATATAAGACTGCTGGGAGGCTTTGTGACTCATTATGTGAACATACCCTCAGTCATCCAGGTCATGGGATGTCGAACAGTAGTAAGTCGCAGTGCCTTCGTGGTCATAGAATATATAATAGTAATATATTGTTACTGCCCTATTGAAAATGTCAGCAAAAGTCTAAAATATATAAGGTGCAAAAATGTCATGAAAAAGAGTCAAACTATTTGGTCAAGAAATGTCCAAATACAATTTGTTGGACAATGTCATGGTAAAAAAAAATATATATATATATATATAGTTGGAGAAAGAATGTCATAAAAAAAAAGAAGAGTAAAAATACATTCGGTCGAAAACGTTGGAGGAAAAAAGTCAAATTATGTGAAAAAACTTCGTCATGATATCAATATTGCTGTGATATTTGTGCACCTGTTGATACCGAAAAGTTCCTATTATTTCTAAAACCGACATTACAGCCATTGCAACAAATTGCGTTTTTTCCCTTCAAATTTGTGTGCATATACTGCAAGTGACCTGAACCACCCTCATACTTTATACGACCCCTTATATTATTAAAACATTCCAGTGGGAGCTTGTCATGAAAACTATTTAAGTGGCCTTTTACTTGACGGCGCAGTGGCGAAGTGCCGGAATGACTCCACGGTGAGAGGAGCTCCGTCAGCTCCCAGAATAGAAATCCCATGTGGGTGGAGGGACGTGAACGCGACTCCAACTCTCTGTCCGCCTGCGGAGAGACGGTTCGAACCGAGAGGAACTTTGGCCTTTTTTTCCCCCTTCTCCTTTTCATTTAGCGTTACGCCCACAAACACTTGTGTTAGTCGGCTCCCGCCTCCGCCGTGACCCTCCTCTTCCTCCTCCTCCTCCTCCTCCTCCTTCCAGGTCAACATCACCTGTTAGGCGCGCGCCGCTCTGTCAGATTTCCCTGGAGGTGGATTGCATTTGACTCACGTGAAGATAAAGAACCCGGCAGGAAATATCCACAACCCACGGTAAAAAATAAAATAACAGAGAAGAACAGTCGAGGGAACCTTAACGCGACTCTGACGTCATTGACTTCAAAGTGAAAGCGCTTTAATAATAAAGTTCGCCGCGGTTCTCTTTGCCGCGTCGCTTCCGTTTGATGTCGCCCGGGGTTCCGCTACAATGTGTTGAACCGGAGGACGGAGAGAGCGGCCGCGTCGCAGGTGAGTCCGGCCAGCGGCTTCAATCCGTGTGTTTTTTGATGTTCGATACCGAGTCAGCAGAGAGGACTTCTCCCCCCTGTCCGCCCCCCCACGCTCCAGACTGCTAACGCGAAGTTACCGCTGTAAACGAGTTTGACGTACCGTGTTTTTTGACTCTACTCCCTCTTTACTGTTTTTACAAAAGAGGAATGAAAACAGCTTCCTGGTCGTTTTAATGCAACTCCCGAAGCCGACCGGCCGAGCCCCATTCTTCGGCCGTGAGTGTAACGCGGCTCATTGATTCCCCGGTTTTATGTCAAACACTATCACGTGACCAGGACGTGCACCCAGGACGTCTGAGGGACATACGTGAAGAGACATAAAGGGCTCCAGGAGACATGTCTGTAGTGTGTGGAGAAGCCTGTGTTCTGTAATTAAGCGCACCAATTATCTCCGCTTGTTGTCTCCATTTGAAGAGAAGCCCAAAGGCACTTTTATGTCCTCTCCTCCCGGCGCCCATGACAATAGTTCCAGTTTTGGAAGGCGTTGTTGTCTGTTTATGCCTCTTTTCCAGTTGTAGTCAGACACACACTGGCACCTTGTTTTGACTGTCTTGTGGACAAATCTGTGTCTGAGCCCTGTGGCTGTCATTAAGGGATCAAGCTCCTAAAGGTTTAACTCCCGCCATAATAAACATGTGTCGATCCAGCAGTCGCGTTCACTCGCAAGATGGGAATTCATCAAAAGGTTTGTTCTCACAGCGCGCCTTCAACTTATTGTCGTCTGTGGAAAAAACGAATGTTAAGGCCTCCTAAAGCCTAACTTCATGTAGGACTTTAAGGAAGATATTTGAAGCAATTCAGTTGGGCCGCAACTATTCATGAGCTTTTTTTTTTCATCCCATGTATTTGCCCTTGTGATCCAGGTGTTACTTCTAACATTAACAATGGACTCGTTGTGTTAAAGTCTCCCAGTGAACCACAACAAGAAGCCAGCATGCACACGCACAAGGAGCCTGAAACGACTGGGGCAAATGTTCAAGTTGCTTCTTTTTGTCTCATCAGTCCGAAACGGGAAGATGTTCAAAGATATAAAACTGACAAGATGACAAAAACCTCACACCGACACCCCCCCCCCTCCTGATTTTCGACATTCAAATAATCCTTATTTGAGCTCTACATTGCAGGAGCTTTTGATGAAGCAATGACATTACATATACATAAAACAAGTTTAGCTTCTTACACCTACTGAACTGCATATACGTTAAAGTGACGTAACAAATGTTGACAGTTGAAGCAGGACAAGATTTGGATTTTTCTAATCTCAGTGTTGCAAAGAGTATCAGAAACATAACTCATGCAGAGAATTTAGCTCTTTTCTTGAATAACAATAACAAGAGTTTGCAGAGGACATTGATTAAAGTATCGGTAACAAGCCTTGGTTTGGCGTTGTCAACACTTTAAACGTGTTCATCTTAATATTATTGCTGCTGGAGCGAGTGTGTCCTGACGTCTGCCACTGATGATGGCATGAAGCTGCCATTGTTGTCTACCAGAATGTATGTTGTTGCCACATCCTCTGCATGTGACACATGAGCTTAACTAGATGTGTTTTCATCTTGTCTGTTGCCACCCAGGTGTCAGGGGGGTCGGGTCGGATGAGGGGGGGGGTTCAGTTAGACAGGTAGAGGAGTGACCGCCCAAACCGGTTCCTCTCACCTGCTTTTCCTGCTCACGATCTTGTAATGTGAAGACGAGAGCTTCTCGGGCCGAGCGGGTCCAGAGTCCTGAGCATTTGATCTGTCTAAATACGCCCACAAATAAATGTGTTTTCATCTGTTTTTAAGGAAGCAAATCTGGTTCAACAACCAAACACATGCACATCTGGGTTGATATCATTTTCGCCTGCACGTCCTTTCATACAGCGGAAACTAAATAGTTCAGAGTGGGACTTTATATGTTTTGTATATCTTTCTGTGGGACGAGTGCAACTGAGTAGCAAAAGGAGGGACTTCAGTGTCTCAATTTTATAAAATTCCAAAAAAGGCGCATTTCTGATCCTGGCTGGAAACCTTGTGTGCCTGAGATACTAATGTGACGATGTCAGGCCTGCTACTGAAACCAACGTTTTAAAAACTGGAGGTTTTGGTCGGTTCGCTGTTAATTGTGGTCAACAAAAAAAATAATGCGTGGCTAGTTTATAACTTATGGCTTCTGCAGATGTGAACTAAAGAAGCGCTTTAACATCTGGAGTGTGGATGCCCCACTGGTCTGAGTGGTGCCGCTGTGGAGAATGTGACCGATTTCACAATTTATTAATCTCAGGGAAATATTTGAGTGTAAACCCAACCTGACGGTCAGCTTAAGAAGAGGCTTTTATTTTTCTTCAATTACTCGTACACGTTTTCTCCTCAAGTCGGTGTCAATGTTGCCCTGATGAAATGTCACAAATAAAACAAGTAGGTGATGGACGGTGTGCAGGGGGTTTGCAGTTTGGTCGGTTGACAGGAAAAACAAAATCCGAGATGGACTCCCCGAGCTCGGGCTGCGTGGATTAATCCGGCGTTGTACATCGCTCACGTGCTCCGCGCGTGACGTGTTTTTGCCGCGGTCGGCCTTCACACCCCCACGGAGCGCATCGCCCCCGCGGCCCTTTTGTCTGCCGTGTGGCTGATGGAATATAGCTGTTGGCAGTGTTGACTTTATGGTTTTGTGTACACAATGCTTAGCCGCACTTTTCCTTTCAGCCCCTCACCAACAGTAGGGCAGGGGGGGGTCCTAACGGGGACAAGGCCGTTTCAGAATGCTGCTGTATGTTATTCTCATCATTTGGGGGCTAAATCATATGGGTTTTTTTTGTGTCTGTGTCAGCAAACCGGATTTTACCTCGTTGGTTTGAAACAAAAATCCCCAGGGAACACGTGTGGATTTTGAAGAAACGTCACACACAGTTATTTATTTTGCACATCAGCAACCCTCATCCCAGTGTCTCGGCACGTAGTGCTCTGCACTCCCACGCACCCACGAGAGCGATCTCGCTTGCATACTGCGTGTTAGAACGAGGCGTTGGGCCCAAGTCCCACCTCTTTGATGAGGGAAAAATGAACACGATGAAGGAAAGGTCCCTTCGTTGTGTTTATTGACTGACTTTATCTGGATTATTTGAAGCAAAACGCACACAGCTGATTGGAGCGGAGCCTTGGAGCAGGAGACAAGGGGGGGGGGATACGAGCAGGGACTCCCTCCTGCACGGACTGTGACTTCTTCTCATCCCGAGTCAGCTGTTGATTGCTGATCTGTGGTTGATAATCAGCTGCTCGACTCTCCCGGCTTTCAGTTTGAAAGTTCTCTCATGTCTTGTGTAACCTCCGGGTGGTCGTTGCGCAATTCACACGCGCACAATCACATGCACGCTCTGTTCCCGCCCTGCCCGCTATCTGTCTATTCTCAGGGGGCGCTCCACTCCCCGCATCCCAGTCCAATTATTTTGGGCACAAAAAAGAGTTTTGTTCTTTTGATCCGACTCAGGTTGACCTTTGACCTCTTTTTTGTGTGTGTGCTTTTTTCATTTTTTTAATCGTTTTCTTACCATCTCCAACGGACTGACCCAATGTTTCTTGTTTGGTCCGTGCGTTCTGTTCGTTTAACCTGTAGCTTGTTGACAAACTACTGTTTGTTCTCTCTCTGTTTCCCGATAGTGAATCTGAGTGGACTTTAGCTGGAGGTCAGATAGCGAGTGGCCGCACTGACGTTTGTTTGGAAACTAATGGAACCCTTTTATTGGAAAACTCCCCGTTTAATAAAAAGAAAACCCAATTCCAGATAAGTCTCATGAGGGCAAATTTGTGTGTCAATGAGCGTTTCATTATTATTATTGTAAATAGTTAAATCAGCCATTTTTGGAACAGATTTACATTTTACAGATAACTTTATGAGAATATATACAGGTTTTAATACCTTAGAGATGACAACAAATAAAGGGCCTTTTTATTTTACGCAGCGGGTTTATACGGACCTGTGCTAGAATCTCCGCACAATGGCAAATTTTAATACCATTATTCATTACGTATATATGAGTTATTATTACATTCCATGTCCTTGGATGCCTCAGTAAAGCTGATTGTTGCATATGTGGTGCATCACCAGAAAGAAGTCTTTGACATTTTAGACTCCACTTCCTGTCGTTTTTGACCCCCCCGCCCCCCTCCCCTCCTGCCTCCAATCTCTCTCTCCATGTCAGTGTGCCAGTCGTTGTTTGGAAGCTCTCACTCACATCTCAGCTGTATATTTATCCCTCTGCCTCCACTCCGCCTGCCTTCGCTGCAGCCTAATAAGGTCTGGATGGAGGGTGAGAGGGGAGATGGTGGGAAAAGGTTGGACAACAGCATTCAAAAGAATTTTCCCACAAAATAGGTTTTGTATTTTTTTTGCGTAAAGCGGGCTGAAGATCAGAATAGAAGAAAGACGTCAGTATGATCCGGGCCTTTTGGGCAAAGCGCTTTGATGTGGAACACTGTAAACAACTATACAATGAATGAATGTGACCTCAAAGTCAGTCCTGATGTGGTCCACTGTCCTCCGTGGGCAACGTCCCCTGTTGGCATTATATTGACCCGTGTCTTGACGATCAAAAGCCTTCAACGCAAAAGTCTTTTGTTTATGACGCTTTGTGTTCACCCACACCAGAGTGCTTAAGCGCCCACACCCTGACCTCTGCCGTCTCTCCCACTATTGTTTCCTTCACTACTGTAAAGGGTTTTCTCCACCACAGGCTGCTCTCTGAAACCAGGGGATTTCTGGGGTTTTCTTTTCTTCTTTGTTTTAAGTGCTTATCCAGCTACTACTCAGCGGTGAAATCCCCTCTGTGAACAGTCGCCCCGATCGCTGATACGCCCTCGAACACCCGGCGGATTAGATTACCGCTAATATTCCATGAAGAAAGCCGCTCTCAATCGCCGCCTCCCATGACTTTGCCTTTTATTTTATTTTTTTAGATATGCCCCAACATGACGTGGAGAGCACCAGGAGCCCGTGGAAGCAGGGCCTTCGGCCGCCGTGGATGACCAGATTGGCCGGGGTTCAGAGCCCCGCCTCCTCGGGGGCGGAGTCTGACACGGAGAGCAGCAGCACGGAGAGTGAGAGGGTGAGTGACTGTCATGTCACAGGGGGGAGAGGGGGGGCGATACATGAAATCATCCCCGGTAGCTGCCGGTTGGAGCAGCTGAGCCAAAGAGTCATCTAACTATTTACTGTTTTAAAGCTGGTCTGCGGTTACTTCATCTCCTTTTTATTGTACGTTCTCTTTCGGTCAGTCCTGCGTTAAGAAGCTGGAGGGGGGCTCGCTGAGGTACCTGCCGTCGCCCTCAATGCTCCAACGCCGGATCACTGAGATTGACCAACAGAAGGAGGAACTAAAGATCGAAGTGAGCATGCTGACCGCTCAAAAAACATATTTCTGTCTCATCCGGTGGAAAGGATTTTTTTGACTTGGTTAATTGGACAAAGATTTAAATATGTCGTCTGGCACAAGCTTTTATATATTTTTTGCAATTCAATTCATAGACTTGAAAGAAAAATCTACAGATGAATTGATGGAAAAAAAATTTCAACCTCAGAGTGAATTGAAGAATAGGAAATCCTGACTAGTTGTTGCAGATGGAATGTTTCCCTCCCAAATAACTCACTTAAAACCGTTTTAATAAAACGGTACTCTCAGGACCGACAAGTCGTGTTAGGGCAGACGTGCTTTTAAAAAGTTATGAGTTTACTGAAGATTCCTTGGGTCGTAGTGAGCATTTGACCAGAAAATGAGACTTGCAATATAAGTCTCATATAAGTTTAAACAAACCGCTGAACGCTATTTTCTTTCTCCAGTTCAAAGTTTGATGTTTTTTCATTATTTGCCGGTGGTCGTGCGCTGTGCTTTGCAGATGCAGCTGGAGATCTCCCTGCTGCAGGGGGAGCTGCAGACGGAGCAGAGCCAGCTGCACAGACACACGCAGAAGCTGCAAGCTCTACAGCAGGAGGCCAGACAGAAGGAGAGCCACAGACACACGGACAGACACACGGACAGACACACGGACAGACACACGGACAGACACAAGGTATCCGGGGACGTTTATTCACGAATAACAAGCGTTTCTGAGGCTGGTTGCCATGACTGTGCTCTTCCATCATCATGGATGACCAACGGACCGCCATAGTTGTTACATTTAAATGGGTTAATGTTATGGAACACCTTCAATGTTAAAAAGATATGTAGACATCCAATATGTATATGGAATAAATACATCCTGAAGGAAATAACTGTTAGTGTGTGTGAGACACAATAATGTAAATATTCATCTCCATACATATACATGGGTATACCTATATAGGTGTCTGCATATAAACATATGCTGTCAATCTATCCATCTATCTAGATATAGATATACTGTATCCATCTATCTAGATATAGATATACTGTATCCATCTATCTAGATATAGATATAATCCATCCATCTATCTATCTATCTATCTATCTATCTACGTACGTACACCGTGGTTGAGTAAGTCTGCTGTAGGAATTTGACACGTAGAAATGTGGCTCAGTGGGAGACATCTTCAAGATAATAGTGAGGACAAGTTACTTTGAAATGACTGATGACTGCAGGTGATGACTGTTCTCGTGCTTCACTGTCTGTCCCTGCAGGAGCGGGAGAGTCTGGAGGAGGAAAGGCGAAGGCTCGAGGGGCTGAAGGGGAGGTGTGATGAGAAGGAGAAACTGATCTCCAGCCAGCCAGAGGGCCAGAGAGAGCAGCTAGCGCTGCAGCTGCAGCAGGTGAGAGGCTGAGCTGCTCACAGCCGGACTATGAATGAAGCTATGAAAGAACAAACGTTTTAACATATTGGAGGAACGGTGGTTGAACACAGTGTGATTGTTCGAAACCTGTTTAACCGAAAGTGTTAATGTTTCGGTTAGAGAGACACACACACACACACACACTCACACATACAGAGGTTGTTTATTTCTTTTGTGAGAATGTGACGGAACCAGATGGGAGACTTGTGGGTGGAGTCCAGCAGACGGTTGTTCGCTTATGTTGCGACAGGTCGTATTTATTTGGAAGGTTCTTTTCAGAAACCGGTTTGTCCATAATTGCAACACAGACGAAAGACACAAGTGCACGACTGCAGGTATTTTGGTTATAATAGATTATGCATGTTTTTTTGTTTCTTTTGCAAATGTTCTTCAGGTTCATTTTCACATTAAAGTATTACAGCAATAATTTACGGGGTTTTATTCTTTGGTAAATTTCTAAGATAGTTTCTACCTTGGTGCAACATCATAACTATTCCATACATTTCATTAGCCATACTGCAGCAAAAAACGCCTGTGATGAAACATATTTACAGACTAGTTTGGGGAAAAGTTAAAAGATGAAGAACTAGAAACGTTACCCATAAGATAAAGTTAGTATGCAGCATTACAAAAACTGCACAAAATGCAGAGCGGCTGTCGCAAAGTGGCCCCATTAGACCATCTGCTCGCTTGTGAATGCAGGAAAGAGAGGCGATGGAAGCGGCAATGCGAGCCTTCGAAGACTGGGAGTTTCGAGTTCTGGAACAAGAGAGCGGCCTCGACGAGGAGGACGCCAGCACGGCGGACAGAAACAAGGAGGGGGGGGAGAGCGGCGGGGACGTGGAGAAGGAAATGTCTCGTCAGCAGCACGCGATCAACACCGCGCAGGTAAACCGGCGAGTTCTACAGGTTTTGCAGCTCATTTGGCGGATGTGGGATTAAAACTCCCAACAAACCGCCCTCCAATACGGACGCGTGAAGGTGGACAAAATAACAGGAACAATAAAGTGCATTACAGCAGCCCTGCAAAGAACTGAGAGTTGTTAAAAAGGATTTCAGAATTTTAATTAATGACGTGTTTTGAGAAGTGCGGGGCCTTTTTTAAAGGTGTTAATGATGTGTAAATGTTCACCTGATGTAAAAAGCGCACTTGTGTTGAATGACGGTTTTGATTTCTTAATGAATAACTACCAGTATTCCCACCATACCGAAGGATTCAGCCACCCACCTCCCTGTTATGTGCATCCATTAATTAAAAGTATGTATATTCATGGACGGGAAACAAGGGACAACCCATCATAGAGCTCCAACAGAACCGCGTACAATAAAAAGTTGTTTTTCCTCCAGAAATGCTCCGCACCATTCTCCAATAGTAAGAGTCTCAAATTAATCATTCTTTTAAGTTATAATAAGGAGAGGGGAGAGAGGGAACTTTTAAAACCACAAATCTGCGCTCCTCCTATAATAATAATAATAATAAGAGTTCTAGGCATTTATCAACAAAGCTATAATTCTTGCTCGGACTATTTTTGCACTGCTGCACGTTTAAAGGCCTCGTTATTGGAGGACTCAGTACCACGTTATTTACAGTACGCTTATGCACATGTACACAATCTCCTCAAGTCCCAGCCCATAGTTGGTGTTGTGGTAAGACCCTCCTTCCTCTCCCTCTCTGCCGAATCTTGACACAAACATGAACTCTACTCCATTCTTACCAGGCTTAAAAATATTTGGTTGAATTTTAAGTAAAAAAATGTCATTTTAGCGACAGCGGTAGAAAAGGTGGAAAGGATTGGGAAAAATTACAGTGAAATGAAAATGACTAAAATGACAGTTTAGTATTATATTTAATCATATTTCTCAATGTGAAAAATGTAATGGCCCTTGAGGATTTTAATTGTTTATTATCTAAAATATATTTGATGTGAAAATGAAAATAATCTTAACATTAAATTGATATCTCTCAAATAAAAAAACACAGCACAAAACACTTAAAACCAGTAGTGGCACATATAAAAAAATGAAAAAAGTAAATTTGGTTGGCAAACCAGAACAGGCGTAGAGAAACAATATGTGATTTACTGTGGGCACCAAGACAACAATTGTCTTTTTAAAACCATGGATTTTCAGCTTTGGGGAGTCAAACAATAGAACACATTGGGGGACAGTCAAACTCTTCAGATTGTGATTGACATGATCATTTGAAAACGTCCGGCACATGTGACACATAGCGTGCTGTGTTCTTTATTTGGACAAGGATTTATTGACCTGAACAAATGTCTGCAATGCTCTATTAAATAACTTGTGCAGGGAACTTTTAAAGTCACTGAGGCCGTACCTAAAGAAGCCGGTGAATGCTGACTTCAGTATGCTAAAATGCACAGGAGGACAAAGCTAAAATGCTAATGTTTAGCAGGCCCAATGTTCACCATGTGCACGATGTTGCCATGCAAACATTTGCTAATTAGAATGTTTGTAGAAATTTTAATGGCAATAGTTCTTGATTAATTTTAGTCCGGACTGCAAAACATGTGGCCGTGTAGAGTAGATTGGCTAAAAATGGGGGCGGGTGAAACATGCCAAGAGCAGCTTTATTGATAAACTCTCTGGTCATTCTCCCGTATCATGAGTTCAAGAGTCTGAAAAGCATGTCTGCAATCTGCTGTTTCTAAATCATTGCTGAAGCCTCCACCAACCAAGTGAACAACAGATGAACAACTGGGTGCTGCAAGTTTGTTTACATTCTGGAGGGAAGTTGACAACATGACTTTTTCCATTCACATGTTCCAATTCCTCAAGAACACGTGGAAATCAACAATAGATTAGATGGAGAAAATAATACCCAATTGTTCCTCAATTAGCTGGCGTATGTGAGAGGAGGAGGAGGAGGAGGAGGAGGTGGGGGATTGTGTGAGAGGAATGGTAGTTGACTCAGCTGCAGCGAGGCCAGATTACAGCTCATCTCTGTGTTTCCCCCCCGTCTGTCGGTCTCTGATTTATCAGTTCGTCATTACGTCTGACTTCCACTCTCAGCCCTGCCGTGCCTCTCGTTGACTTGCAAAGTGGACGCCGGATTTGCATGGCGTCCCGGGCCTTGAGGCGGTCGGCTCAGGGGCGTCGCTCACACACACACACACACACACACACACACACACACCGAGGATGTTTCCCCCCCAAACGTTGCACGATGAAAATATTAAAGTGAAGCGGGGATGAATCGGATACAGCACGTGCCGTTTCTTCTGAGAAGAGGCCCCGCTGACGGCCGTCGTGATGTGAGTTTTCAGGAGCGAGTGCAGCAGTTCCAGAGTCAGCTGAAGGAGATGGAGAGGGAGAAGGAGAGGGAGCTGAACGCCTTGAGGAAGGAGAGGAGAGATCTCGTCCACACGAATCAAACTGTAAGACCATGTTGCTGCCTGTTGGTAATACCGCTACTGCTACTTGACAACAACAAAGAGAATTCATTCAGTGCCTGTCTTTTGCATTTTGACAAAGATGGCGACTGCAGACACTAGATGACACGTTTACTTGATTGTCCAGATTTGCAGTACCACTTAAACCTTTTTTTTTTCTTTTTGAATTTTGAGAATCCATTTTTCAGGAGTGCAGATTGTTTTTTTTGTCTTTGTCAGCTTCTACCCGTCTCGCAGCTTGTGGACGCAGGTTTATAAACGACTTACAAAGAGTGGATTGGGAGACAACACCCATTCTTTTTTTTTGGTGTAGATTTTGGGTTCCCGCAAGACTACAAGGGGGAGTGAGCTGGGATTTTTCTGACCCATGTTTGCTTTTTTGGACCACACTTCGCCCCATTTGAAAATGAGAAAGAGCCTAGATGTGGTGTGGGAAAAACCAATCTCCGCCCCGGAGGGGGGAGCGCGAGCGAGAGAGAGAGAGAGAGAGAGAGAGAGAGAGAGAGAGCGAGTGGGAGGGTGGGAAGGAATGAAAGGGATAGAGGGAGGAGTGATCAATGTAAGGGAGGGTGCTGCCGGGGTGTGTGTGTGTGGATGTGTGAGAGGGAGAGAAGGCCAGCTGGGAGAAGTTCCACATCCTTTTGGCGGAGCGGTAAGCCCCCGTCTTCCCACAAAAACACACTTACACCCATCCGAGCGAAACTGTCGCGTCTGTCGCAAGAATGCCGCGTCGTTTGCTTCGTCTGGTCGACTAATTGAGAGAGCGGGGGATTGTCTGAGCGGAGCGGCAGAGCGCAGGAGGAGAGGAAGAACAAGCCGCTGTCAAAGACGAGTGTGTATGACCACGGCGTGACCTCGTGCAGGACGCGCTTCACCTCTGACACACGCTGAGCTTTTAATACTCCGGCTCAGTCGTGTCGGGTTGTAGGAGGACTCGTGTAGCAGACAGTTCGGTCAGAATGAATCTGATTTCCTTGCTGTAGAGGACGATAACGGGATCATCGCGTTGCCTGAGCGTCTGCACTGCGGTAGAGCAGTGAAGGAGACGGATAACAGCGACTGAGTTGCTCATGTGTTAGTGAGTCAAGCGGAGGGGAGGAGGAGGAGGGCGGGAGGGAAGGGGGAGCGTCAGAGATAGAGAGACGATGATAAAGGGAAGCTTTAATTCTCATCCAGATGTGGTATGTCGGACGCGGCGGCTTTCACCAGCCATCTTTTTACTAATTCAATTAAACTGTTTAGTATTTGTGCCTTCCAGCCAGTGCTCCATTACAAAGGAAATTTCAATCTGGTCCTACAGGTTCTCAAAGAGAAGAAGCCACTCGCTGATTGGTCCAACATCACTGGCTCGGCCCCCTGCATGATGTCACTTTCCCCTCTCACCATTCACAAGCCTCCTCAGGTGTTCACAACTCATTCATTTTCTCAATTCTTCAGTTTGAAATTGTTGAAACTTCTCTAAGCGCTTTGGTTACGTTGTAGATATTTTAGGAAGTGTGACAAAAGAAAAGCAGCATTTATTCACATTTTAGAGGCTGCAAGCGGCCATAGACCAATCGCTTCACCGCTTCAGCTCTTACAGTTGAAGTGTTTTATCGTTTAGCAGGAACCGTGCAAAGCATCGGGCAGCCTGCCCAGAAGACGGAGCTCTCATCGCAGCAGCAGAGCCAGCGACCGGCCGGTGTCAGCGCATGGTGAGCTACCTGACGCTATTCTCTCGTGACCGATCAGTCAGAGCGCAGCGGGGGAACACTCTTTCTCTCTCCTCGCTCATTTTGTCTGCCTGTTTGTTCAGTTCCCGCCCTATTAGTCAAATCCAAGGTGTGTCAGCGCAGACGGCAGGCTGTTACTACCTTTGGGTGCAAAGCAGGATTTTCCTGTAAAAGGTTCCGGATGAGCCAGAGAAGAGCCTATTAGCTTAATCTCCTCAGTGGTATCGCTTTTTCACACCCACACACACACACACACACCAAAGATCCTCGTAGCCCGATCTACGGGGTCAAGTCTCGTCTTGCCAGGTGTGCTTCCCCTTAGTCACGTCCACGAAAGCCGTGACTGAAATGTTCTCAATCTAATGCGATTCATCGCGCTGCCTCTTTCCCCCCCACAGCTCACGTGCAGTTATTTGTGTTGACTGCAGCACGCCTTCCCCGTGTGTGTCTTTCTCTGCCTCCTTCCCCTCTCAGGGTCGGCGAGGACGCTTCCGGACAGCCAGAGCCCAGATGTCTTCTCCTCCCCCCCCGCCTCCCACAGGCTCAGCAACGGGCACGCCGTCGCCCACAGACACGTGAACGGCGGCGGCTTCCTGACTCCGTGCAACAGCACGACCGGCTCCCGCGCCGCCAGGTCAGCCGCTCCGCCGCTCGCTCGACCAGCTCTAGGAAGAAAAATGAAGGGCGGCTTTTCTTACTTACTTTGGCATTTGCATGCAGCAGTGGGGGCTTTTTCGTAGTTTGCGCGAGTGTTGGTTCATGTACTGAACAATGTTAGCGGCAGAGATCTGGAAGATAACGGGTCACAAACAAAGTCTGATGCATGAGCAGTTACACTGCTCCAAATCGTCCAATCCTAAAATTGAAAACAAACTACCTTACAAATCGTTGAATATTCTGGCCCAGCGCTACTTATTTGGAGATAAAGCTAAAAGTGACGACACTGTCTTCAGGATCAGGAATCAGGAATCAGGAAACATTTATTGCCAAAATATGTCAAACATACAAGGAATTTGTCTTTGCGGTTGGTGCGCGACAGACAGTGTAACAATAGACAACAAGATAGCAGTGCACAAGTAATAAAATAAAGTAAAATGAAATGCTAATGCAATGGGTTAGTGGAATAAGGCTATGGGTTAGTATAAAACAAGAGAATAAAGTTAGAGTTAAACATTTAAAATATTAAAAAAAGTTAAAAAATATTAAGCATAAAGTGCACTAGCGAACAAGTAACAAAGTCACGAGTGACGACAAAGTGAAAAATGACAGTTAAAGTGAAATGTGCAGTATGAAGGGGAGTGACCGGTGGAATGTCAGTCAGTGGGGGACCGGCTCTGTTGATGAGCCCGACTGCCGACGGGAAGAAACTTATCAATTCTAGTAAGTTAAAGTTTGACAGCTTTCTTTACCCTGGTCTGAAATAGACCTTAAAGAAGCAAAGTGGCCCAAAATCTCGAAGCTAGCCAGTGCATTCGTTAGTAGCGTGTTGGTCGTGCTATTTACTGTGTCACACACACATGGTCTCATAAAACGTATTTGTCAGATGAGACGTACATCGGAGATTGTAATGCAAACTAATAACTCTTTTGTAACTTAGTACAGTTATCATTACAGTGTTTCATAATACTGAAGACATGCGTTGACTTGTATGTCCCCTTCATTGACAGGACTCCTTGTCAGCTAACGAGCTAACTTCTGAAACCATAAGCAAAGTCATTTGTACATTTTATTTTGACACGTTGTGTCCGATGGATCATACTGTGGGTTTACTGAATAAGCAGTTTTGTTTGGTTGAAGCAAACACAGCTGCTAAACGTGGAATTTTGGACTGATCTCAGGAGCTGGACTGCACGCCACACGCATGAATAAGCAATGTGAACGCAGTTCTCCGCATCCTTCTCCTTCACCTTGAGCCTGGATGTGTCATTTCGTCCGCTTTGATGAACCCTGTCTGTTCCCCTCGCAGCCCGTCTCTGATGGATCTCGTGGAGATCGAGAAGAAGCTGAGGGAAGCCAAGGCGGAGAGAGAGCGGCTGCTCAGAGAGAGGGTGAGTCACCCGCTCGCCGACACCTCCTAATCGCCAGCGACACGCGGCGTCGGACACGGCCGTCTGGCCGATGACGCCCACCCGGCCCGAGAATACGGCCCTGCGGATGTGTGCACGTCATGATGCGCGTTTGCACCACCGGCGAAGGCCGAGACTGTAGAAACGATTGGCCAGATGGTTGTGAATTAGGGTGACGTTTTAAGAGGGATTGTTTGCGTTTCTCTTTGGGATGCACACACACACACACACACACACACACACACATCATGTCCTGGTGGTCAAAGGGAATAAGCTAATCGTTTTCAATGTGTTCACCCAGGAAGAGCGGCGCTGGTTGCTGTTGGAGGAGAGAAAGCAGAAAGAGCAAAACTCTCCCATCAAAGAACCAGAGGAGCAGGTGACCCCACAAAGGCTTGAGCTGGATCCAGAGCCAAAGGAGCAACCGAAGGCCGGTTCTCCCCCAAAGTCCCCGGAGGTACGATGGCCTTTTCATACCTGTGATGGTGATATTTTCTATATGAGCTAAGTCACAAAACGGATAGAGATGGAGGCAATAGAGATAAAAACTTGTTTGTTCCCCTTATTCTTCTTCCTTGTCAGAATCTGACTTGCGTCCGCTATTCTCACACTGGCTCATAGCGCCCTCTAGTGGGCTGTCGAGGTGTTACCAAATGGTTGGATTAAATTTTCTTTCATAGTAGCACACAAAGGTAGTGTCATATTTGAATGTGCTCAATACTTTTTGAGTTGAAAGCCCTCATTTCATTGGCCAGTTAAATATAAACTACACTATCCTCGACTAATCATTGGTTAATGAAGCCTGTATTCTGAAACTGTTGGCCAGCTAAAGTTTGCTCAGAAGCAGCAGCAGGTGAGAGTCAGCAGAATATGTTTTGGTTTTTGGTCATTAAAGCCGACAGTGGCATGATGGAAATGCAGCCTTGAGTTACGTACGGTTGAGAAGTCGTGACGTAAACTACCCAGAATTCCACAGGTTCAGGTGTGTTGTGTTGAGCAGCAGTGGATGCAGCCTGATGAGGAGGAGACTCCACAACAAAGATACTTTTCACGCTTGCAGTCTTCAACTCCTTGGAGAGCTTTGTACCTTTTTAAACCGACGCAGCAGTGCTATCCACAACCTGTTGACACACTTTTATCTATTACATTTGTGGAATATCCCTTTTAAGGGTGAAACCTAGTTTTTACTTTGAAACATTTAATTTTTACCTAATATCACACTCTGATTTTGCTGTTACTGTTATTGTATGTAACGATAAATGTCAAAAGTGGATTTTAATAAATTCAGTTAAGTTGGTAGGCCGGATAAATGAGTTAAAGAACAGGGCTGATCACACAGCAGAGTTTTAAATGAGATGCGCTGTCGAGCCACACACGTTTTCAGGGCGAACATGTCAGGATTCGTACGGTCGTCATTTGTACGATCTGATTGCAGAAAGCCCTCCGGCCGCACGGCCTGCCACTCTTCCTCTCCCCCAACTTCGACCTCCGCGCCCACGTGGAGTCGCTGGGTCACGGGGTGTCCGGCTGCGTGGACCTGCGGCTGACGCCCCGGCGCTGCGCCGGCTTTCTGACCAAGCGCGGGGGGCGGGTTAAGACCTGGAAAAAGAGATGGTTCCTGTTTGACATGGACCACAAACGACTCGCCTACTACACAGGTCAGACCAGTTGAGAGAGCGGTGTGCACATTTCTGTTGGTTTGCATGTATGTGCACACCGCCAGCTCACTCAAGCGTGTTGTGAAATGAAGCTGTAATAGCAAGCAAGTTTTTTTTTTTCTCGTTTTTTTTCATCTTCATCCACCTCCTTTTTTGTTGCGTATTCTGTTGTATTTCCGCTAAAAAGCTTTTCTTGAAGGTAAAACTGGCTACATTATTTACTTACAGCTAACTTCACTAAATGCATTAAGAAATTGCAGAGTAGTAACAACGTTTATGACTTGAATGAGTCCATCGTTGTCACCACTCCTTTCTCCTTTTTTGACGCAGATTGCGACGAGAGGAAGCTGAAGGGAGTCATCTACTTCCAGGCCATAGAAGAGGTTTACCTCGACCATCTACGAACGGCCACTTCTGTGAGAAGACAAATGATATTATCCTGTATATTAAACGGCTTAATACACTGCTTAGTTGTTTAGTCCATTGGTTGTGAACTTGGACATCGGTCCCCTTCAAAGGCTCACAAGATGAATCTGAGGGGTCATGAGATGATTAATGCGGCTGGAAAGAAGGGAAAATAAATTCTGCTAAACTTGTGTTCATATAATTTTCTGTTTTTGAATAACTAGCGGAGTCTTTTTGGTTCTGCTATAGTGCTATTCAAGGCTAATTATGATTTTATTTAATGCAATAAACAATAAAAATAAAACACTATTTCAAACTAAAGCAGGGTGTTCTGCTCCTGAGAAAAATAAAGACATGTTTTATCAATGCCGCTCTCCCAGTTCAATGAAAGCAGCATTTATAAAAAGAGCTTCAAGTGAACTGTTGTATCAAATTTAATCTTGTTTTTTTGTTTGTTATTATTATCGTCTCACTATTACTGTCCGTCTCCTCTCTTCAGTCCCCGCGACCCAGTCTGACGTTCTGCGTGAAGACATACGACCGTCTTTTCTTTCTGGTGGCCACCAATCCAATGGCCATGCGGATTTGGATGGATGTCGTTGTCACGGCAACAGACGAGCACAGCCGCTACTGACCCAGAGCAAGAGTGACTCAGTGAAAAAGGAAGAAAAAAAAAGACGACGCCACAGAGCGGACAATACCAGTTAAGCCGGTCCAAGCTGAGATTGGGCGGGGAGGGGATTCTGTAACCGCACTGATGAATCCTGGGAAACGTGTGAGACGCCGTGGTTCGAGATGCCGGACAGTTTGGGGAACGGGGGCTTGATGCCGGACTGGCTGAGTTGCTGCACACTGGGAGTCTGTTACTGGGAAGCGTCACTTTGAGCCCCATAGCTCTCGCTGCTGGTCACAGGGCTGGTGTAGCACGACACCGCAACGGGGTGACACAATGGTTGCAACATTGTTCAATATAATGCAATCCAAAACCTAACCACCCTTTTTTTGTTATTTTGTGTTGGATTGTTTTTATATTATCGGGTGTTTCCACTGATATGTCCGTAGAGTGTATTGATGTTTTCATAAATGACATTTTTATGATTTAAATTATTATATAGAACTTTATATGGGTTTGATATGCAAATAAATGAAGACATGCAGTTATGAATGCACTATTAAATGTTGATTCATAAAAGGTTTTGCTCTAATCACTTTTTTTTAATGTAAATATTTATTGAGATGAGATGAGATTTTTGTTTTCCATCTTTCATGCATTCATCATGGATTCATATAAGATTACGGTTAATTAAATCTACTAGTTATTGGTTCACTGTCGAGTGCCCTTGTTTTCAAATGGTGTTTTAACCAAATATCTTATTTCAGATTCTTCTGAGAAATTAGGGATTTATGGTTTTAGTTTAAAAAAACAACCTTTTATTCCTCAAAATATGAGTGATCTAATTGATCCAACACACTCTGCCATCGGTGTCAACTTCTTTATTTATTTATTATTATGTTCTTATTTGAAATTTCTTAACTATCGACTGTTTCCTCAATGTCTGCATGTTGCCGCAGTGGTTGAGCAATAAGCCTGTGGAAAGTTTCATTTTTGTTCAAGCACAAAACAATTTTCATCTAACTGGAAGTTAGTTTGCTCTTTGCTAGATTTCAAACACAACATTAATTATAAAAAGCCACACGGTTCACAGTATTTTCCATAATAATCATCTGTCCTTGTGTTAGTTGACTTATTTGTAGTAATTAGTCAGGGTTCTGACATCTAGCTTGTTAAAAAACATCCCAAAATGCACACTGGGAACTTCCTTCGGTAAAATATTCACACTTTGCAAACAATACATGTCGAGTTTTATTTTGACTTCTCTTCCTCTTTATTTAGATAGTTAAACAGTTTTAAAAAACAAGTGGGTTTGTATGTGGAAATCATTTTCTTTCCTGTGCTGGTTGCCACACCCAATGAATATCTCTAAAGAGATCATGCAGACTGCTGATAAAACCTTTATTCAGCTGCATAGAATCAACTATCACTGTTGCATTTAGTGATCAAGTCGGGAGTTTTCTTCTTAAGTCTCTGGGGGAAAAAAAGGCATCGTATGCTGATCACCGTTGTTGGCTTTAAGGTAAGAACAACATTTCAGAAAACTCAAATGATGCAAAGCTGTAAAAATGTTCTTTCTTGTTAGTTGATCCAGTAGATCTGTATAAGATTTCAAGAACGTCGAATCCAATCGAAGTTGCACATTCTTTAAATGTACGTATAACATTTACTGGATTTGCATTTATTAACATGCTTAATATAATTTAATCATTTTATGTCTTTTCTATGCTAATTCATTTTCAGATCACGCTATGCAAGACAGTACAAAAAAGTTTTGATCATTTATTTAAACAAATTAAAGACAGAAAAACAATATAAATAGCAGTTCTGGTAAGAGGAAGTTGGTTGATGTGTTAAGTGATGCCATGATGCCGTATCATTAGTAAATATCTCCCTGTTTGCCTCCTCAGTTGATCAATAATCAGTATAGAGAAGCCATAAAAGTTCTACTCTGCTGTTAAAATGATAAACAATACAAACGCCAGGAATCTCAAAACAAAAGTCGCCAGCAGGGATTGTTTGATAACCCCTTTTGTTAGTGTGATCATCAAATACATTTCATTTCCAACCAAAAACTGTTTATTGTGCATCACCTTGCTGACATTGTGACGGTAAAACAGACATTAGAGATGAATAGATCTGCTTTGTGTGCAGCACAGCATCTCTCTGTAGGCGCATCGACCTGACAGGAAAGCATGACAGGTGCTGCCCAGCTTCTCCTGCTGTGCTGCCTCCTGCAAGGTAGAGTTTCACACATTTAAATGGTGTTATTGGTGGTTATTCCTTATAATCATTTTATTGGGAGATTTACTGGGCTACTTGTTTCTATTGCTGTAATTGTTTAATCAGGTAGTTTATGCGAGAACTGGGGAACCTTCCTTCCTGAGAGACTGGAGGGACTCAGTGGGTCCTGTGTGATGATCCCCTGCACTTTCAGCATTCTCTCAGAGTATGATACAAAGCTACAGGATGATGATACCTGTATAGCCAAATGGATCACAGGCTCTACGAGTGGGCCAACGGTGTTCAACTCGGGCCTCACTGCAAACGGAAACACTCTGCAAGGAAACCTGACGGGAAACCTGCGTGCAAAGAATTGCACCACCGTCTTCCACAACATGTCGCCACAAGATAATAACAAATATTACTTCAGACTGGAGTGTAAGAGCCCTTTCAAGTTCATCCTAGATAAAAACGTCCAGATCACCATCACAGGTTTGTGTAACACCCTGTTAATCTCACATATGTAAAACTGACATCCTCAGGTTTCCCTCTTGACGTTTCCCTGTTGTTTTTTCACTCCTCAGATTCACTTCCTAAACCGTCCATAACTCCACCCCCGGTCGAGGTGAAGGAAGGAGATCCAGTGAGGTTGGAGTGCTCGGCTGTAGCTCCCTGCCCCCTTCTTCCCCCGGCTCTCACTTGGACCCCTGCTATCGGCGACGTTAAGGAGAACCAACAAAGTGCATCCGTGAGCTCCGTTCTGAACTTCACTGCTTCCCGCCTCCACAACGGACAGAGGTTACAGTGCTCTGCTCTCTACAGACGACAGGCTGGACACAGTGACCTTCAGTATGAAAATAATCTGACCCTCCGCATTCTTTGTGAGTACGATTCTGCTGCTTAAAATGTTCCGTTATGTCTTATTCACATAAGATGACACATCTTCATTTGAGCTTGTTTCTGTTTACAACTGCAGACTCAATGAAATGATTTGTTCCAAAGGAAGTCCTTTCTATGTCAGCAGTTTGTCAACTTCTGAGCCTTGTTCGTCGCGTCTGCTGTGGAAGTTTTTGATTGATTTTGCATTGAGATTTCCAGATAATGAAACTGCTCTCTCTCCCTTTGCGTTTCTCTACATACTAAACATTTTGCTTATCGTTCTTATTGCATTGTGGAATCCATTAATAGTTATCTCCTGGTTTATTTGATCATGGGACACGTTCATTGGCAGATACAGTTGGCATTAATCTTGCAGATCTTCAAAATTCCATTTGTCTTTTGGCACTTCAGGATCTTCTCTTCGATTTTGGCGTGAACTCAGAAGTTGATGTTCAGATTTGGAGAGATTTAATTTTTTGCCACCATATCCAATCTTATTGGATATATTCGGAGTCTGTCTTAACCGGTCTAAAAAGAATTTTTCCACTCCAAAATTGACCAGGTATTTCTATTTAATTAGCAAAATCCTTGGATGACTGACCTGGACCCTCTCCTTTCAGATCCCCCTAAGAACACCTCGGTGTCAGTCGACCCCTTTGGTCCGGTGCCGGATGGCAGCTCCGTCACTCTGACCTGCACCAGCGTCGCCAATCCAGCAGCAGCCAACTTCAGCTGGTTCAGATTTGCCGGAGGAGAGAAGGAGCTGATAAGCTCCGAGCGAGACTTCACTTTCAATGTGACCAAACTCTCGCACGACCAGTACGTCTGTAATGCTCTGAATGTCCACGGAGACGATGACTCAGAGCTCGTCAGTATTGATGTCACATGTGAGGATCATTCATCTGTTGTTGAATTTAAACATTTATTGTTCCCAACAAGTTTGACCAAGCATGCACAAAAAGGCCAATTATCTTCTGTGTCTCAGTTGCTCCACAGATTCTGCCTTCTTCACGCTGTGTCAGCATTGGTTCCCTGATACGATGTGACTGTAACAGCCAGGGGAACCCTCCTCCCTCTCTTTTTTGGGAATTGCCTGGGAAGGCTGTCGATCACTCTGTCATCCCAACCAGGGAAGTTCCCCTTGGGAGTTTGGTCATGTGGAGCCAAATCACCGTGAACTATTTGGACGAAGACGTGCTCTCTCTAGTCTGCCTTAGTAACAACTCTGTGGGCTCCGATCGCTTCGTATTCAACGTGTCCTCCACCAACACTACGCCAGGTACAGAGATATGAGGATATTTTACTTTGTATAATCTGCATCTCTTGTATCTCTCTCTGGTTTTACTGACTCATTGTGGGGACTTTTCAGGCCTCTATCCTTTGTCTCTATTAATCGGCTCTTTGGTGGGAGCCATCGGGACGATGCTGGTGTGTGGGCTCATGTTACTGTTCTTCTTCAGGTGAGAAACAGGAAAAGACAGCGGCTGATACTGTTGATGCTAAACTCTCCAAAGGCCATTTGGGGACTGTTGCGTCCCGTTGCTAGGGGTAGCAGGACATAAACTTAAAAACAGATGTAGTTGGTATTTGATAGGATATTCATTTTTGGAATCGGGCAAAACTACAACAACCGAGCTTACAAATGAGGAAAAGGGGCTAAAGGGTGCAGTGGAAATCAAAAACAGAATATAACAAAAAGTGATCCTCAAAAGGAAGACTATTAGTGCCACTATCAGAAAACAAAAAACTCACTAACAAAAAGTACAATACACACAGTACATATTTGAGCGGTAGGAAACTAATTGCCGTTCTTGGATTGGCCGGGACTTCTGGCGGGTCTTCTCTCGTCCATCCAATCTTCGGCGTGGGGTGTCACAGCCTGCTTTGCATACACTCAATTTACCCACATGAGGTTTCCTGGCAGCCTTTACAGGGACAAAATGAGACAAATGCTGTGAGGTTGTTGTCACCAGGATGGCTTTGAATTAGCATTTGATAACTATTGCTGCCACCGGTTAAATACAACTATTTAATAAGAGACTTTTAAATTACTGCCCACAAACTATATATATATATATATTTTTTTGTTGTAGAAAGGGAAAAATACGACTTCCAACAAAGAAGAGATCGCAGAACAACGTTGTAGTTGCTGATGAGGTGAGTTTACGTCCTACGAACACGCAGATGCATAAAAACCTTCATAAGAACCTTCACACGTCTTCCATCAAGGAAAATCATTAAAAGTACCAGTCAAATATTTTACGAAGTACAACTGCAGTTAAAAGATAGTTTCATAGAAAAGTCAGAGTAAAGTTTACAAAACGTCATATTCATCTTAAAGCGTAATATGCTACAAAAATGTCATATAGTACTATGTTATTAAAATGGCATATCATAGTATGTCATAAAATGTAAGAAAGGTATTCAATTGAAATGCATCAAAAAGTAAGCCATTATTCTGTCATAGTGTTTAATTTTTTTATTTGACCTTTATTTAACCAGGTAAAATCCATTGAGAACCAATTCTCATTTACAAGGATGACCTGGCCAAGAGGCAGTAGCACAGTCCACACAAGTGACACAAACAGCACAGACACAATACATAGTGTATTATGTCATAGTACAGCACATCAAAAATATATTTAAAAAATCTATCACTTAAGTGTGCAATGAAAATGTTTAAAAGGTCATAGTATTTTATGCCAAATTGAATATTTTATTATAGAATGCCATGAAAAATGTACTCAACCCTGAAGTCTGAATCAAAGGATGCAATAAAAACATCATAGTGTAACATGCTGTAAACAACTTGCACTATTATTGCATACTAGCATGATGCACTGCCTGTCTTTCCTCTCCCGTGGGGAACTGGTAGCCGGAACTAAACTAGGAAGTGTAATATAAAAAGAAAACATTGTTTTTAATGGAGGTTATGTAATCCAGCTGGGTCTAAGTGTGTAGCGACTATCCCCTCTTCTCCATTACTGAAGCAGCCCTCTTGTTTTCTTCTAGACCAGCTCATCAAACGTCAGTGTGATTTATGACAATAAAGCCATTCTGGAAGAGAATGAGGAAGAATCTCTTCACTACGCCAGTCTGGACTTTGCTAAACTCAAAGATAATTCAAGGGGTGAGCTCGGGGAAGAGGAGGTCAGAGGCCTGGCCTCTAAGACGTCTGAGTATGCAGAGATCCGTCTGTCCTCCAGAGGAAGCAATGGAGGACACACAAGGGAGGAAGAGACGGAGGCTGACGTCCATCAGGGGGAAGGGATGTTGTCATAGGAACAGGACTTTATCGTATCAGCAGAGCTGTGGAGATAGAAACCACACTGCAGGCCTCCTTATGCAACGTGAGTAATGCCTCACACTCGCGGCTTCAAGCTTAGCTCTCAACTTTTTGCCACTTTATTTCATTATCTCGTGTCTCTTTGCTGAAAAATGCACAAAAGAAGCATAGAAATAAAAAACATTTAGTATTCCACCATCCAACAGTAAATGCTGCCTGTAAAGTCATTGCTGATGCTTTTCTACGTCTCTCACTTCAATAGAGTCACATTTGTCATGCTACTGTTTACATTTAATATTTGATTCATGGCTTTTGTCTTAGAGCTCGCTTGAGTTATTATTGTTCCATCACTGAGAGCAAAACACTCGACAAGATCACGACTGTTCGCTGTCCTTGCTCCTAAATAGTGGAACGAGTTCTCTGAAGACACCAGGACCGCAGAGAGCCGTCACATCTTCCGCCGCAAGACAGACCTCTTCAAGCTCTACCTTGAGTAAAAAGACTAACAAATTGTAGCCCTTAAATTGTACTTATAATGGCACTTATCTATAACAAGTTGTAAATTGGCTGTCTTCATTGTGCTTTCTTGTTTTTTGTTCCTCTGAGTTTGTACCCCTATGGTTAAATGCACTTATTGTAAGTCGCTTTGGATAAAAGCGTCAGCTAAAGGACATGTAATGTAATTATTTAAAACGTTTTAGGAGAGTCTGTCACAACTTTTGGGAATGGTTTTTTGTAAAACTCCATTAATATTTGTGCTTGTTAATTAAATAAAAATTCTGTTATGTTGGACACAGTCTATAATAAACAAGCCTCAGTAGAGCCATTTAAAGCCATGTCATCTTGTGCTGCTCACAAATTTGGGTATGTAAATAAATATTTAAAATATGAATAATTGCCCATGCATTCTTTATTTCATGATCCAGTAGCTCATAACATTACCCACTTTCCTTCCAACTTTTTTGTACTTTAGATTGCAACCTCTGCAAAGTCATATGAAAGTAATAATATAGTATTTTGAAAAACATTATAATGTCCTAATTTTAATCCTTATGTTAATAAAAACTCAGAATTTATAGTAAAGTAAAAGTCATCGCATAATAAAGCAATAAAGTACGAGACGCTGTACTTTATCGTCTAATAATGAAAGAGTTCGGGGGCGTTGTTAGCCAACTAACGGACTGACATGTTCTGTGAGCGAGGTTACACATTAAGAGTTTGTCCTTAATGGAATTCCCCCCCCCCCCTTAAATTACTTTTACTTTTAAACTAAGTACTTTTGAAACTAGTACTTTTACTTAAGTAAAAAGCTTGGGTTGATACGTATTTTTAAACCCTAGTCCAGGGGTGCCCACACTTTTCCGGCTCGCAAGCTTCATTTCGACTAACCAGGTCATGGCGATGTACCTTTGAGATCGACCTATTGGACATCTCTGCCCTAGAATCTATTCTTCTACTTGAGTAATGAATGTGAACGAGAACGTCGGCATATTTAGCATCAAACAATACATTTTTTAATTATCCAGAGAAAGTTTTATGTACATTTTTTAATCGCTCTGTACATTCAGAATGTATTTACTTACAGAAAAACATGAACCGCTCCACAGGACAGTCACGTGAAAAAGAACGAACTTCACTTGCTGTTTCCCTCGTCACACTCCACTAGCTGTCTCAGGAGTACAGCGCCTTCTAGTGGCTTTAGGTGTGAACATCATTTTCCCACTGAGCTACACATATATATATATATATATATATATATAAAAAAGTAAATGTGTGACACACATTAACTTTAATCAGTGATTGGCTAACTGCAACATATTGTGGTGGAGGTTTGACCGAACGCAAATGTTTACAATCAAGCAACTGCCCCGAAATCGGTACAGGGGGGATCCTGGCCAGAGCTTCTATAATGTACAAAGACAGAGAATCAGTACTGACATGTACAGAGAGGGGTTTGTCACTATGGGGGACTTTCTAAGTCTAAGGAGATTTTACTATTTCACTCTTAGCAAAATGCAAAAGATGGAACTAACTTTGTTTTAAATTGTCTTTTAGCCAAATATCTTATTTTCAAAATGTGTTGGTAGTAGTTATTCAGGGTTCTGACATCTAGCTTGTTAAAAAAAAAAAACCAAAATGCAAACTGGCAACTTTCTCCGGTAAAGCATTTATACTTTGCAAACAATGCATGTTAAGTTCTGTTTTATTCTCTTCCTCTTTATTTAGATAGTTGAATAGTTTTGAAGAACTGGGTTTGTTACAAAGTGGGTTTGTATGTGGAAGTCATTTGTGTTACTGTGCTGGTTGCCGCTCGCCATGCAAATCTTTAAAGAGATCACCGGTCTGTTTGTCACTGTCCATCAAAGACAGCTACAAAAAAACACTGAAGCATTCGGGCCCTCACGACCAGCCTGTGTACCAGCTTCTTCCCCCAAGCCATCAGACTCCTCAATACTCAGAGACTGGGTTGACACACACACACACACACACACACACACACACACACACACACACACACACACACACACACGTCCTGAGTTGCACTTTATTAATTGTCACTTTATAACTGTCTGCTACCGCGAATAACACTATTCCTTAGTATGTAATGTTCATGTTTTTAGAAACTGTCATCTTTTTGTACTATTGTGTACAGTATTTTACGGCACTTGTCTGCACGTGGATTGTATATAGATATTTTATAAAGTTATTTAGATGTCTATGCCTGTGTTTGTCCTATGTTGTTTTTATGTAGTACCATGGTCCTGGAGGAATGTTGTCTCGTTTTGCTCTGTGTTGTAATCACTGTACATGGTTGAACGACAATAAAAAACGACTTGACTTGAATCTTCATTTGATCAATAATCAGTGGAGAGAAGCTATATAAGTTGTTGTCGGCTGTTAAAAATGATAAACAATACAAACATCGGCAATCACAAAACAAACGTTTTTCCAGACATTTCCATCCTAACATTCAACATTTACTAGTTATTGGTTGAGTGTCGAGTGCCCCGTTTTTGTCAAATGGTGTTTTAACCAAATATGTTATTGCCCATTCTTCTGAGAAATTAGGAATGTTTGCTTTGTTTTGTTAATGTTTTAGTTTTTTTTTTTTTTATTCCTCCAGAAATACGAGAGAACAAACTGATCCAACACACTCTTGACATTGGTGTCGACTTCTTTCTTAATGTGTGAACGTTGCCGCAACAGTCAAGCAATATTTCTATGACACTATTCTTTTCCTTCGATTTAGATTGAATATTAGCAATGTGTTATCTTTATCCTCGTCTTAGTTACCTTCTACTACCTTTAAAAACAATGCATATTGAGTTTTGTTTTTACTCTCTTCCTCTTTATTTGGACAGACAAAAAATTTTCAAGAACAAGTGGGTTTGTATGTGGAAGTAACTTGTGTTATTGTGCTGGTTGCCACTCCCCATGGAACCACCCCACACTTTAATACTGATGAAACCTTTATTTAGCTGCGCAGAATCAAGTATCAGTGTTTTATATACTGATCAAGTCAGGAGTTTTCTATTTAAATTTGGGGCTGCGTTTTTTTTTTTCAAATAAGTAAAGACATCGTATGCTGATCATCGTCATTGGCATTAAGGTAAGAACTAAGTTTCAGAAAACAAATAGCATCACATGTACATAATACTGTGGTGGAAGTTTGACCGAACGTAACATTTACAATCAAGCAACTGCACAGTCTTAGCTTAGCAAAAGCTAATAAATATTGTCAAACGTTGCGGCAAGATGGATCTAATAAAATTTGTCTTGCACTGTTTTTTTAAATTGTCTTATTTTTTGAATTGTCTTGTTCTTTTTTGTCTTATCTTATTTTACTTATTTTGTTGGGAGTGGTTAGTCAGGGATCTGACATCTAACTTGTTCAAAAAAACACCCCAAAACGCACACTGGCAACCTTCTATGGCAAAACATTTAAACTTTGCAAACAATGCATGTTGAGTTCTGTTTTATTCTCTTCCTCTTTATTTATATTGTTACAACGTTATGAAGAACAAGCGGGTTTGTATGTGGAAGTCATTTGTGTTACTGTGCTGGTTGCCACTCGCCATGCAAAGCTCTAAAGAGATCATCCAGACTTGCCACCGGTCTGTTTGTCACTGAACCTTCAATGCTGATAAAACCTTTATTCAGCAGCGAAGAATCAAGTATCAGTGTTGCATATAGTGATAAAATGAACACCTCTTCATTTGATCAATTATCAGTGGAGAGAAGCTACATAAATTGTTCTCGGCTGTTAAAAACTAGAAACATGTGGAAGTCATTTAAGTTATTGTGCTGGTTGCCACTCCCCATGAAACCAACCCACACTTCAATACCGATGAAACCTTTATTTAGATGCACAGAATCAAGTATCAGTGTTTACTGATCAAGTCAGGAGTTTTCTCTTTAAATCTCGAATACGTTGCATTTTTCTGAAAATAAATACATCGTATGCTGATCACCGTTGTTGGCTTTAAGGTAAGAATAACATTTCAGAAAACTCAAATGATGCAAAGCTGTAAAAATGTTTTTTCTTTCTTGTTGATCCAGTAGATCTGTATAAGAACTCATGGATGTCAAATCCAGTCTGCTTAAGTATTTAAAATATTTAACATTCACTAGATTTTCATTAATATAATTTATTCATGTCAGGTCTTATCTCTGTCAATTAATCTTCAGATCACGCTATGCAACACAGTACAAAAAAGTTTTGATCGTTTATTTAAACAAATTAAAGACAGAAAAACAATATAAATAGCAGTTTTGGTAAGAGGAAGTTGGTTGATGTGTTAAGTGATGCCGTATCGTTAGTAAATATCTCCCTGTTTGCCTCCTCAGTTGATCAATAATCAGAAGCTATAAAAGTTCTACTCTGCTGTTAAAATGATAAACAATACAAACACCAGGAATCTCAAAACAAAAGTCGCCAGCAGGGATTGTTTGATAACCCCTTTTGTTAGTGTGATCATCAAATACATTTAATTTCCAGCCAAAAACTGTTTATTGTGCATCACCTTGCTGATATTGTGATGGTAAAACAGACATTAGAGATGAATAGATCTCCTTTGTGTGCAGCACAGCATCTCTCTGTAGGCGCATCGACCTGACAGGAAAGCATGACAGGTGCTGCCCAGCTTCTCCTGCTGTGCTGCCTCCTGCAAGGTAGAGTTTCACACATGTAACTGCTTTTAATGTGGTCTTATGAAAGTGTTGACAAACAGTGAAAAAAATGTTTTGATTGTTTCATTTTTAATTTTAATCATTAATTGGGACATTTACTGTGCTACTTGATTTTTTTTGTTAAAGATTGCAGGAATTTATGTTGCTGCAATTGTTTTATCAGGTGGTTTATGCCAGAACTGGGCGAGCTTCATGCCTCAGAGACTGGAGGGACTCAGTGGGACCTGTGTGATGATCCCCTGCACTTTCAGCATTCTCCCAACATTTGATCAATACCTGGATGATACCTGTGTAGCCATTTGGAAGACAGGCTCTACGAGTGGGCCAACGGTGTTCAACTCGGGCCTCACTGCAAACAGAAACACTCTGCAAGGAAACCTGACGGGAAACCTGCGTGCAAAGAATTGCACCACCGTCTTCCACAACATGTCGCCAAAAGATGATAACACATATTACTTCAGAGTGCAGTGTAACAACGACTTGAAGTACAACTTTCCAACAAACGTCCAGATCACCATCACAGGTTTGTGTAACACCCTGTTACTCTCACATATGTAAAACTGACATCCTCAGGTTTCTCTCTTGACGTTTTCCTGTTGTTTTTTCACTCCTCAGATTCACTTCCTAAACCGGCCATAACTCCACCCCCGGTCGAGGTGGAGGAGGGAGATCCAGTGAGGTTGGAGTGCTCGGCTGTAGCTCCCTGCCCCCTTCTTCCCCCGGCTCTCACTTGGACTCCTGCTATCGGTGACGTTAAGGAGAACCAACAAAGTGCATCCGTGAGCTCCGTTCTGAACTTCACTGCTTCCCGCCTCCACAACGGACAGAGGTTACAGTGCTCTGCTCTCTACAGACGACAGGCTGGACACAGTGACCTTCAGTATGAAAATAATCTGACCCTCCGCATTCTTTGTGAGTACAATTCTGCTGCTTAAAATGTTCCGTTATATCTTGTTAATATAATATGACATGTAAAAATCCCATCGTCTTTTCACATCTTCATTTCAGCTTGTTTCTGTTTACAACTGCAGACTCAATGAAATAATTTTTTTATTTTTCAAAGGATTTTTTCTGCCTCCTAAATTATGGAGTATTTATTTTGTGTTTAGCACTAGATGAGAAGATTCATACCTTTGTCTTATCAGTCATGAATAAGAAGTTTCAGCAGCAGCTGGTTATCGTTGTCACAAGGAAACATAATCCATCTACCAGCAGGTCTTGAGCTCAGTAGATTTGCTAAAATCCTCTTCCAGATCCTCCAAACAACACGTCAGTCAGCCACTCGGGTCCCGTGATAGAGGGCACCTCGGTCAACTTGACCTGCAACACCGACGCAAATCCGGCCGTGGACGAGTTCACCTGGTACAAAGTGGATGGAGGTCAGGTGGTGGCAGTGGGTTTCCACGCTTTGCTCTCCACTAATGTCTCAGAGGCGGACAGCAGGTTCTTCTGCCAAGTCAGTAACAGATATGGAAGCCAGAACTCGTCCACCACTCAGATAGACGTACAGTGTGAGTCAGAGTGCGACAGGAACACAGATGGCAAATATCCACCGTCAACATGGACTGAACACATACGTGTGCGTGCTTTTTTTGTACAGTTCCTCCCAAGGGAACCACAGTCATTGTCCAACCCGACGGTCCCATACTGGAGGGCGTCTCTGTTTCTCTGCTCTGTAAGAGCCGTGCGAACCCCCCCGTGACCAACTACACCTGGTACAAAGATGATGAGGAGGAGGAGGAGGAGCCTGGGTCGAGCTTGAAACTAGGCGCCGTGGACCCGAGCCAAATCGGTCTCTACCGCTGTAAGGCCAGAAACGATCTGGGGGAGGATCAGTCAGCAGCAATCCAGCTGGACATTCAGTGTGAGTTGATTTTCCACATGTTCCTAACCCGAGACTCAGTCAGTGTCTGGACCGTGGGCAGTGACCTATCGTTGAGTTGCGTGACCAAACATCAAAGTCCCTTCTATGTCAGCAGTTCGGCAACTCAGAGCCTTGTTCCTCGCTCCTGCTGCTGTGGATTTTGTTCGGTTTTGTATTGAGATTTCGAGATGATGAAAATGTTCTCTCCCCCTTTGTTTTTCTCTACATGCTAAACATTTGGCTTATCGTTCTTATTGCATTGTAGAATCCATTAATAGTTCTCAACACGATGTATTTCCATTTAATTAGCAAAAACCTTGGATGACTGACCTGGACCCTCTCCTTTCAGATCCCCCTCAGAACACCTCGGTGTCAGTCGACCCCTCTGGTCCGGTGCCGGATGGCAGCTCCGTCACTCTGACCTGCACCAGCGTCGCCAATCCAGCAGCAGCCAACTTCAGCTGGTTCCGATTTGCCGGAGGAGAGAAGGTGCTGATAAGCTCCGAGCGAGACTTCACTTTCAATGTGACCAAACTCTCGCACGACCAGTACGTCTGTAATGCTCTGAATGTCCACGGAGACGATGACTCAGAGCTCGTCAGTCTTGATGTCACATGTGAGGATCATTTATCTGTTGTTGAATTTAAACATTTATTGTTCCCAACAAGTTTGACCAAGCATCACGAAAAAGGCCAATTATCTTCTGTGTCACAGTTGCTCCACAGATTCTGCCTTCTTCACGCTGTGTCAGCATCGGTTCCCTGATACGATGTGACTGTAACAGCCAGGGGAACCCTCCTCCCTCCCTTTTTTGGGAATTGTCTGGGAAGGCTGTCGATCACTCTGTCATCCCAACCAGGGAAGTTCCCCTTGGGAGTTTGGTTATGTGGAGCCAAATCACCGTGAACTATTTGGACGAAGACGTGCTCTCTCTAGTCTGCCTTAGTAACAACTCTGTGGGCTCCGATCGCTTCGTATTCAGCGTGTCCTCCGCCAACACTAAGCCAGGTACAGAGAGATATGAGGATATTTTACTTTGTATAATCTGTATCTCTTGTATCTCTCTCTGGTTTTACTGACTCATTGTGGGGACTTTTCAGGCCTCTATCCTTTGTCTCTATTAATCGGCTCTTTGGTGGGAGCCATCGGGACGCTGCTGGTGTGTGGGCTCATGTTACTGTTCTTCTTCAGGTGAGAAACAGGAAAAGACAGCAGCTGATACTGTTGATGCTAAACTCTCCAAAGGCCATTTGGGGACTGTTACGTCCCGTTGCTAGGGGTAGCAGGCCATAAACTTAAAAACAGATGTAGTTGGTATTTGATAGGATATTCATTTTTGGAATCGGGCAAAACTACAACAGCCGAGCTTACAAATGAGGAAAAGGGTGCAGTGGAAATCAAAAACATAATATAACAAAAAGTGATCCTCAAAAGGAAGAACAAAAAGTACAATACACACAGTACATATTTGAGCGGTAGGAAACTAATTGGCGTTCTTGGATTGGCCGGGACTTCTGGGCGGGTCTTCTCTCGTCCATCCAATCTTCGGCGTGGGGTGTCACACTCAATTTACCCACATGAGGTTTCCTGGCAGCCTTTACAGGGACAAAATGAGACAAATGCTGTGAGGTTGTTGTCACCAGGATGGCTTTGAATTAGCATTTGATAACTATTGCTGCCACCGGTTAAATACAACTATTTAATAAGAGACTTTTAAATTACTGCCCACAAACTATATATATATATTTTTTTGTTGTAGAAAAGGAAAAATACGACTTCCAACAAAGAAGAGATCGCAGGACAACGTTGTAGTTGCTGATGAGGTGAGTTTACGTCCTACGAACACGCAGATGCATAAAAACCTTCATAAGAACCTTCACACGTCTTCCATCAAGGAAACTCATTAAAAGTACCAGTCAAATATTTTAGGAAGTACAACTGCAGTTAAAAGATAGTTTCATATCATGTCAGAGTAAAGTTTACAAAACGTCATATTCATCTTAAAGCGTAATATGCTACAAAAATGTCATATAGTACTATGTTATTAAAATGGCATAAAATGTAAGAAAGGTATTCAATCAAAAAGTATTGCATCAAAAAGTATGCCATTAATCTGTCATAGTGTTTAATTTTTTTATTTGACCTTTATTTAACCAGGTAAAATCCATTGAGAACCAATTCTCATTTACAAGGATGACCTGGCCAAGAGGCAGTAGCACAGTCCACACAAGTGACACAAACAGCACAGACACAATACATAGTGTATTATGTCATAGTATAGCACATCAAAAATATATTTAAAAAATCTATCACTTAAGTGTGCAATGAAAATGTTTAAAAGGTCATAGTATTTTATGCCAAATTGAATATTTTATTATAGAATGCCATAAAAAATGTACTCAACCCTGAAGTCTGAATCAAAGGATGCAATAAAAACATCATAGTGTAACATGCTGTAAACAACTTGCACTATTATTGCATACTAGCATGATGCACTGCCTGTCTTTCCTCTCCCGTGGGGAACTGGTAGCCGGAACTAAACTAGGAAGTGTAATATAAAAAGAAAACATTGTTTTAAATGGAGGTTATGTAATCCAGCTGGGTCTAAGTGTGTAGCGACTATCCCCTCTTCTCCATTACTGAAGCAGCCCTCTTGTTTTCTTCTAGACCAGCTCATCAAAAGTCAGTGTAATTTATGACAATAAAGCCATTCTGGAAGAGAATGAGGAAGAATCTCTTCACTACGCCAGTCTGGACTTTGCTAAACTCAAGGATAATTCAAGGGGTGAGCTCGGGGAAGAGGAGGTCAGAGGCCTGGCCTCTAAGACGTCTGAGTATGCTGAGGTCCGTCTGTCCTCCAGAGGAAGCAATTGAGGACACACAGGAAGGAGGAAGAGACGGAGGCTGACGTCCATCAGGGGGAAGGGATGTTGTCATAGGAACAGGACTTTATCGTATCAGCAGAGCTGTGGAGATAGAAACCACACTGCAGTCCTCCTAATGCAACGTGAGTAATGCCTCACACTCGCGGCTTCAAGCTTAGCTCTCAACTTTTTGCCTTTTTATTTCATTATCTCGTGTCTCTTTGCTGAAAAATGCACAGAAGCAGCATAGAAATTAAAAACATTTAGTATTCCACCATCCAACAGTAAACGCTGCCTGTAAAGTCATTGCTGATGCTTTTCTACGTCTCTCACTTCAACAGTCACATTTGTCATGCTACTGTTTACACATAATATATTTAGTTCTAGCTTTGGTCTTAGAGCACTATTGACTTATTAATTTAAACCTTTAAGAAGAGTTTGTTACAACTTTTGGAAATGATTTTTGTAAAACTCAAAAAATAATTGTGCTTGTTCATTAAACATAGAATTTGTTCTGTTGGCAGATATACAGGAGTATTTAACTGATTGTTTCCACAGTATTTCAGAAACAAGCCTCAGTAAAGTTTAAAGCCATGTAATCTTGGGCTGCTCACAAATTTGGGTATGTAAATAATTATTTAAAATATGAACAATTCCCCATTCATTCTTTCCTTTATAATCTAGGATTTAGAACAGGTTTAATTTTGATATTCATATTTACGTTGCTAAAGTATGTTTTTCCAAGTCCCATAATTGTATGTCAAAACAAGTATTAAAAATGTAAGGCATGTTGAAAAAAAGTCATTGTCTGGATTTTCTGTGGTAAAAAAAATGTCATAGTGTAGTATTACTGAAATGTCCAGTTTAGTTTGTCAAACAATGTAATTGTGGAGAGGATAGGGTGAAAAAGGGGAATGAAACTAAAAAGAAAAACCAACAACGCCACTCGGGAAATTTTTACCCCGAGAAATAATCTGGACGGTACAAGGCCCACAGGTAAGTTTACGCTTATTAGGCAGGAGACGCAGTTCACGGTTTTAGAACAAGTACAACTTTATGTTAAATACTTTTAAAATCAGTGGAGTTTAATTCAAAGCAAAATAAAATCAATTAGAACAATTTGAGGGCTGGAGCTGGGTGGGCGGACAACGCTATAGGTGTAGCGGCGGTGGGGGGGAACCCACCAAATCAAGAAAACAAACTCAAAACAACTCAGAACCACCCGACGTAGTGAGGAACCCGCTTCCCAGGACACCGCCAACAAAGGGGTAGGACACCACCACCCGGCCACCATCACCACCAGTCTCCAGCCACTAAAAGACAAAAACAATTTACAAAATTACAATAAAATAACATCGAGCCAACAATACAAAAGGGACACAGACCTGGTTAAAACACAGACGTGACAAGGGTTTAAAAAGGAACTGATCTGGCGCCCGGTATGAAGCGGGGATGCCAGGCGTGGCGACCGATATTCGGCACACCAAGCTGCAGACAGACCGCACGCAGTCCTACACAGCCAGTAGGAGAACGCTTCCAGGGGGGGAGATAAAGGCTGTCAGCAGAACGCCGCGGAGACGAAGCTTCCCTGGAGGTGGAGCTTCAGCAGAGACGAGTGCATGGAGACACAAACTTCACTAGACACAAAACAGCAGCCACCCCATCTTGCGGATCAACACAACTCCTGTTCTAGGACACTGGCTGTCGCTGCCATTTACCAAGCAAATACGCCACTGGAGCACAGAGCAGCACGCGTCTAGTCGCCCCGAAATGACACATCTCACAGAATAGAGGCGCAAGAGGAAGCTCTGGTGGAGGCGTGCCACTTTTAAACCGGTCCACCTAATTGCAGCCACCTGGTGTTAATTGCCAAAAGGGTGGCACCTCTATACTGCTACAACAATGAAGTAGTTTGGGTAAAGTGCGTCGACAAATAGTCATGAAAAAAAGTAAAGGTTATAGAAGTCATGGTATAGCAAATAAAAAGGCCCATAAAAAGGTAGAGTATGGCCCAGTGTGTGCAAAAGAATCATAGATAAGTGATACGATAGTATGTAAAAAAAAAAATTAAAAAGTCAAAGTATTTTGATAAAAAAGTCAAAAGAATGTTTATCAAAATAATTTGGAAAATGTGTATAACTTCTTTATTAATATATATATTTTTTGTGTATACATTGATATGTCAGAGCTTGTCCATGAGTAGAAGATGCCATTTTCTCTGCTGCGAAGTTGGCACTTATAGAAGAGCAGAATTCAAAGCGTGTTATGAAATGGGACATAATGCATTATTTATCGTTTATACTTTTTATTATTCATTATTTGTTTACAATAAAAATACACTTTGAGATTATTCCTTAAGTAATTTTGATTGTAATACAGAAAATATTCAACTAAAACTTTGATGCACAACACATACGTCTTCTTTTGTGAACACACAAAAAATATCTGTTTGTAGGATTGGGACCTTTTCAGGGGGCTTTTGCTTGGACAATTTAGTTACACATCTTCTTCCGCCTCTGCTTCTAGAAAAACAAATAGCATCACGTCAACAACATACTGTGGTGGAAGTTCGACCGAACGCAACAGTATATGTTCAAGCAACGGCCCCGGAATCGGTACCGGGAGCATCCTGACCAGAGTTTTATAACACGAGACAAGAGTCAATACTCACATGTACAGAGAGTCTGTGGGACTTTCCATGTCTGAAGGGATTTTACAATTTAAATGCAGTCTTAGCTTATGCAAACAATGGAACTAATACAATTCATCATGCACTGTTGATTTAAATGGTGTTTTAACCAAATATCTCATTTTCTCTTAACTTATTTTCTTATTTTGTTGGTTGTCGTTAGTCAGGGTTCTGACATCTAGCTTGTTTAAAAAAATATCTCAAAATTCCCACTGACAGCTTTCTCAGGTAAAACATTGATGCATGTTGAGATCTCTGAGATCTTCTCTTCCTCTTTATTTAGATAGTTAAATAATTAAAAAAAAAAGACGGTTTGTATGTGGAAGTCATTTGTGTTACGCTGCTGGTTGCCACTCCCAATGCAAATCTCATGCAAGAGATCATGCAGACACGCACCAGTCTGTTTGTCACTGAACCGTGAATGCTGATAAAACCTTTATTCAGCTTTCTCTTTAAATCTAATGTTACATTTTTCCGAAAATAAATACATCGTATGCTGATAACCGTTGTTGGCTTCAAGGTAAGACCAAAATAAAACTCAAATGATGGAAAGCTGTAAAAATGTTTGTTCTTTCTTGTTAGTTGATCCAGTAGATCTGTATAAGAACTCAAGGACGTCAAATCCAGTCCGTCCAAAGTATTTTAAAGAAGTTAACTTTAAATATTTAACATTTACTAGATTTGCATTAATTTAACCTGCTAAAAACAATTCATTCATTTTATGTCTTTTCTCTATTTAACTTTTTAAATCACATTATGACAGACACTACAAAAAGTTTTTAATCATTTGTTTTAACTAACAACTAACAGACAAATACATAAATAGCAGTCCTCGTCAATACGAAGTTGGTTAATGTGTTTAGTGGTTTCATAACGGTAGTAAATATCTCTCTGTTTGCCTCCTCAGTTGATAAATTATTAGCAGAAAGACGCTTTAAAAGTGCCTCTCTGCTGTTTAAAATTATGATACAAACACCTGGAATTCTAGGAATAAAGTAGCAAACAGGAATTGTTTGATAAACTCTTTTTCTTTGTGCAATAAACAAAAACGTTTTCTGCTTATAACAGTGTTTATTGTGCATCACCTTGCTGATATTAGAGATGAATAGATCTCCTTTGTGTGCAGCACGGCATCTCTCTGTAGGCGCATCGACCTGACAGGAAAGCATGACAGGTGCTGCCCAGCTTCTCCTGCTGTGCTGCCTCCTGCAAGGTAGAGTTTCACACATGTAACTGCTTTAATGTGGTCTTATGAAAGTGTTGACAAATGGGGGAAAAGGGAGATTGTTATTGATAGTTTCAATTTTGTTTCAATAATTTTTTTGGACCTTCACTGTGCTTTTTGTTTTGTGGTAGATATTTATATCACTGCAATTGTTTTATCTCAGGTAGTTTATGCCAGAACTGGGCGAGCTTCATGCCTCAGAGACTGGAGGGACTCAGTGGGTCCTGTGTGATGATCCCGTGCACTTTCAGCATTATCCCAACATTTTATCAATACCTGATTGATACCTGTGTAGCCATTTGGACGACAGGCGAGCCGTTTGGTCAAACGGTGTTCAACTCTGGACTCAACAGAAACACTCTGCAAGGAAACCTGACAGGAAACCTGCGTGCAAAGAATTGCACCACCGTCTTCCACACTATGTTGCCACAAGATAAAAACACATATTACTTCAGAGTGCAGTGTAACAACAAGTTGAAGTACAACTTTCCAGCAAACGTCCAGATCACCATCACAGGTTTGTGTAACACCCTGTTACTCTCACATATGTAAAACTGACATCCTCAGGTTTCTCTCTTGACGTTCCCCTGTTGTTTTTTCACTCCTCAGATTCACTTCCTGAACCGGCCATAACTCCACCCCCGGTCGAGGTGGAGGAAGGAGATCCAGTGAGGTTGGAGTGCTCGGCTGTAGCTCCCTGCCCCCTTCTTCCCCCGGCTCTCACTTGGACCCCTGCTATCGGAGACGTTAAGGAGAACCAACAAAGTGCATCCGTGAGCTCCGTTCTGAACTTCACTGCTTCCCGCCTCCACAACGGACAGAGGTTACAGTGCTCTGCTCTCTACAGACGACAGGCTGGACACAGTGACCTTCAGTATGAAAATAATCTGACCCTCCGCATTCTTTGTGAGTACGATTCTGCTGCTTAAAATGTTCCATTATGTTTTATTCATATAAGATGACATGTAAAAAGCCCATCGTCTTTTCACATCTTCATTTCAGCTTGTTACTGTTTACAACTGCAGACTCAATGAAATGATTTTCTATTTTCAAAGGATTTCCTCTGCCTCCTAAACTTGGAGTAAGACGTATTTGGGTTGAAAGGCTTCGTTGGCTCATTCACATTTTTATGTGTGTGAGGGGAAATTTTTATGTTATTGTTATGTTTTACATTATGAAAATAAAAGTATTTATTTTGTGTTTAGCACTAGATGAGAAGATTCATACCTTTGTCATATCAGTCATGAATAAGAAGTTTGAGCAGCAGCTGGTTATCGTTGTCACAAGGAAACAAAATCCATCTACCAGCAGGTCTTGAGCTCAGTAGATTTGCTAAAATCCTCTTCCAGATCCTCCAAACAACACGTCAGTCAGCCACTCGGGTCCCGTGATAGAGGGCACCTCGGTCAACTTGACCTGCAACACCGACGCAAATCCGGCCGTGGACGAGTTCACCTGGTACAAAGTGGATGGAGGTCAGGTGGTGGCAGTGGGTTTCCACGCTTTGCTCTCCACTAATGTCTCAGAGGCGGACAGCAGGTTCTTCTGCCAAGTCAGTAACAGATATGGAAGCCAGAACTCGTCCACCACTCAGATAGACGTACAGTGTGAGTCAGAGTGCGACAGGAACACAGATGGCAAATATCCACCGTCAACATGGACTGAACACATACGTGTGCGTTTTTTGTACAGTTCCTCCCAAGGGAACCACAGTCATTGTCCAACCCGACGGTCCCATACTGGAGGGCGTCTCCGTTTCTCTGCTCTGTAAGAGCCGTGCGAACCCCCCCGTGACCAACTACACCTGGTACAAAGATGATGAGGAGGAGGAGGAGGAGCCTGGGTCGAGCTTGAATCTGGGCGCCGTGGACCCGAGCCACCTCGAGTCCTCGCGTCTGCTGCTGTGGATTTTGTTCGGTTTTGTATTGAGATTTCGAGATGATGAAAATGTTCTCTCCCCCTTTGTTTTTCTCTACATGCTAAACATTTGGCTTATTGTTCTTATTGCATTGTAGAATCCATTAATAGTTCTCAACACGATGTATTTCCATTTAATTAGCATAAAACCTCGGATGACTGACCTGGACCCTCTCCTTTCAGATCCCCCTCAGAACACCTCGGTGTCAGTCGACCCCTCTGGTCCGGTGCCGGATGGCAGGTCCGTCACTCTGACCTGCACCAGCGTCGCCAATCCAGCAGCAGCCAACTTCAGCTGGTTCAGAGTTGCCGGAGGAGAGAAGGAGCTGATAAGCTCGGAGCGAGACTTCACTTTCAATGTGACCAAACTCTCGCACGACCAGTACGTCTGTAAAGCTCTGAATGTCCACGGAGACGATGACTCAGAGCTCGTCAGTATTGATGTCACATGTGAGGATCATTTATCTGTTGTTGAATTTAAACATTTATTGTTCCAAACAAGTTTGACCAAACATGCACAAAAAGGCCAATTATCTTCTGTGTCTCAGTTGCTCCACAGATTCTGCCTTCTTCACGCTGTGTCAGCATTGGTTCCCTGATACGATGTGACTGTAACAGCCAGGGGAACCCTTCTCCCTCCCTTTTTTGGGAATTGGCTGGCAAGGCTGTCGATCACTCTGTCATCCCAACCAGGGAAGTTCCCCTTGGGAGTTTGGTTATGTGGAGCCAAATCACCGTGAACTATTTGGACGAAGACGTGCTCTCTCTAGTCTGCCTTAGTAACAACTCTGTGGGCTCCGATCGCTTCGTATTCAACGTGTCCTCCGCCAACACTACGCCAGGTACAGAGATATATGAGGATATTTTACTTTGTATAAGTCTCTCTCTGGTTTTACTGACTCATATGAATTGTGGGGACTTTTCAGGCCTCCATCCTTTGTCTCTATTAATCGGCTCTTTGGTGGGAGCCATCGGGACGATGCTGGTGTGTCGGCTCATGTTACTGTTCTTCAGGTGAGAAACAGGAAAAGACAGCTGCTGATACCCTTGATGCCAAACTTTCCAAAGGTCATTTGGGGACAAAATGAGACAAATGCTTTGTGAGGTTGTTGTCACTGGCTGACTGCTTTTGCTTGTTTGTTTTTGTTGTAGAGTAGGAAAAATAAGTCTTTCAACAAAGAAGGGATCGCAGGATAACGCCGCAGTTGCTGATGGGGTGAGTTTACATCCTACGAACATGCAGATATGAGGCGCCGTTTGTAAAATGTTGTACGTTCTAAAATCCGGCGCAGTTTTGCTACATTTAGCATCATCATATGAACAAAAAAGCACGACAATATTCATGTCACTTTTTCAAACATTTAGAGGGAAGTTCATTTTCTAAGGATAATGTTTGGCAGTAAGTTGTTAAATAATATAAATGATAAATGTAAATCTAAACGTTAAATCTAAAAGTTAAATCTAGAAGTTGAATCCAAATGTTCACTCTACATATCAGACTTGACTTTACAATATTTACGGTAATTCACGCTGCGGCAAGACAACCTGGCAAATCCGGATGAATTAGCTCTTGTTATAGAGCAGGGGTGTCCAACTCCAACTAGGGGGCTACATACTGTCCACGTTGAAGTCATGCGGGGGGGCGATGGTCCGGTCAAGGGGGGGGGGGAGTTGCGCGACGTTCCGCGCCTGTGAACCCCCTCTCCACTGCGGTCATGTGTTCTGCATTTCAAAATGAAATGTCTCTATTTTTTTTTTTTTTTTTTACAGGTCATTTAGCAGACGCTTTTATCCAAAGCGACTTACATTACACTTTAAACCCATGGCTTTTTCACATTTTTGCCTGGGGAGCAATTAGGGGTTAGTTGTCTTGCTCAGGGACACTTCGACATGGAACACGGGGCAGCCTGGACTCGAACCGCCAACTTTGTGCTTCACAGCACACCTTCTCTAACCCCTGCGCCACGACGACGACCCCGTATTTGAGGTGTTATGGTAAAAGGGCTTACAGCCTTAAAGGCATTAATCGCCTATTTGTGAAGTGTCATAGACCCAATCGGTCTTTAAACCAGATCTCAAAACGATAACACTCTGCTATCACTTGAACATCCGGGGGGCACGGGCGTGCGGTCACATCCTCTGCAATTGTCCGGTCGGGGGGTTGCGCAACGTTCCGCGCCCGTGAACCCCCCTCCCGCATGACTTCAACGTGGACAGTATGTGGGCCGCCACCTAAAATGAGTTTGACACCCCTGCTCTAAGAGCTAATTCAACAGGACTTGCCAGCTTGTCTAGCTGAGGCGTGAATTACCGTAAATGTTGTAATGTTCAGTCGTCAAGTCTGATATGTCGAGTGAACATTTAGAATTACATTTAACATTTAACAACTTTGTCTCACTGCCAAACATTATCCTTGAAAAAGTTATTCATGCAAATGTATGCAATTTCTCTATAAAATGTTTGAAAAAGTGACATATGAACGTTGTCGTGCTCTTTTGTTCATATGATAATGCATTTTACAAACGGCGCCTCATATGCAGATGCATACAAAATGGCATAATATAGTGAGCCATAAAATGTAAGAAAGGTATTTAATGAAAATGTATGCCATTAATCGGTCAGTGTTTTAGGTCATAGACCAGCACATCAAAAATATATTATAAAAATAAAATCTTAGACTTTTTAACAATGAAAATGTTTAAAAAAAGTCATTAGTATTTTATGCAAAATAGAATATCTTTATTTATGACGGCATGAGAGGCTACCCAGCACTCAGCGGACAGTCCGAGGACACCAAGGTCAAATATCAACAAGGATTTTATTAGTTATAAGTTCTTAGGAATTGACAAAAATCAGCGGTCCAATTTTAGAAATGTAGCTAAGGCTTAGGCTGATCTTCAACTGTCAAAAATTTAAACGATGCTGCTTCGTGGTGGTGAAATCATAATCTCAGTTCCCTCTGGTAAGTAAACAGTCTTTTCTGTCTTACTGCAATCGGAGCGGCAGCCCGTGGCCAACCCAGCCATATGTCCTTCAACGTCCCGTAAGTAGCTCCCAGGGTCGTCTCTCCAGCCGTCCTCGGGGAGAGCCTCAACCTGCAGCTTGTCCCTCAAACCCCACACACCTCCCTCACTATCTCTCTAACCCTTAAAAGCCCTTCAGGTCATCAGACCCCGATCAGTCTCAGGTGTGCGGGGATGTCAGGAATTGATGGGTGGAGTTCCCAACTCTACCAGCAGATGCCGTAGCTGTTTCTGGTTACAGCCATCTTATTGGGATGTAGCGCCCTTTCAGGAAAACAGGCTCTCGTGACATCACATATTATAGAATGCCATAAAAAATGTACTCAACCCTATTATTGCATATTAGTTAACCGGAACTAAACAAGGAAGTGTAATATAAAAAGAAAACATTGTTTTAAATGGAGGTTACGTAATCCAGCTGGGTCTAAGTGTGTAGCGACTATCCCCTCTTCTCCATTACTGAAGCAGCCCTCTTGTTTTCTTCTAGACCAGCTCATCAAAAGTCAGTGTGATTTATGACAATAAAGCCATTCTGGAAGAGAATGAGGAAGAATCTCTTCACTACGCCAGTCTGGACTTTGCTAAACTCAAGGATAATTCAAGGGGTGAGCTCGGGGAAGAGGCGGAAGAGACGGAGGCTGACGTCCATCAGGGGGAAGGGATGTTGTCATAGGAACAGGACTTTATCGTATCATCAGAGCTGTGGAGATAGAAACCACACTGCAGGCCTCCTTCTACAACGTGAGTAATGCCTCACACTCGTGGCTTCAAGCTTAGCTCTCAACTTTTTGCCACTTTATTTCATTATCTCGTGTCTCTTTGCTGAAAAATGCACAGAAGAAGCATAGAAATGAAAAACATTTAGTGTTCCACCATCCAACAGTAAATGCTGCCTGTAAAGTCACTGCTGATGGTTTTCTACGTCTCTCACTTCAATAGAGTCACATTTGTCATCCTACTGTTTACACATAATATTTGATTCATGGCTTTTGTCTTAGAGCACGCATGAGTTATTATTGTTCCTCCGTCACTGAGAGCAAAACACTCGACAAGATCACGACTGTTCGCTGTCCTTGCTCCGAAATAGTGGAACGAGTTCTCTGAAGACACCAGGACCGCAGAGAGCCGTCACATCTTCCGCCGCAAGACAGACCTCTTCAAGCTCTACCTTGAGTAAAAAGACTAACAAATTGTAGCACTTAAATTGTACTTATAATGGCACTTATCTATAACAAGTTATAAATTGGCTTTCTTCAATGCGCTTTCTTGTTTTTTGTTCTTCTGAGTTTGTATCCCTATGTTTAAATGCACTTATTGTAAGTCGCTTTGGATAAAAGCGTCAGCTAAAGGACATGTAATGTAATTATTTAAAACGTTTTAGGAGAGTCCGTCACAACTTTTGGGAATGGTTTTTTGTAAAACTCCATTAATATATGTGCTTGTTAATTAAATAAAAATTCTGTTATGTTGGCCACAGTCTTTCATAAACAGGCCTCAGTAAAGCCATTTAAAGCCATGTCATCTTGTGCTTTGGGTATGTAAATAAATATTTAAAATATGAATAATTGCCCATGCATTCTTTATTTCATGATCCAGTAGCTCATAACATTACCCACTTTCCTTCCAACTTTTTTGTACTTTAGATTGCAACCTCTGCAAAGTCATTTAAAAGTAATAATATAGTATTTTGAAAAACATAATGTCCTAATTTTAATCCTTATGTTAATAAAAACTCTGAATTTATAGTAAAGTAAAAGTCATCGCATAATAAAGCGATAAAGTACGAGAGGCTGTACTTATAAATAATCCAATAATGAAAGAGTTCGGGGGCGTTGTTAGGCCCGATGTGCAGCAGAGGTCTGGCAACCCTCGAACATTTTCGAAATTAAAGTACTGCCTCAATGACCTTATTGCTTTTATAATACGCTTACCAGCGAAATTAAAAATAGTAAGTACTTTACTCTGACCTATCTAAGCAACTATCTTTTAACTGCCGTTAAAAAAATATTTGACTGGTACTTTTAATGAATTGTCTTGATGGAAGATGTGTGAAGGTTCTTGTTTTAATGCATGTGCATGTTCGTAGGACGTAAACTCACCTCATCAGCAACTACAACGTTGTTCTGCAATCTCTTCTTTGTTGGAAGACGTATTTTTCCTTTTCTACAAAAAAATTTTTTTTATTAGTTTCTTAATAAATAGTTGTATTTAACCGGTGGAAGCAATAGTTATCAAAAAAACTCTGAATTTATAGTAAAGTAAAAGTCATCGCATAATAAAGCGATAAAGTACGAGAGGCTGTACTTTATCGTCTAATAATGAAAGAGTTTGGGGGCGTTGTTAGGCCCGATGTGCAGCAGAGGTCTGGCAACCCTCGAACAGTTACATTTTCGAAACTAAAGTACTGCCTCAATGACCTTATTGCTTTTATAATACGCTTACCAGCGAAATTAAAAATAGTAAGTAAATAGCTGCCTATCGGCACTAAATAGTGTTAGCCACCGAACGTTGTGTATCGCATTTCAATAGTCTGTCGAAAAATAGTCCCCATACTGACATGTTCTGTGAGCGAGGTTGCACATTAAGAGTTTGTCCTTAATGGAATTTTCCCCCCTTAAATTACTTTTACTTTTAAACTAAGTAGTTTTGAAACTAGTAATTTTACTTAAGTAAAAAGCTTGAGTTGATACGTATTTTTAAACCCTAGTACAGGGGTGCCCACACTTTTACGGCTCGCAAGCTACTTTTCGACTAACCAGCAGGGGCGGTTCTGCATTGACTGGCGCCCAGGGCGAGACCACCTTTGAGCGCCCCCCACCCCCAAGAAAAGAAAAGTTCACAAAATTCTGCAGTGATATTTTATTTTTTTATTTTAACATAAGTGAGAGAATTACATTAGAAAAACACAATTAACAGAATCAAATGACTCGACAAGCAACAGATTTCCCATCCCCCAACACTGTCAGTCACGACCAGAAGTCAAGACTAAACCAATTAACCTTGGTGACAGGTGACACATAATCGTTTTGTATTACCAATTTTTATTGGCCATTCCACACAATTCATAAAATGTGCAGGAACTATAGGCTTGCATTTATCATTATAGAAATGTGCGTTATTTGTAAGAAAGTCGGGGTGTGACTGACTTTAGCCCACTAATTACATTAGCGTATTTAACAGTGAATCCCCCGACCCCTGCCCCCCCTTATCCGCCCCTCCCTTTTCCCCTTCTCAAACAAACAGGCTGTGCCAAAAAGCAGGGTGCCTGCAGCCGCAGGGGGCGCCAATCTGCCGATTCCCCACACAGTGAAACGATAGATGATAGAAAACTGCTCGTGCCGCACCCCATGAGACATGAATAAATGCCACCCCGGGCGGCTGCCCGGTTCGCCCGTGCCCAGAACCGCCACTGCTAACCAGGTCATGGCGATGTACATTTGAGATCGACCTATTGGACATCTCTGCCCTAGAATCTATTATTCTACTTGAGTAATGAATGTGAATGAGAACGTCGGCATATTTAGCATCAAACAATACATTTTTTAATTATCCTGAGAAAGTTTTATGTACATTTTTTAATCGCTCTGTTCAGAGGTGGCATTCAGAATGTATTTACTTACAGAAAAACATGAACCGCTCCACAGGACAGTCACGTGAAAAAGAACGAACTTCACTTGCTGTTTCCCTCGTCACACTACACTAGCTGTCTCAAGAGTACAGCGCCTTCTAGTGGCTTTAGGTGTGAACATCATTTTCCCACTGAGCTACACACATATATTTATATATATATGACTCTGAAATGATATGTCACACATTAACTTTAATCAGTGATTGGCTAACTGCAACATATTGTGGTGGAGGTTTGACCGAACGCAAATGTTTACAATCAAGCAACTGCCCCGAAATCGGTACAGGGGGGATCCTGGCCAGAGCTTCTATAATGTACAAAGACATAGAATCAGTACTGACATGTACAGAGAGGGGTTTGTCACTATGGGGGACTTTCTAAGTCTAAGGAGATTTTACTATTTCACTCTTAGCAAAATGCAAAAGATGGAACTAACTTTGTTTTAAATTGTCTTTTAGCCAAATATCTTATTTTCAAAATTTGTTGGTAGTAGTTATTCCGGGTTTTGACATCTAGCTTGTTAAAAAAAAACATACCAAAATGCACACTGGCAACTTTCTCCGGTAAAGCATTTATACTTTGCAAACAATGCATGTTAAGTTCTGTTTTATTCTCTTCCTCTTTATTTAGATAGTTGAATAGTTTTGAAGAACAAGTGGGTTTGTATGTGGAAGTCATTTGTGTTACTGTGCTGGTTGCCGCTCGCCATGCAAATCTTTAAAGAGATCACCGGCCTGTTTGTCACTGAACCTTCCGTGCTGATAAAACCTTTAATCAGCTGCGTAAAATCAAGTATCAGTATTGCATTTACTGATCAAACCCCTCTTGACAGCTGAGAAGCTCATCAGGGTCTCACTCCCCTCCATCAAAGACATCTACAAAAAAACACTGAAGCATTCGGGCCCTCACGACCAGCCTGTGTACCAGCTTCTTCCCCCAAGCCATCAGACTCCTCAATACTCAGAGACTGGGTTGACACACACACACACACACACACACACACACACACACACACACACACACACACACACACACACACACACGTCCTGAGTTGCCCTTTATTAATTGTCACTTTATAACTGTCTGCTACCGCGAATAACTGCTATCCAATAGTATGTAATGTTCATGTTTTTAGAAACTGTCATCTTTTTGCACTATTGTGTACAGTATTTTACGGCACTTGTCTGCACGTGGATTGTATATAGTTATTTTATAACGGAATTTTGTTGTGTATCCCTGTGTTTGTCCTATGTTGTTTTTATGTAGCACCATGGTCCTGGAGGAATGTTGTCTCAATTTGTTCTGTGTTGTAATCACTGTATATGGTTGAACGACAATAAAAAACGACTTGACTTGACTCTTCATTTGATCAATAATCAGTGGAGAGAAGCTATATAAGTTGTTGTCGGCTGTTAAAAATGATAAACAATACAAACATCGGCAATCACAAAACAAACGTTTTTCCAGACATTTCCATCCTAACATTCAACATTTACTAGTTATTGGTTGAGTGTCGAGTGCCCCGTTTTTGTCAAATGGTGTTTTAACCAAATATGTTATTGCCCATTCTTCTGAGAAATTAGGAATGTTTGCTTTGTTTTGTTAATGTTTTAGTTTAAAAAAACAAAACTTTTTTATTCCTCCAGAAATACGAGAGAACAAACTGATCCAACACACTCTGACATTGGTGTCGACTTCTTTCTTAATGTGTGAACGTTGCCGCAACAGTCGAGCAATATTTCTATGACACTATTCTTTTCCTTCGATTTAGATTGAATATTAGCAATGTGTTATCTTTATCCTCGTCTTAGTTACCTTCTACTACCTTTAAAAACAATGCATATTGGGCTTTGTTTTACTCTCTTCCTCTTTATTTAGACAGACAACATATTTTCAAGAACAAGTGGGTTTGTATGTGGAAGTAATTTGTGTTATTGTGCTGGTTGCCACTCCCAATGGAACCACCCCACACTTCAATACTGATGAAACCTTTATTTAGCTGCGCAGAATCAAGCATCAGTGTTTTATATACTGATCAAGTCAGGAGTTTTCTATTTAAATTTGGAATGTGTTGTTTTTTTTCAAAAAAGTAAAGACATCGTATGCTGATCATCGTCATTGGCATTAAGGTAAGAACAAAATTTCAGAAAACAAATAGCGTCACATGTACATAATACTGTGCTGGAAGTTCGACCGAACGTAACATTTACAATCAAGCAACTGCACAGTCTTAGCTTAGCAAAAGCTAATAAATATTGTTAAACAACTTTGCATCTCTCTGTAGGCGCATCGACCTGACAGTAAGGCATTGCAGGTGCTGCCCAGCTTCTCCTGCTGTGCTGCCTCCTGCAAGGTAGAGTTTCACACATGTAACTGCTTTTAATGTGGTCTAATGAAAGTGCTCACAAACAGTGAAAAAATGAGTTTTTTTCGATTGTTTAATTTTTCCTTTTATCATTTATTGGGACATTTACTGAGCTACTTGATTTTTTTTTGTTAATGATCGCAGGAATTTATATTGGTGCAATTGTTTTATCAGGTGGTTTATGCCAGAACTGGGCGAGCTTCATGCCTCAGAGACTCGAGGGACTCAGTGGGTCCTGTTTGATGATCCCCTGCACTTTCAGCATTATCCCAACATTTGATCAATACCTGGATGATACCTGTGTAGCCATTTGGAACACAGGCGGGCCGTTTGGACAAACGGTGTTCAACTCTGGTCTCACTGGACAAAGTACAAACGGAAACACTCCGCAAGGAAACCTGACGGGAAACCTGCGTGCAAAGAATTGCACCACCGTCTTCCACAACATGTCGCCAAAAGATAAAAACACATATTACTTCAGAGTGCAGTGTAACAACAAGTTGAAGTACAGCTTTCCAACAAATGCCACCATCATCACCATCACAGGTTTGTGTAACACCCTGTTACTCTCACATATGTAAAACTGACATCCTCAGGTTTCTCTCTTGACATTTTCCTGTTGTTTTTTCACTCCTCAGATTCACTTCCTAAACCGGCCATAACTCCACCCCCGGTCGAGGTGGAGGAAGGAGATCCAGTGAGGTTGGAGTGCTCGGCTGTAGCTCCCTGCCCCCTTCTTCCCCCGGCTCTCACTTGGACCCCTGCTATCGGCGACGTTAAGGAGAACCAACAAAGTGCATCCGTGAGCTCCGTTCTGAACTTCACTGCTTCCCGCCTCCACAACGGACAGAGGTTACAGTGCTCTGCTCTCTACAGACGACAGGCTGGACACAGTGACCTTCAGTATGAAAATAATCTGACCCTCCGCATTCTTTGTGAGTACGATTCTGCTGCTCAAAATGTTCCGTTATATCTTGTTAATATAATATGACATGTAAAAAGCCCATCGTCTTTTCACATCTTCATTTCAGCTTGTTTCTGTTTACAACTGCAGACTCAATGAAATTATTTTTTTATTTTTCAAAGGATTTTCTCTGCCTCCTAAACTTGGACTAAGTCGTATTTGGGTTGTAAAGGCTTAAATCGCTTTTTTTTTCATTTCATGTGTCTTAAAGGCATATTTTCATATTATGGAGTATTTAATTTGGTGTTTAGCACTAGATGAGAAGATTCATACCTCTGTCATATCAGTCATGAATGAGAAGTTTGAGCAGCAGCTGGTTATCGTTGTCACAAGGAAACAAAATCCATCTACCAGCAGGTCTTGAGCTCAGTAGATTTGCTAAAATCCTCTTCCAGATCCTCCAAACAACACGTCAGTCAGCCACTCGGGTCCCGTGATAGAGGGCACCTCGGTCAACTTGACCTGCAACACCGACGCAAATCCGGCCGTGGACGAGTTCACCTGGTACAAAGTGGATGGAGGTCAGGTGGTGGCAGTGGGTTTCCACGCTCTGCTCTCCACTAATGTCTCAGAGACGGACAGCAGGTTCTTCTGCCAAGTCAGTAACAGATATGGAAGCCAGAACTCGTCCACCACTCAGATAGACGTACAGTGTGAGTCAGAGTGCGACAGAAACACAGATGGCAAATATCCACCGTCAACATGGACTGAACCCATACGTGTGCGTGCTTTTTTTGTACAGTTCCTCCCAAGGGAACCACAGTCATTGTCCAACCCGACGGTCCCATACTGGAGGGCGTCTCCATTTCCCTGCTCTGTAAGAGCCGTGCGAACCCCCCCGTGACCAACTACACCTGGTACAAAGATGATGAGGAGGAGGAGGAGCCTGGGTCGAGCTTGAAACTAGGCGCCGTGGACCCGAGCCACAGCGGTCTCTACCGCTGTAAGGCCAGAAACGATCTGGGGGAGGATCAGTCAGCAGCGATCCAGCTGGACATTCAGTGTGAGTTGATTTTCCACAGCAAAGACTTTGAATTACAAACAACACGAGTGTACGTTTCCAGTGGGTTCATGTGCTGAATGTAGATCTGCTGTTTACAAGTATTCTGAAGAATCACTCTGAGCTCACCAGTATTGATGTGAGGATCATTCATCGGTTGTTGAATTTAAACATTTATTGTTCCCAACAAGTTTGACCAAACATGCACGAAAAAGGCCAACTATCTTCTGTGTCTTAGTTGCTCCACAGATTCTGCCTTCTTCACGCTGTGTCAGCATTGGTTGCCTGATCCAATGTTACTGTAACAGCCAGGGGAACCCTCCTCCCTCCCTTTTTTGGGAACTGCCTGGGAAGGCTGTCGATCACTCTGTCATCCCAACCAGGGAAGTTCCCCTTGGGAGTTTGGTTATGTGGAGCCAAATCACCGTGAACTATTTGGACGAAGATGTGCTCTCTCTAGTCTGCCTTAGTAACAACTCTGTGGGCTCCGATCGCTTCGTATTCAGCGTGTCCTCCGCCAACACTAAGCCAGGATACAGAGATATGAGGATATTTTACTTTGTATAATAAGTCTCTCTCTGGTTTTACTGACTCATATGAATTGTGGGGACTTTTCAGGCTTTTCAGGCCTCCATCCTTTGTCTCTATTAATCGGCTCTTTGGTGGGAGCCATCGGGACGCTGCTGGTGTGTGGGCTCATGTTACTGTTCTTCTTCAGGTGAGAAACAGGAAAAGACAGCAGCTGATACTGTTGATGCTAAACTCTCCAAAGGTCATTTGGGGACAAAATGAGACAAATACTCATGAATCAATACCTGAGTTTGCTCAGCTGATTGCTGTTGCTTGTTTGTTTTTGTTGTAGACAAGGAAAAATACGTCTTTCAACAAAGAGGAGATCGCAGGACAACGTTGTAGTTGAGGTGAGTTTACATCCTACAAACACGCAGATGCATAAAAACAAGAACCTTCACACATCTTCCATCAAGGCAACTCATTAAAAGTACCAGTCAAACATTATATTAAGTACAACTGCAGTTGAAAGATTCAAGTGTCATGAAAAGTCAGAGTCAAAAAAATCTTAAATACATCTTAAATCATACTAAACTACAAAAATTTCATATAGTACTATGTTATTAAAATGGCATAATTTATTATGTCATAAAATGTAACGACAAACGACTATCCCCTCTTCTCCATTACTGAAGCAGCCCTCTTGTTTTCTTCTAGACCAGCTCATCAAAAGTCAGTGTGATTTATGACAACAAAGCCATTCTGGAAGAGAATGAGGAAGAATCTCTTCACTACGCCAGTCTGGACTTTGCTAAACTCAAGGATAATTCAAGGGGTGAGCTCGGGGAAGAGGAGGTCAGAGGCCTGGCCTCTAAGACGTCTGAGTATGCAGAGGTCCGTCTGTCCTCCAGAGGAAGCAATGGAGGACACACAAGGGAGGAAGAGACGGAGGCTGACGTCCATCAGGGGGAAGGGATGTTGTCATAGGAACAGGACTTTATCGTATCAGCAGAGCTGTGGAGATAGAAACCACACTGCAGGCCTCCTTATACAACGCGAGTAATGCCTCACACTCGCGGCTTCAAGCTTAGCTCTCAACTTTTTGCCACTTTATTTCATTATCTCGTGTCTCTTTGCTGAAAAATGCACAGCAGGAGAAGCATATCAATGAAAAACATTTAGTGTTCAACCATCCAACAGTAAATGCTGCGTATAAAGTCATTGCTGATGCTTTTCTACGTCATTCACTTCAATAGAGTCACATTTGTCATGTTACTGTTATTATAATACTAATAATAATGTATTTCATTTGTATAGGGCTTTTTCAAATGCTCAATGTCAGTTGATACAAAATATTAAATGTTTACATTTGATATTTCAATTCTAGCTTTTGTCTTAAAGCTCTGCTTAGTTATTAATTGAAACCTTTGATGAGAGCTACTTTTGGGAATGTTTTTTAAAGAACTCTAACATAAAAGCTGTTCCTTTGGAAAATATACAGGAGTATTTAACAGATTGTTTCCAGTATTTCAGAAACAAGCCTCAGTAACGTTTAAAGCCATGTCATGTTTTTTGGGTATGTAAATAAATATTCAAAATGGACCAATTTCCCATGCATTCTTTCTTTCATAATCCAGGATCCAGAACAAGTTTAATTTTGTTACTGTTTTGTACTTTACATAGCAACCTCTGCAAAGTCATAAAAAATTCTAATAATTGTATTATAATATGAACATGAACATGTAGTAGTGTATAATGCCGCAAAAATATACAGCTTTAGCATAACGCTAAAGTAAACTACAATATGTTGCACTATATGGAATGGTGAAAAAAATTATTAAAAAGGTCTTTGTATTTTCTGTGGTTAGTGTAGTATTTAAGAAAAGTCCGGTATAATATGTCAAAAAGTACGGTGGTCATCATTAGTGTTACGGTTTCAGAACCGCCACCTCCGCATTCCCGCTATGCATTGCGCAATCGTCACCCTGTCACTTAGACACTCAAGGCCTCATGTGTTTTCCATCCTGGTAACGAGCTGGCTGCGTGTGGACGCTGCACACCTGCATCCAGACGCTGCACACCTGCATCTAGTTTCCAATCCTCACCAGAGCTTTCAAGTACCCTGTTTTTCCCACCGCTACTCGCCAGATCTTCCAATAGAATCACCTGGCAAGTACCAAGAGAGCTAAGACCGACATTGTTGCTGTTCGTACCTTGTAGAACCTTTTTTCAGTGTTTTCTTCTGCAGTAATTCTGATTGCTTGTTTTTTGCCTCATCACATATCTGTAGAGATGAAAAAGTGAAGCTTTCCAGCCAATTGTATCGGAAAAAGGTTCATTCATTCAATGCATCGCAAACTCTACGGTGACCTCTGCCTTTGAAAACCTATAGTGCAAATGTATCGAATAGCCTACCAGTATATTTTGGCTCAGTCTCTGTGGGTTGAACATGATTATGAAAAGTTGAACCAATAAATCATCTAATAAATACATGGATTCCTATATGAATAAAACTATTGTTTTTCAGCTTTGAATTGTGTCCTTGTTTGTGTATTTCAATTCTCTGTACATTGGGAAGAAGTGGAACAAACACTTATCTATGTGTCTTTCTGCACCTTTGTGCCTGTATGTTTGTGATCATACTAGCAGAATAATGAATAGAAGATATATATATATATATGTATATATATATATATATATATGTGTATATATATATATATGTATATATGTATATATATATATATGTATATATATATATATATATATGTATATATATATATGTAAGTTATATGTAGGTAATATAATTTAAAATACCAGCAAGTGCTTCCTACTGCATGTGCAGTTCATGGCAGTCATAGGGACTTATGTGAATTGGTGGAATCTGGAATGTGGGAAGTGATTTATAGAGGAAAGGTCAGTGGGGCAGCGATTGTGCTTTTGGACGGGTTTCTTATGACAGGATATTGAGGTGATTGTGGACACATGGGATGAGGCATGAAATTATTATTGATTTTTATTGAGAAACACAACTTTCTCCACAGTATTGGGGTTGAGTCGGTTTATTTTTGTAGATACTGTTTCCCCTGCCTTAGAAAAAAGGCGCTCACACAGCACGGATGAGGCAGGAATGCTCATGAGATTACGTGCTAATACAAATAGATGTGGGTACACATGTTTGTGTTTAACCCAATATTTTAGCGGGTCTTCACTCCGTGGAATGTTTGATTCAGCCAAATATCTAGTGGTCTCCACAATAAAAATAAACATCCATAATCACACAATACAAATGACAGACTTTGCCTGCCTATTGCCAACCTTGTTCGTGGAAATCAAATTGAAGTGCTCCCACATCTCGGAGCAACCTCTCTTTGCCACAGGTTCCATTGTAAATTTGCTCTTTGCTACTACTACTACAACAACACTGACTTTGACTATCAAACCGACAAGCCCGAACCCTGTTTCCAGCCCATTGAATCAAATCGAAGCGGTCACGTGACTGTGCGCCGGAACGAAGCTTCAGACGTCACTGATCACGTGATCAGCAGCGAACAAACCAAGCACCGATACATTGCTTCGCCTTGCACTGGTTCATATTTCGACACAAGCTTCGAAGCAGGAGGGTCGGAGGTAACAACACTACAGATCTGCAGTTGCCTATCGCCAACCGTTACCACTCGTCTGGATTATTGTTTTGGCGACCAATTTACACACGCCGGGACGCTCACGACTCTTCCGGATCCAGATGTATAAATGTATAGTAAGAATAACTGGACTTTCAGACCATTAAAACGCCTAGCAGGGCATTAAGCTTTTCCTGTCTCCTGAGTGTTGCATTTGAGTTCAGAACACAACACAGCCCCAACAATTAGTGTGTTAATCTATGCAATTAATGTGGTAGAGATTAATGCAATAAAATATTTTAATGCAGTTAATGAAACTTTGTTTACTTCCACTCTTCCGGAATAAAACAAAATTGACCCCAGAAACCAATCCGCTGCTAGCTGCTGTCAGTTACAGTCGATCGGAGAGAGCGAGGCGGCAGCTAAACAGAGGGAGAGATCTTTTTGCTTTGGAAGGCAAACAAACAGAGGTGCGACATACGGCAGAGAACTGCAGGGGAATTCCTCCACGTGTCAAACAGAGTGGCAAATGGACCACTTAAAGCATCGCTATGCTAAGCTAGCTGATTCCATCTGACTTCCATCTCAACATGTAATGTTATCCTGCATGGCACACAGTCTGCAGAGGACCACCACCGTGTCCCTAAAGGACCGTGGTTTGAAATCCTTCTGGCTGAATGTGGAAAGAGTTGAATGAGAGTGGAGAGCAAAGTGCACCAGGACAGCAGGAAGAGTCGCTAGTTCAACATGTTCCACCTCCAAGATGATCACATTTGTGTAGTTTTGTGTAAAGTGTGTTGAGAAATTATCATAAAAAAGTCACGGATTAGTAGCCTATATTAGAATACACAGTATGTTGTAAGAGTCACAATATAGTATGTGAACAAATAAAGTCATGAAGAAGACACAATATTTTATGTCCAAGGAAAGTCATAAAGTCATTGACTTCTAAGTTAATAAAAGTTATACAAAAGCCACGGGAAAGCAAATAAAAAGGTCCATGAAAAGGTCCAGAATGGGCCAGTGTGTAAAGAAGAATCTTGGAAACCGATATGACAGTTCATGAAAAATAAATAATGGAAAGGTATTTTGAGAAATAAAACGGTATGAAAAAGTTGTTGTTTGTCAAAATAAATCACAAAAAAGTGTGTTACTTGTTTATTAATAATATTCTATTTGTTTTCCGTGTACATTGATATGTCCAAGTTTGTTTATAAAAAGAAGAGGCCGTTCTCTCTGCTAATAAGTTGGCGGTTATAGGAGCAGAATTCAAAACGTGTTATCAAATGGGACATAATGCATTATTCCATATTTATTATTATTCATAGTTATTTGTTTAGCATAATACATTTTTTTAAGGACTGGGAGATGTGTTCCTTAAGTAATTTTGATTGTAATGCAGGCTATATTCAATTAAAACTTTGTGGATACAGCGTTGTGATGCACAACACATACTTCTTCTTTTGTGATAACAAACAAAACAGATCTGTAGGACTTTTGACTTTTTCAGGGGGCTTTTGCTTGGGCAATTTAGCATTCAAATCTTCTTCCGCCTTTCCCTGTTTGCTTCTAGAAAAAACAAATAGCATCACGTCTACAACATACTGTGGTGGAAGTTTGACCCAACGCAACGTTTACAATCAAGCAACTCGAGTTTTATAACGCACAGAGACAAAGAGTCAATACTCACACGTACAGATGGGGTTTGTCAGTCTGTGAGACTTTCCATGGACTTTCAATGGATCTAATACAATTCATCCAAGTATCTTATTTTGTCTTAACTTATTTTCTAATTTCATTTGTAATAGTTAGTCAGGGTTCTGACATCTACGGTACTTTGTTCAGAAAAACATCCCAAAATGCACACTGGAAACTTTCTCCGGTAAAGCCTTTATACTTTGCAAACAAAGCATGTTTTATTCTCTTTATTTAGATAGTTAAATAGTTTTGAAGAACAAGATGGTTTGTATGTGGAGGTCATTTGTGTTACTGTGCTGGTTGCCACTCCCCATGCAAATCTTAAAGAGATTATTCAGACTCGCCACCGGTCTGTTTGTCACTGACCCTTCAATGCTGATAAAAACTTTTTTAGCTGCACAGAATCAAGTATCACTGTTGCATTTACGGATCAAGTCAGGAGTTTTCTCTTTAAATCTTGAAAACGTTGTATTTTTCCGAAAATACATCGTATGCTGATCACCGTTGTTGGCTTCATGGTAAGAATACAATTTCAGAAAACTGAAATGATTGAAAGCTGTAAAAATGTTTGTTCTTTCTTGTTAGTTGATCCAGTAGATCTGTATAAGAACTCAAGGAGGTCAAATCCAGTCTGCTAAAAGTGTCGCACTCGATTTGCATTCATCTAACATGCTAAATATAATTTATCAATTTTATGTCTTTTCTTTCCTATTTAACTTTTCAAATCATGTTATGACACGCAGTACAAAACGTCATTTGTTTTAACAAGTAACAGACAGAAACAAATATATAACTTGCAGTTGGTTGATGTGTTTAGTGGCGCCATATTGGTGGTAAATATCTCCCTGTTTGCCTCAGTGGAGAGAAGCTGTAAAAGTTATTCTCCGCTGTTAAACGTGATAAATGATGAATTAAGTTAGGGGGTTTGGGTTGCAGCCAGGGATTTTTTGATAACGTCTTCATCTTTGTGCGATAAACAAACACATTTTCTGCTTATAACAGTGTTTATTGTGCATCACCTTGCTGATATTGTGATGGTAAAACAGACATTAGAGATAAATAGATCTCCTTTGTGTGCAGCACAGCATCTCTCTGTAGGCGCATCGACCTGACAGGAAAGCATGACAGGTGCTGCCCAGCTTCTCCTGCTGTGCTGCCTCCTGCAAGGTAGAGTTTCACACATTTAACTGCTAATAATGTGGTCTTATGAAAGTGTTGACAAACAGTGAAAAAAATGTTTTGATTGTTTAATTTTTCATTTTAATCATTAATTGGGACATTTACTGTGCTACTTAATTTTTTTTGTTAAAGATTGCAGGAATTTATGTTGGTGCAATTGTTTTATCAGGTGGTTTATGCCAGAACTGGGCAAGCTTCATGCCTCAGAGCCTGGAGGGACTCAGTGGGTCCTGTTTGATGATCCCCTGCACTTTCAGCATTAACATTTCATTTGATCAATACCTGATTGATAACTGTGTAGCCATTTGGAACACAGGCGGGCCGTTTGGTCAAACGGTGTTCAACTCTGGTCTCACTGGACAAAGTACAAACGGAAACATTCTGCAAGGAAACCTGACGGGAAACCTGCGTGCAAAGAATTGCACCACCGTCTTCCACACTATGTTGCCACAAGATAAAAACACATATTACTTCAGAGTGCAGTGTAACAACAAGTTGAAGTACAGCTTTCCAACAAACGCCACCATCATCACCATCACAGGTTTGTGTAACACCCTGTTACTCTCACATATGTAAAACTGACATCCTCAGGTTTCTCTTTCTTGACATTTTCCTGTTGTTTTTTCACTCCTCAGATTCACTTCCTAAACCGGCCATAACTCCACCCCCGGTCGAGGTGGAGGAAGGAGATCCAGTGAGGTTGGAGTGCTCGGCTGTAGCTCCCTGCCCCCTTCTTCCCCCGGCTCTCACTTGGACCCCTGCTATCGGCGACGTTGAGGAGAACCAACAAAGTGCATCCGTGAGCTCCGTTCTGAACTTCACTGCTTCCCGCCTCTACAACGGACAGAGGTTACAGTGCTCTGCTTTCTACAGACGACAGGCTGGACACAGTGACCTTCAGTATGAAAATAATCTGACCCTCCGCATTCTTTGTGAGTACGATTCTGCTGCTTAATATGTTCCGTTATGTCTTATTCATATAAGATGACATTAAAATCCCATCGTCTTTTCACATCTTCATTTCAGCTTGTTGAAGTAAGATGCATTTGGGTTGTTGGGGATATTTTTATTTTATGGAGTATTTATTTTGTGTTTAGCACTAGATGAGAAGATTCATACCTCTGTCATATCAGTCATGAATAAGACGTTTGAGCAGCAGCTGGTTATCGTTGTCACAAGGAAACAAAATCCATCTACCAGCAGGTCTTGAGCTCAGTAGATTTGCTAAAATCCTCTTCCAGATCCTCCAAACAACACGTCGGTCAGCCACTCGGGTCCCGTGATAGAGGGCACCTCGGTCAACTTGACCTGCAACACTGACGCAAATCCGGCCGTGGACGAGTTCACCTGGTACAAAGTGGATGGAGGTCAGGTGGTGGCTGTGGGTTTCCACGCTTTGCTCTCCACTAATGTCTCAGAGGCGGACAGCAGGTTCTTCTGCCAAGTCAGTAACAGATATGGAAGCCAGAACTCGTCCACCACTCAGATAGACGTACAGTGTGAGTCAGAGTGCGACAGAAACACAGATGGCAAATATCCACCGTCAACATGGACTGAACCCAAACGTGTGCGTGCTTTTTTTGTACAGTTCCTCCCAAGGGAACCACAGTCATTGTCCAACCCGACGGTCCCATACTGGAGGGCGTCTCCGTTTCTCTGCTCTGTAAGAGCCGTGCGAACCCCCCCGTGACCAACTACACCTGGTACAAAGATGATGAGGAGGAGGAGGAGGAGCCTGGGTCGAGCTTGAATCTGGGGGCCGTGGACCCGAGCCACAGCGGTCTCTACCGCTGTAAGGCCAGAAACGATCTGGGGGAGGATCAGTCAGCAGCAATCCAGCTGGACATTCAGTGTGAGTTGATTTTCCACATGTTCCTAACCCGAGACTCAGTCAGTGTCTGGACCGTGGACAGTGACCTATCGTTGAGGTGCGTGACCAAACATCAAAGTCCCTTCTATGTCAGCAGTTCGGCAACTCAGAGCCTTGTTCCTCGCGTCTGCTGCTGTGGATTTTGTTCGGTTTTGTATTGAGATTTCGAGATGATGAAAATGTTCTCTCCCCCTTTGTTTTTCTCTACATGCTAAACATTTGGCTTATCGTTCCTATTGCATTGTAGAATCCATTAATAGTTCTCAACACGATGTATTTCCATTTAATTAACAAAAACCTCGGATGACTGACCTGGACCCTCTCCTTTCAGATCCCCCTAAGAACACCTCGGTGTCAGTCGACCCCTCTGGTCCGGTGCCGGATGGCAGCTCCGTCACTCTGACCTGCACCAGCGTCGCCAATCCAGCAGCAGCCAACTTCAGCTGGTTCAGAGTTGCCGGAGGAGAGAAGGAGCTGATAAGCTCGGAGCGAGACTTCACTTTCAATGTGACCAAACTCTCGCACAACCAGTACGTCTGTAAAGCTCTGAATGTCCACGGAGACGATGACTCAGAGCTCGTCAGTCTTGATGTCACATGTGAGGATCATTTATCTGTTGTTGAATTTAAACATTTATTGTTCCCAACAAGTTTGACCAAGCATGCACGAAAAGGCCAATTATCTTCTGTGTCTCAGTTGCTCCACAGATTCTGCCTTCTTCACGCTGTGTCAGCATTGGTTCCCTGATACGATGTGACTGTAACAGCCAGGGGAACCCTCCTCCCTCCCTTTTTTGGGAATTGTCTGGGAAGGCTGTCGATCACTCTGTCATCCCAACCAGGGAAGTTCCCCTTGGGAGTTTGGTTATGTGGAGCCAAATCACCGTGAACTATTTGGACGAAGACGTGCTCTCTCTAGTCTGCCTTAGTAACAACTCTGTGGGCTCCGATCGCTTCGTATTCAACGTGTCCTCCACCAACACTACGCCAGGTACAGAGATATGAGGATATTTTACTTTGTATAATCTGTATCTCTTGTATCTCTCTCTGGTTTTACTGACTCATTGTGGGGACTTTTCAGGCCTCTATCCTTTGTCTCTATTAATCGGCTCTTTGGTGGGAGCCATCGGGACGATGCTGGTGTGTGGGCTCATGTTACTGTTCTTCTTCAGGTGAGCAACAGGATAAGACAGCGGCTGATACTGTTGATGCTAAACTCTCCAAAGGTCATTCTGGGACAAAATGAGACAAATGCTTTTGTGAGGTTGTTGGCTTATAAATATCATTTGATAACTATTGCTTCCACCGGTTAAATACAACTATTTAATAAGAAACTAATAAAAAAAAAAAAAATTTTGTAGAAAAGGAAAAATACGTCTTCCAACAAAGAAGAGATCGCAGAACAACGTTGTAGTTGCTGATGAGGTGAGTTTACGTCCTACGAACATGCAGATGCATTAAAACAAGAACCTTCACACATCTTCCATCAAGACAATTCATTAAAAGTACCGGTCAAATATTTTTTTAACGGCAGTTAAAAGATAGTTGCTTAGAAAGGTCAGAGTAAAGTACTTACTATTTTTAATTTCGCTGGTAAGCGTATTATAAAAGCAATAAGGTCATTGAGGCATAACTTTAATTTCGAAAATGTAACTGTTCGAGGGTTGCCAGACCTCTGCTTCACATCGGGCCTAACAACGGCCCCGAACGGTTTCATTATTGGACGATAAAGTACAGCCTCTCGTACCTTATTGCTTAAGTAAACAACTTGCACTATTATTGCATACTAGCTTGATGAACTGCCTGTCTTTCCTCTCCCGTGGGGAACTGGTAGCCGGAACTAAACTAGGAAGTGTAATATAAAAAGAAAACATTGTTTTTAATGGAGGTTATGTAATCCAGCTGGATCTAAGTGTGTAGCGACTATCCCCTCTTCTCCATTACTGAAGCAGCCCTCTTGTTTTCTTCTAGACCAGCTCATCAAAAGTCAGTGTGATTTATGACAATAAAGCCATTCTGGAAGAGAATGAGGAAGAATCTCTTCACTACGCCAGTCTGGACTTTGCTAAACTCAAGGATAATTCAAGGGGTGAGCTCGGGGAAGAGGAGGTCAGAGGCCTGGCCTCTAAGACGTCTGAGTATGCTGAGGTCCGTCTGTCCTCCAGAGGAAGCAATTGAGGACACACAGGAAGGAGGAAGAGACGGAGGCTGACGTCCATCAGGGGGAAGGGATGTTGTCATAGGAACAGGACTTTATCGTATCAGCAGAGCTGTGGAGATAGAAACCACACTGCAGGCCTTCTTATGCAACTTAAGTAATGCCTCACACTCGCGGCTTCAAGCTTAGCTCTCAACTTTTGCCACTTTATTTCATTATCTCGTGTCTCTTTCCTAAAAAATGCACAGAAGAAGAACCGTAGAAATGAAAAACATTTAGTGTTCCACCATCCAACAGTAAATGCTGCCTGTAAAGTCACTGCTGATGCTTTTCTACGTCTCTCACTTCAATAGAGTCACATTTGTCATCCTACTGTTTACACATAATATATTTAGTTCTAGCCTTGGTCTTAGAGCTCGCTTGATTTATTAATTAAAACCTTTGAGAGTTTGTTACAACTTTTGGAAATGTCTTTGTAAACTCCATTAATAATTGTGCTTGTTTGTTAAACATAAAATCTGTTCTGTTGGCAGATATACAGGAGTATTTAACAGATTGTTTCAACAGTTTTTCATAAAGAAGCCTCAGTAACGCCATTTAAAGCCATGTCATCTTGTGGTGCTCACAAATTTGGGTATGTAAATAAATATTTAAAATATGAATAATTGCCCATGCATTCTTTCTTTCATGATCCAGTAGCTCATAACATTACCCACTTTCCTTCCAACTTTTTTGTACTTTAGATTGCAACCTCTGCAAAGTCATATAAAAGTAATAATATAGTATTTTGAAAAACATTATAATGTCCTAATTTTAATCCTTATGTTAATAAAAACTCAGAATTTATAGTAAAGTAAAAGTTATCGCATAATAAAGCAATAAAGTACGAGAGGCTGTACTTTATTGTCTAATAATGAAAGAGTTCGGGGGCGTTGTTAGCCAACTAACGGACTGACATGTTCTGTGAGCGAGGTTACACATTAAGAGTTTGTCCTTAATGGAATCCCCCCCCCCTTAAATTACTTTTACTTTTAAACTAAGTAGTTTTGAAACTAGTACTTTTACTTAAGTAAAAAGCTTGAGTTGATACGTATTTTTAAACCCTAGTACAGGGGTGCCCACACTTTTACTGTTTGCAAGCTACTTTTCGACTAACCAGGTCATGGCGATGTACCTTTGAGATCGACCTATTGGGCACCTCTGTCCTAGAATCTATTCTTCTACTGGAGTAATGAATGTGAACGAGAACGTCGGCATATTTAGCATCAAACAATACATTTTTTAATTATCCTGAGAAAGTTTTATGTACATTTTTTAATCGCTCTGTTCAGAGGTGGCATTCAGAATGTATTTACTTACAGAAAAACATGAACCGCTCCACAGGACAGTCACGTGAAAAAGAACGAACTTCACTTGCTGTTTCCCTCGTCACACTACGCTAGCTGTCTCAGGAGTACAGCGCCTTCTAGTGGCTTTAGGTGTGAACATCATTTTCCCACTGAGCTACACACATATATATATATATATATATGACTCTGAAATGATATGTCACACATTAACTTTAATCAGTGATTGGCTAACTGCAACATATTGTGGTGGAGGTTTGACCGAACGCAAATGTTTACAATCAAGCAACTGCCCCGAAATCGGTACAGGGGGGATCCTGGCCAGAGCTTCTATAATGTACAAAGACATAGAATCAGTACTGACATGTACAGAGAGGGGTTTGTCACTATGGGGGACTTTCTAAGTCTAAGGAGATTTTACTATTTCACTCTTGGCAAAATGCAAAAGATGGAACTAACTTTGTTTTAAATTGTCTTTTAGCCAAATATCTTATTTTCAAAATTTGTTGGTAGTAGTTATTCAGGGTTCTGACATCTAGCTTGTTAAAAAAAAAATACCAAAATGCACACTGGCAACTTTCTCCGGTAAAGCATTTATACTTTGCAAACAATGCATGTTAAGTTCTGTTTTATTCTCTTCCTCTTTATTTAGATAGTTGAATAGTTTTGAAGAACTGGGTTTGTTACAAAGTGGGTTTGTATGTGGAAGTCATTTGTGTTACTGTGCTGGTTGCCGCTCGCCATGCAAATCTTTAAAGAGATCACCGGTCTGTTTGTCACTGTCCATCAAAGACAGCTACAAAAAAACACTGAAGCATTCGGGCCCTCACGACCAGCCTGTGTACCAGCTTCTTCCCCCAAGCCATCAGACTCCTCAATACTCAGAGACTGGGTTGACACACACACACACACACACACACACACACACACACACACACACACACGTCCTGAGTTGCACTTTATTAATTGTCACTTTATAACTGTCTGCTACCGCGAATAACTGCTATCCAATAGTATGTAATGTTCATGTTTTTAGAAACTGTCATCTTTTTGCACTATTGTGTACAGTATTTTACGGCACTTGTCTGCACGTGGATTGTATATAGATATTTTATAAAGTTATTTAGATGTCTATGCCTGTGTTTGTCCTATGTTGTTTTTATGTAGCACCATGGTCCTGGAGGAATGTTGTCTCGTTTTGCTCTGTGTTGTAATCACTGTATATGGTTGAACGACAATAAAAAACGACTTGACTTGACTCTTCATTTGATCAATAATCAGTGGAGAGAAGCTATATAAGTTGTTGTCGGCTGTTAAAAATGATAAACAATACAAACATCGGCAATCACAAAACAAACGTTTTTCCAGACATTTCCATCCTAACATTCAAAATTTACTAGTTATTGGTTGAGTGTCGAGTGCCCCGTTTTTGTCAAATGGTGTTTTAACCAAATATGTTATTGCCCATTCTTCTGAGAAATTAGGAATGTTTGCTTTGTTTTGTTAATGTTTAAGTTTAAAAAAACAAAACTTTTTTTATTCCTCCAGAAAACGAAAACGAGAGAACAAACTGATCCAACACACTCTGACATTGGTGTCGACTTCTTTCTTAATGTGTGAACGTTGCCGCAACAGTCGAGCAATATTTCTATGACACTATTCTTTTCCTTCGATTTAGATTGAATATTAGCAATGTGTTATCTTTATCCTCGTCTTAGTTACCTTCTACTACCTTTAAAAACAATGCATATTGAGTTTTGTTTTTACTCTCTTCCTCTTTATTTGGACAGACAAAATATTTTCAAGAACAAGTGGGTTTGTATGTGGAAGTAATTTGTGTTATTGTGCTGGTTGCCACTCCCCATGGAACCACCCCACACTTTAATACTGATGAAACCTTTATTTAGCTGCGCAGAATCAAGTATCAGTGTTTTATATACTGATCAAGTCAGGAGTTTTCTATTTAAATTTGGAATGTGTTGTTTTTTTTCAAAAAAGTAAAGACATCGTATGCTGATCATCGTCATTGGCATTAAGGTAAGAACAAAATTTCAGAAAATTCAAATGATTGAAAGCTGTAAAAATGTTTGTTCTTTCTTGTTTGTTGATCCAGTAGATCTGTATAAGAACTCAAGGACGTACAATCTAATTTAAGTATTTTTATTATTATTAGTTTCATTTTAAAGTTGCACATTCTTTAAACATTTAACATTCACTAGATTTGAATGAATATAATTCTTATTCTTATATAATTCTTTTTCAGATCACGCTATGCAACACAGTACAAAAAAAGGCCGATCATTACAGAAAACTAAAATATAAATAGCAGTCCTGGTCAAGAGATAGTTGGTTTATGTGTTTAGTGGTGCCGTATTGTTAGACAATATCTCCGTTTGCCTCCTCAGTTGATCAATAATCAGTATAGAGAAGCTATAAAAGTTTTCTGCTGTTAAAATGATAAACAATACAAACACCAGGAATAACAAAACAAAAGTTGCAAGCAGGGATTGTTTGATAATCACACAAACAAAAAGAGTTTCTCAATTTCCAGTGTAAAAAAACCTTTATTGTGCATCACCTTGCTGATATTGTGATGGTAAAACAGACATTAGAGATGAATAGATCTCCTTTGTGTGCAGCACAGCATCTCTCTGTAGGCGCATCGACCTGACAGGAAAGCATGGCAGGTGCTGCCCAGCTTCTCCTGCTGTGCTGCCTCCTGCAAGGTAGAGTTTCACACATGTAACTGCTTTTAATGTGGTCTTATGAAAGTGTTCACAAATAGTGAAAAAAATGTTTTGATTGTTTAATTTTTCCTTTTAATCATTTATTGGGACATTTACTGTGCTACTTGATTTTTTTTGTTAAAGATTGCAGGAATTTATGTTGCTGCAATTGTTTTATCAGGTGGTTTATGCCAGAAATGGGCAAGCTTTATGCCTCAGAGCCTGGAGGGACTCAGTGGGTCCTGTGTGATGATCAACTGCACTTTCAGCATTGGCCTAGGATTTGATCCTTACCTGGATGATACCTGTGCAGCCATTTGGACAACAGGCGGGCCGTTTGGTCCAACAGTGTTCAACTCTGGTCTCACTGGACAAAGTACAAACGCAAACACTCTGCAAGGAAACCTGACGGGAAACCTGCGTGCAAAGAATTGCACCACCGTCTTCCACAACATGTCGCCAAAAGATGATAACACATATTACTTCGGAGTGCAGTGTAACAACCCTTTGAAGATCAGATTTCCAACAAACGCCACCATCATCACCATCACAGGTTTGTGTAACACCCTGTTACTCTCATATATGTAAAACTGACATCCTCAGGTTTCTCTCTCTTGACATTTCCCTGTTGTTTTTTCACTCCTCAGATTCACTTCCTAAACCGGCCATAACTCCACCCCCGGTCGAGGTGGAGGAAGGAGATCCAGTGAGGTTGGAGTGCTCGGCTGTAGCTCCCTGCCCCCTTCTTCCCCCGGCTCTCACTTGGACTCCTGCTATCGGCGACGTTAAGGAGAACCAACAAAGTGCATCCGTGAGCTCCGTTCTGAACTTCACTGCTACCCGCCTCCACAACGGACAGAGGTTACAGTGCTCTGCTCTCTACAGACGACAGGCTGGACACAGTGACCTTCAGTATGAAAATAATCTGACCCTCCGCATTCTTTGTGAGTACGATTCTGCTGCTTAAAATGTTCCGTTATGTCTTGTTTATATAATATGACATTTAAAAAGCCCATCATCTTTTCACATCTTCCATTCAGCTTGTTTCTGTTTACAACTGCAGACTCAATGAAATTATTTTTTTATTTTTCAAAGGATTTTCTCTGCCTCCTAAACTTGGAGTAAGACGTATTTGGGTTGAAAAGGCTTAAATCGCTTTTTTTATTCATTTCATGTGTCTTAAAGGCATATTTTCATATTATGGAATGTTTAATTTGGTGTTTAGTGCTAGATGAGAAGATTCATACAGGATCAGGAATCAGGAATCAGGAATCAGGAAACATTTATTTACCAAAATATGTCAAACATACAAGGACATTGTCTTATAGATTTGCTGTTCTGAAGCCAAGACTCAGTATCTGGACAGTATTGATGTGAGGTTTTGTTGGGATATGTTCATTATGTCCTCAGTTGTGGTGATGGTGTAGTACAGTGCTGATCTGTGTTGTGCATGAGCCACAAGGGGGCACTCGTTTGCATTGCTGTTTTGTTTTTCCCAAAATGTTTTGCCGTTTTATATGAAGAAGTAATGAAGGCCGTCTGACCGTGAGACTGATGTCTCAGCGGCAGCTCGTAAAGTAAATATGCCGAAGACGGCTCATCTGAATCGTCCGATCTTTTCCTCCGAATGCAACGTTAGCTGCAAGAATGCGAGTAACGCAACTCAACAGGTTTATTTATCCGTTGTTAAATTTAATTATTTAATTCTCCCAGTAAGTTTCACCAAACATGCACAAAAAAAGGCCAATTATCTTCTGTGTCTCAGTTGCTCCACAGATTCTGCCTTCTTCACGCTGTGTCAGCATTGGTTCCCTGATCCGGTGTGTTTGTAACAGCCAGGGGAACCCTCCTCCCTCCCTTTTTTGGGAATTGGCTGGGAAGGCTGTCGATCACTCTGTCATCCCAACCAGGGAAGTTCCCCTTGGGAGTTTGGTTATGTGGAGCCAAATCACCGTGAACTATTTGGACGAAGACGTGCTCTCTCTAGTCTGCCTTAGTAACAACTCTGTGGGCTCTGATCGCTTCGTATTCAGCGTGTCCTCCACCAACACTACGCCAGGTACAGAGATATGAGGATGTTTTATTTTGTATGATACGTCTCTCTCTGATTTTACTGACTCATATAAACTGTGGGGACTTTTCAGGCTTCCATCCTTTGTCTCTGTTCTTTGGCTCTTTGGTGGGAGCCATCGGGACGCTGCTGATGTGTTTACTATTCTTTTCAGGTGAGGTTAATGCTAAACCCTCCAAAGACACAAATTGGTGGTTGTTGTCACTTGGAGGCTGCTTTGAAATATCATTGCATAACCATTGCTGCCAACGTGAGACTTACTTAAATTACTCCACATAAACTATTGCTTATTTGTTTTGAAAAAAATAAAAATAAGCCTGGAAGCCTTCAATTATAAAAAGTTTCAGGCATAGCCATAGTATGCAGTAAAAACGTCATAGTGTAACATGCTGTAAACAACATACACTATTCTTGCATATTTTCTTGATGCACTGCCCGTCTTTCCTCTCCCGTGGGGATCTGGTAGCCGGAAGTAAACCAAGAAGTGTAATGTAAAAATAAACGGTTGTTTTAAATGGAGGTTTTGTAATCCAGCTGGGTCTAAGTGTGTAACGACTATCCCCTCCTCTCCATTACTGAAGCAGCCCTCTTGTTTTCTTCTAGACCAGCTCATCAAAAAAGCATGTGAGCTATGGAAATAAATAGGAATGAAAGAAGCAATAGAGGACACACAAGGGAGGAAGAGACGGAGGCTGACGTCCATCAGGGGGAAGGGATGTTGTCATAGGAACAGGACTTTATCGTATCAGCAGAGCTGTGGAGATAGAAACCACACTGCAGGCCTCCTTATACAACGTGAGTAATGCCTCACACTCGCGGCTTCAAGCTTAGCTCTCAACTTTTTGCCTTTTTATTTCATTATCTCGTGTCTCTTTGCTGAAAAATGCACAGAAGAAGCATAGAAATGAAAAACATTTAGTGTTTTACCATCCAACAGTAAACGCTGCCTGTAAAGTCACTGCTGATGCTTTTCTACGTCTCTCACTTCAATAGAGTCACATTTGTCATGCTACTGTTTACATTTATTATCTTTTGTCTTAGAGCTCACTTGAGTTATTAATTATCTGTATTCTTGAGGAGAGTCGTTTTTTTTCAACTTTTTGAAATGTTTTCTTCATTATTAATTGTGCTTGTTATGTTTAAATAACTTGTTTTAAATAGCTTGTTTCTTTCGAAACAAGCCTCGGTAACGTTTAAAGCCATTTCATCATGTGCTAATCACCAATTTGGGTATGTAAATAAATATTTAAAATATGAACTGCCCATGCATTCTTTCTTTCATGATCCAGTATTCAGAACAAATTGAATTTGGACATTCATATTTAAGTTGCCACAGCTTAAAATGTAGCTCATAACAGTAAACACTTTTATACCTGTTTTATACTTTTGTACTCTTCAAATTTTCTATGTAGTAGTATAGAATATTGAAAAAATGTTTAACCCCCAAAATCCAATTACAGGACCTCAAAGTACGTTTTGAAAAGACTTAATAGCGTGTTGATAAAAACTCAAAGAATTCATAGTAAAGGTGAAAGTCATAGTGTGGCATAACAATAAAGTAAACTACAGCATGTTGAAAACCATTAAAAGCCAATGTATGGCATATTGAAAAAAACTCACATAGTATTTAAAAGAAGTCTGGTATAGTATGTCAAAAAAGTAATGAAGACATTTGGGTGAAGTGTGTTTATAAATAGTCATAAAAAAAAGTCACAAAAAGGGACTTTAATAGTCAAAAAACGGTCTTCAAAAACAAAACTCCAAAAGGGCAAAAACGAAGTCATAGAACAGGAGTCAGGAACAAGAACATGGGCTTCTGACATCCACCAACTAACATGGCACAATTAACATGGAACAATGACGCGACGAGTGACAACAGACACACATGGTTTAAATACACTAGGGTGCAGGTGCAGGTGATTGGAAACAGCTGGAAACAATCATGACAATCACAGGGGATGACAGGACAAGGCAGGAAGTGATGTGACCCAGGGAGAACAGAGGCAAGACACTACAAAATAAAACTAGACATGAACCCAAACCGGGACAACTATTTTCTTTTAAAAAGAAAGAAAAACCCAAAACGTGTGTGACTTTTTTTATCAATCATTTTGTTTGTTCTCTACATATATATTGACATGTCTGAGCTTGTTCATAAAAAAAGAGGACATTCTCTGATACGTTGGCGGTTATACAAGAGCAGAATTGAAAGCATGTTATGAAATGGGACATCATGCACACATGTCATGAACATATCAACATTTAAAAGTATGTAATTTTCCCACACCTTCTTTTACAAAGCAGGAGTTTGAACAAAAATGTATTTTTATTTGGTTACAAACATTTATAATGTAGGTGCCACATGTTTGGTTTAAGCTCAGGTTTCGTTCCATCATTCAACAACTGGCTGCACCTGGAAAGTACCGCCGCAGCATCTCAGCCATCTCACACTTTGACCTCAGAGTACTGCGTCTCGTCTCCCTCGGAGCTGCTGGAGTGCCAGCCGCCTCCCCCTCGTCCGGGCTTCGCCGTGAAGGTCACCTGAGAGTAGTGGACCTCCACCTCCTCCTCGCTGGTGTCCGTGTCGTAGCTCCGTGGATCTGAATCTCCGGCCATGTGGGCGCAGCTTGCGTTCTCGTAGTCCTCCTCCCTTTCCTCACTCTAGAGGAACAGAGGTGGTTGCCAGATTATTTAAGTCATAGCGTCTTCTTCTTTTGTGATAACACACAAAAAAAAATCCGGTTCCTTGAATTCTGACCTTTTCAGGCGGCTTTTGCTTGGACACTTTAGCATACACATCTTCTCCCGCCTTTGCATGTTGGTTTCTAGAAACACAAATACCATCATGTGCATAACGTACCACATAAATTTGCCATGTTTTAAACCTTTCTTTGTCATTCTCACATTTTTCCAAAGTGCACAGAGGCGTAGTTAAGGGAATCCTCCAGTGTGTTCCCACCTTTCTCTGTGATTGTGTTTAGTGCAGGAGGACCCTGAGCAAAGACACACAGAGGTGGAATGAATCGGGTTATTCACGCCTCCAACAACAAGCTTTCGGCCCTCTGCTCCTTCAGGGCTCCACTTTACTACAGAATACAGACAGGACAGAGCTACTTTGAAACATCTCTGAAATACAATTACACCAAGGGTGGAGGCTGATTATATCCTAGAAAATGTCCTGTTCTTTTGCTGGTGTGGCAGTATGCAGTGATTGGTCTTAATGACTTTCAGCTGGGTCTGGATGACAGCCAATCGCTGCATGATAATACGGCGTAAAGGCGGCTTCAGAGCACCTGTCTGCATTTCACTTGCCAGAGGCTGCGGTTACGACACATCCTGGCGTCTTTCACGCTGCTCCGTGTGGTGACAGGTAGGCTGTCGGCAGCAGCTGTATTCGCTCCCACGTTGTCCGTCCAGTGCTCATTTAAGTGCGTTTGTGTCCTAGAAGCTCACTGGTATGGCTGCGTACTAATCTCCACCTGATGCACTCAATGTCCATGCTGGTGATTCTCGTGGTAGCGTCAATCCCTCCGACCCATGTTGATTGGCTGAAGCGTCCTGACCGGTATGTAGCGCAGTGGCTTTAGCTCCCTCCTCCAACCATAGTAAGGCTTTAATGTCTGTTTTCCTCTGCAGGGCAAGGATCATTGAGCATCAGCTCTACACCCGTTAGACCACTGCTGCTTTGCCTTTTGGCTAAATTAACCTGCCTTGCCTTACCTTGGCTAAATTAACTGTTATTCTAGTTTGCCTTTTGCTAAACCCACCTTGTTTGGGTCTGCTTTGTCGTTGGCCTCCCCACATTGCTCGTTTTTGAGTTTCGCTGTGGGCCTCCTACTGGGTCAAGACACATTTTAACTGTGTACGAGAGACCGGCTGTACTTTGTTATTTGTCTTGTCAATTTGTTCTTTTGATTTTGTTAAGCTTTGGTTTAGCAGTTTGTTTTATTATAGTTTTTGGTTAATGGTAATTTCCTCTTTCTGTTTTGGTTTAGTTTCTTTTATTTTAAACCTGTTTCTCTCATCTCTCCCTATTCAGGTGCTGAGTCTGCGGTGGTGGATTGGTGTCCCAGGTGGTGGTGTCGCTCTTATGTTTTTGCATGTTGTTGGAGTTTGCTTCACTTTTAGTTTCCCGTGTGGTGCTCCTTGGGTCCCCTTTTCTTTGAACCGTCCATCGTGAGTCTCAGCCCTGATTGGTTCCCCCGTTGCTTGTCCCAGAGTGAAGAGGTTTTTAAATAGTAAATTAATTTGATAAAATTACATTGTCTTGAACTACGTCTCTGCATCATTTGAACCGAACCGGAGTGCCTCCCCTTAGTTTTGTTTGGGTGAAGATTTAAAACAATTCCCTGGGTGGCGTTGTCTGGCAACATTATAATATTTAAACTGCCCTCACCTTTACATCATGCCTCGTGTCGCTACACTGGCTCTTCAAAAAATATTTTCTACTCGGGCTGTTTTTAGCCACTGATCCGGCAGCCATTATAACTTCTCTGGAACCACTTTGTCTAATCCGGTCTTTTAACGAGATAATTGATCAGATTGAAGAGCTTTTGTCAAATACAAATAACCACTTATTCATTCTCTAGGTCGTCGACAAAAAACGTTACTCAACATATTGTTCTGGCGGTGAATTGCTCTGCGACAGGCGCAACCCGGGCAGAGAATTTGCACGTTTAACCGCTCGTTTGAATTTGCTTGTTAGAACTGAGTAGCCGCACGTGGAGAAGAGCGCCACTCAGAGGCCAAAACGTATAAATCTGGCGATGACGCTGGACGAGATGTTTGGCTTTAGTCCAAAAACAACAGATTAAACCGTTAAAGATCCTCTGACTTAAAAGAAGCTCCTCCCAGAACCACAAAGGACACTATGACAATTACATACTTCCTATTTATAAAGCATGATATCCTGTTGCTTTTTGAAATTGTGATTCCTTTTTTCAGTACATTCATGTGTTGCTGTCGTGAAGCTTTGACAGCTTGACTCACGGGTTGTCCCGAGGGCTCGTTCACCGTGCAGTAAATGCTGTGGATGTTGGCTGCAGGTCTGCAGAACAACAAAGGCCAACATGAATGAAAAGGTGCAGTGACAAATGACAGGGACGACGGTTAAGCTGCCAGTCGTGTCTGAAGGCTCTTAAATGGATGCTCTGTCAGTGTGTGTGAGGCTGCTTACGTGCTGTCTGGATGAGACTTGCATCGTGGGGCCTTTGGACGGTCCGGCCAGAGGTCATCCTCTGCACCGCGGCCGTTCGTCCGATTCCTCTCGCTGCTGTTCCACCAGCGCTGAATGGGTTTCCCACTGAACACACAAAAAGAGGGAGGTCACTTCTATTCTTGATCTGATACGTAACTGAGTGGAAATCAGCACCAGTGAGTCATCACCAGAAAACCGAAAGTGTTTGTAGCTGCTTGTTCACTTGATCGCTTCCTCTTTTGTCTGAAAACACAAAGGGACAAGAGTGAATGTTTGCATCAAATTACACATGACAAATCATCCACTGCATGTAATTGTGTTCGTACTCCACCTATAGACAACGACAATCAAGAAAATGGTGAGTAGAAAGAGTATAAACAGGATGATCAACACGGTCTTCAAGACGTTTCCTGTGGTTAAAAGAGACAGAACATTAGAAAGGTGTGAAAAGAAGCACAGTTTCAAACGGCCGTGATTTAATCATTGGAGGAAACAACACACTTCCTTGAGATTCACTCACGCTCAAACAGATGGACGGGGCTGGACGCTCTCTGATGTATGTCGTTCGTTGCGACGCAGTAGTAGGATCCCGGTTGGTCTGAATACACCGTGTAGTTCTGATGGTCGCTGATGGACACCTTTTTATTCGCTGCCTTGTGGTTCTCCTTGTACCACAAGTACTGCGTGATCGGCGGGTAGCTGTGGCTGCTGCAGCTCAGCGTCACAGAACTTGTGCCGTCGGCCCCCCAATGCTCCGTCTCTGTGATCTTTGTCAGCTTCGGGGCATCTGAGGATCAATATGTTATGTTTTTATAGAACATAACAAGCTTCTGTGTGTGGAATGTGAAAATGTCCCTTTGCCGTCTTCCAGTGGGAGTTTCACATAAAGACACTTGAAGGGCCCACACCCTTTGACATTAGCCACAACGACAGCAGCACACTCACACTTGATTCTAAGCTCGGTTTGCGGTGAGTTTCCGGTTCCCACGTCGTTGCTCGCTTCACAGCTGTACTGTCCGCTGTCGGAAGGGCCGACCGACTTCAGGGAGAAGGTCTGCGTCTTCCCGAGGATCTCGGTCGCGCCATCGCTCATCTTCCTCCAGGTGACAGAGGTCACCGGTGGGTCGGACCGGGCGCTGCACTCCAGAGTCAACGGCTCCTTCTCCTCCACGACGAGGGAAGGCCGAGCGATTACGCTCACGTCTTTGGGACTATCTGCATTCACCAGAATTAAGAGGAAGGGAGAGAAGTAGTAGATAGATGATATAGTTATCTGCTATCAGTAATCCTTCCATAATACACATACTTCCACTGCTGTAAAATACGATTCATTCCCAAATGCAATGACTCATAGACCAAGTTGATGTACATTTAAATTCATTGTATTTTAAACTACTTCATATACTGTTGCAGTTTATCTATAACGGCCGGTTTTCTCATTCAATCCTTTTTGTATGAAAACTTGTGTACTCAAAATATCTAAAGTGCTTCGTACGAGCTGGCACTTAATGGACGGAATAGAAAATAAAGATCTACATTTTACATTCTAAATCAAGTTTCCTTTGGAACAAGTTTCTTTTGCTCACATTTCACCTCCAGCTTCTTCCGTTCGCTGGTCATTGAGCCTTCGGTGTTGGTGGCGTCGCAGGTGTAGAAGCCAGCGTGGGTGGAAGTGACGTGAAACGTGTGGTAGAGATTGTTGGGCCGCCGGTCACTACCAGGATGAGTGAAAAGCACCTTTGAAGACGGAGGATTTGACTCTGAGGTTAGTGTCAAGGTGAGCTTTGAGGGCGGGGAGCTTTCAACGCTGCAGCTGATGGAGACCAGCTGACCTTCCCTGACCTCGGTCTTCATGGATAGCGATGGACTGCTGGGAGCATCTGCAGAGAGAAAACATCTATGTTCTTCAGAAGGTTTCATTCATTGTTTAACATCATAGTACGTTAGCATCTCTGAAGTTCACCAATCAACGAGGGGGATATTTTTTAATGTATTTAGCATACAAACTCATTCGTGACATTTTGCTACTTTAACAGGGGTAAATGCCTGATTTTGGTCTTCCCTTGTTGCCTGGCAACTGCTCGCCATAAGAAGTGTTTTTGTTGTTAAATCATAAAAGTGTTGCAATGTCTGAGCTTTAGAAGTGCTGGGAGGTGAAATCAGTGCGTTAGCCACGTTGTCATTCCCACGCTCAGCTAACTGCTGAAGTTTTTTAATCATTTTATATTTCAATATTCATTGTACAGGCACGCGAGTTTACTACAAGTTTTCATTTCCTTCAGAAAAATAACAATTTACCGTTAAAATATACATTTAAAAGATAGACAATGAATTGAGGTGATAACTTTCGGGCGATTGATCGAGTCCTTTTGGACGTAAACGCTGATTTTCTAATGATCACACTTGACGTAAAAATGAATAATAACAGAAACTAATCAGAGTGACATAATTACTTACAGAGCACTTCTATGCACACTGGCTCGCTTTGCTTCCCTGTATTGATGAAGTTGGTTGCTTTGCACGTGTAACAACCTTGATCTGTTCTCTCTACTGTGACCAGCGTTCGTTTGTTATCTCTGGTTGTCTCGTACTTCCACCGTGAGGAGTCAATCTCCATGATTTTGTTGTCTCGGTACCAGGAGTATCCAAGCGGGGAGGGATTGGCCTCAGTCTGACAATAAAATGTCAGAGATTTACCAACTCCCACACGTTTATCATCTTCACTGATGGAAATGGTTTGTCCTCCTTGGGCCATCTGAAAGAAAGAATGAAATATCATAATGCTTTCTACGGCGATGGAGGCTGTGGATTTGCTTCCTTTTTTCCTATCATCAACTCTTTGACATCCCTGCAGCAAAAGGAGCTGTGAAACTCACGTTGAACTTTGACCCTAAAGGGCACCGATGTTCCTTCGCCTCGGACGTTAATGGCCGAGCATTTGTAATCGCCTGCGTCCTCAGGCTGGATGCTCTGGACGACGTACCGCTCCGTCCTCTCCTCGCTGAGGGCTTTCTTGTTCTTGATCCAGGTGAAAGTGTGAGGTAGCGGGTTGCTTCTCCTCACACGACATGTCAAAGTCATCACATCTCCTTGTCTAACTGTGGCAGTAGGGGACATGGACACCTCAACCTCGGGCCGGTCTGAAACACAAGATTGAATTCTTTCTTCATTCTAATTGGCAGCAATTATTCAGCAAAATAATAATGATAATATACTCACATGTAACGTTAATGTTGACAGGGTCTGATTTCATTGTCCCCAGTTTGTTTGTAGCTTCACAATGGTATTCCCCACTCTGTGACTCTACAATCAACGTGATCTTATGTTCGGCCCCTCTTCCAATTTCTTTATTTTCATTTCCGAACCATGTGAAGTTGGGATCTGGACGTCCGTTGGCGACGCATTTCAGAGTCACAGATCCTCCCTCCACAACATCTGCAGGGTGTTTTTCAGCCTGTGTGTCTCTGGGAGCATCTGTGTCAACCAATACAATACAAGCAAAAGAGAAATCCGTCAACTTGTTGCTCACTCACAGAAATGAAATATGATAAACTGTTTATTTAGTACAAAAGATGCATCAAAGGTAGCTGCTCCAAAATGTTCTCATTCGTTTTTGCTACTATAAAGTACTGAAAACATAAAGACCTTAAAGAATCCTTAAAGAAGGAGCATTTACAAGTAAAAGCCATTAAGTGAAAGTACAAAAGTGTAAATGTAAATATACAAAATGTAAATAAAGTAGAAAATGCAGCAAATATGCAGAATGGGTGATTTTAATGATGTATCACTCATTTGATTAAGCCTGATTATTTTACTATATATTTATTTGGCTTACTTAATTGCACCAACAAATCATTTTCACTCTCATCTAAGTTGCTGTCGATCACTGGTAAAGCAGACATAGATAGACTCCATTTATAAACTTACATTCCACAGTTAAGCTGATATTTCGAATCAAATATCTGTCGCTGTCATCTGTCTGGCAGGAAAACTCCTCTCCGTCATGCTGCCAGTTAACAGTAAAACTGAGCGAGGTGCTCTTCTGATTTCTGCTCTCCTGTGGATGCGTTAGGTGTGAAGTCGGAGACCGTGGACTCGAACTTTTGATTACTGGGTTTAAACCACATGAACTCAAAGTGGAGCAAGTGAGCGTTGCTGTGTCGTTTTCCTTGAAGACGGGCGGTTGCTGAAAAGTGATCAGGCATGGATTGTCTGGAAAAATAAGAAGGACAATATCAGAAGAAATGTCGTGGCGAATTACTTCTGTTCACTATTTCTGTTCTAAAGAGGAATTAATTACCATTCGTTACTGAGGTGATCAGTTAGTAAAGCATGTGAGTAGCGCTTCAGTTAAAAGCTTTGGAGTGATAAATACATTTAATGCTCAGTTAAAACTTTGAGTCTTCCGAGTTAAAAAAAGCTGCATAAACATTATATTTTCTCATTCTTTGCTGTTATATTGTTGTAAAATTTTCACTTAACTTTTAACACCACGACCAATTATCTTTTAAGAATATTCAAAAATGTAAACTTGACTTCAACCAACTCAAACATTTCTGCTTCCAGACCAGCTCATCTCTTACTGATTAATTAATTTCTATGTATTTTCTTAAAGTATATTTCAGTATTACCTTTAACATGTAGCATCACTGGGTCGGTGTACCACTTTCCTTCCCCATCAAATCTAAAGAAATATTTTCCAATGTCGGACTTTTTCAAGTTGCAGAGTAAAATACTGCTCTTTTTTGAGATTGTAAGATAACCTCCTGAAGCTGGTAAAAGAGAACTGATTTCTTTCACTCTGTCAGCAAAGTCTGTGCTGACAGGAATGAGTGACTTATTCATGCTGTAGACGACGGTGCCAATCAAAACTGTTTCATTCCACACTACGTCCTTTATCCAAAACCAGTGAGCACCAGCAGCTTTTACTCTTCCATTGACTCTGCAGCTGATTTCAACGCAGGATCCCTCTTTAGCTGTCAGGGACGTGGTGACCAGTTCGAAGAGGGTTCTTTCACTACAAGAAACATCTGTGATGGTCAAAACACAAGTGGTAAAGTCAATTTAAGTGATTTACAATTGTTAATAACAATCTTGTTAAAGTTTACATTGTTATCAAACTGGAGTAATACATTCCTACTTTTCAATATTGCCAGAACCACCAACCACCAAACCGAGTGAGCTTTCATTGTTGCGGCACTAAAGCTTGACGTCTGAAACACAAAAACAAAACAAAGGCATTTGTGCACATTATAACACCGTAGAACTGACTCTATTTTTAATCTGGCCTTTCTGCCCAGTATGCTTTTAGTCATTTGTCAAGACAAGCCAAGAGAGTGTAGAGACACTAGCCGTGGGACAAAGGTCTCATGAGTGTGTGTGTGTGTGTGTGTGTGTGTGTGTGTGTGTGTGTGTGTGTGTGTGTGTGTGTGTGTGTGGACGATAGAAGAGGAAGCGGGGAGAAAGAACTGATCAGAATGGGCCAGTTAGGTCAGCATCAACATACCAGATAGCGGGAAAACGTCAGGATAGTAAGTTACGCAGTGTATTATTGACGCATTGCGTGTATTGAACGAGGGAACAAGCATCAACATACCGGATAAGGGGGGCTGGTGAAGGACAAGGGGGAGAATAGTGGGACAATCACATCACTTTTACTTCGTCATAAACCAGCATTACCCTGTCCTAAAGTCTTTGCTTTCCCTCCCCACAGGTTTCTATCTGATGGTGGTTCTATCTGATTGTGGTTCTATCTGAGGGTGGTGGTCCCTACAGTGGTCCTGCCGAGCTTCTGGCTTACTACTCGCAATTATTTGAATAATTTCTGTTATATGAATTGAATGTATTATACATCTTTTACATTGTTCATTCTGTACACATGACATCCATTGTAGTCCATCCCGGGAGTGGGATTCCTCCTCTGACCTTCTCCCCCGTAAGGTTTTCTTCCCTTTTTTTTGGAAGGGTTTTTCATCTTTGGGGGAGTTTTTTTTCTCTGCAGATGTGAGGGATGTTGCATGTGGCAAATTTGTCATTTGCGATTTTGGGATGTAGAAAATTAAGTAGGTGGAGGTGTAATAAAGGCTAAGTAGTTTTATTGAGGCCTTTTCCCGCACGAGGCCGCGGCGTTACTCAAAAACGGCGTAAGGAATTCATTAAAATCCGTATTTGTACCGTTTTTGAATATATTTGATTTAGACTAACACAGCGTGATAAAATAGGGGGAGGGGGGTGTAAAAGAGAGAAAGTGGTACCTTGAAGCTGCGGATTGTCTTTTTTGTTGTCTAAACGATAAGGTTCGGTGATGTTTAAGGGAGGTGATCAATAATCCACAAAGGGGGGCAACCGTTGTCCCATAGAACATTACAACCAAGCACAGAATCAAACATACATCGGTGAACGCGGTGCGGCAGGTTTCTGTGTGTGGGAGCGGAGACTCGTTGTCGTGGTTTTTACGCATTATTGAGACATGTTGAGAAGTGAAAATCACACATTTAAGGCTCGCGGTGTTTTTCCCACCGGTCGTCTTGTCATACAAAGTCAAACGCTGCGGTTCTCCAAAAACGGGAGGTGTGAAAGACACTATTAAAGAACCCTGTGGATTCCGGCCAACTTGAGGACGTTTCTCGCGCGCGCACACTTTTTTGGGAAGACGCGTCGGAGGGATCGGAAAGGTGTCGCCGGAGACGCCGCTCCCTCATTCACAGATCGGCTTTTAAGGGGCCAAAACCGAGCGGGCCATAGCGGACGCGTCGGGCGCGGACGGCTGAAGCTGTGTGGCCGGCGTTACCACTTGTGACGGGGTTGCGCGTCGCGGTGCTTCCTACCGAGGGCGGTAGGTTCTATAGAACCGAGGGCGGTAGACTGGGGATACACTTTCGACGTGTCATGGTCGGATAACGGGGGTGGCCGCAATGCCTCCCGCGTTCTAGTAGAGTGACGCAGAGAAATGCAGCGGGTGTTGCTCTCATTCATGACGAAGAGGCATAAGAGGCCGTAAGGGTGGTGGCCAGAGGAGGGCAGCGTTGAGGCCAAAAGCCCTGGAGGCGGTGGAGAGTTATTTGAAGCAGAAGGTTAAGAGACATAACGAAGAAAAGGGGTCATATCTGACTGAAAAAAATGCAGCAGGCCCGAGATCCTCCTTGTGGCAAAACTTTGCCGGTCGTCGGTAACTCCGTGGCGCCAAAACGAGTTGATTGTCCGGTCGACGGGTGCGCGAGGATTTTCATGCGACATGCGCACAGTCTCACAGTGCGACCCCGGTGGACTGATGAGGGATAGCAGCTATTTATAATATATAATATATTGGCGGGCAAGCTGTAATAGCAATTAAATATATATCCTGCGGGCCAAAGAGCTCTTCACCTATGTTTTTCCCTATCTGTCTCCACAGTCTACTTTTTTTTTTGTTTCTTCATTTTATCTAAGTTTGATTTTTCTGGTATATCCATCCATCTTCAACCGCTTATCCGGGGTCGGGTCGCGGGGGCAACAGCTCCAGCAGGGGACCCCAAACTTCCCTTTCCCGGGCCACATCTACCAGCTCTGACTGGGGGATCCCAAGGCGTTCCCAGGCCAGTGCAGAGATATAATCTCTCCACCTAGTCCTGGGTCTTCCCCGGGGCCTCTTCCCAGCTGGCCGTGCCTGAAACACCTCCCTAGGGAGGCGCCCAGGGGGCATCCTCACCAGATGCCCAAACCACCTCAACTGGCTCCTTTCGACGCAAAGGAGCAGCGGCTCTACTCCGAGCTCCTCGCGAATGGCTGAGCTTCTCACCCTATCCCTAAGGGAGACGCCAGCCACTCTCCTGAGGAAACCCATTTCGGCCGCTTGTACCCGTGACCTAGTTCTTTCGGTCATGACCCATCCTTCATGACCATAGGTGAGGGTAGGAACGAAGATTGACCGGTAGATCGAGAGCTTTGCCTCTCACTCGTGAACAAGACCCCGAGGTACTTGAACTCCTTCACTTGGGGTAAGGACACATTCCCTACCTGGAGTAGGCAATCCATCGGTTTCCTGCTGAGAACCATGGCCTCAGATTTAGAGGTGCTAATCCTCATCCCGACCGCTTCACACTCGACTGCGAAACGCTCCAGTGAGAGTTGGAGGTCACAGACGGAAGATGCCATCAGGACCACATCATCTGCAAAAAGCAGCGATGAGATCCGCAGCCCCCCGAACTGTAGACCCTCCTCCCCCCGACTACGCCTCGATATCCTGTCCATGAAGACCACAAACAAGATTGGTGACAAGGCGCAGCCCTGGCGAAGGCCAACCCCCACCGGAAACGCCTTCGACTTACTGCCGAGCACCCGAACACAGCTCTCGCTTTGGGCGTACAAGGATTGGATGGCCCCAAGCAAGGACCCCCTCACCCCGTACTCCCGCAGCACCTCCCACAGTATCTCTCAGGGGACCCGGTCATACGCCTTCTCCAAGTCCACAAAACACATGTAGACTGGTTGAGCATACTCCCAAGCCCCCTCTATGATCCTGGAAAGAGTGAAGAGCTGGTCCGTTGTTCCACGACCAGGACGAAAACCGCATTGTTCCTCTTCAATCCTTGGTTCGACTATCGGCCGAACCCTCCTTTCCAGCACCTTAGAGTAAACTTTACCCGGGAGGCTGAGTAGTGTGATACCCCTGTAATTGGCACACACTCTCTGGTCCCCCTTTTTGAAGAGGGGTACCACCACCCCGATCTGCCACTCTTTTGGCACTGTCCCAGACTTCCACGCAATGTTGAAGAGGCGTGTCATCCAAGACAACCCCCCAACACCCATCGCTTTTAGCATCTCTGGACGGATCTCATCAATCCCCGGGGCTTTGCCACTGCGGAGTTGTTTGACTACCTCAGTGACTTCCACCAGGCCAATTGACGATGATCCCTCCTCCGCCTCCAGCTCCGCCTCCACCAAAGAGGGCGTAGTAGTTGGGTTCAGGAGTTCCTCAAAGTGTATTGTTTTCTGGTATAATGAAATAATAAATAACAAAAATACATTTTTCCATTTTATTATAATTTAAAAGCATTTTTTGTGTGCCAGCAGTAGTCAGTAGAAATCATCAGTCAGGCGTCAGGACTGTGGGGCCTCACTCACTACTCAGTGGCTCCTCAGTGGCAACGCTAGTGTGTTGATGAAAACTCAAAGTCATTGTCTGTCAATAAAAGTTATACAAAAGTCATCAAAAGGTCTATGAAAAAGTATGGTATGGCACAGTATAAGCATGGTATGGCACAGTATGGCAAAAAGAATCATGGAAAAGTGATACCATAGTATATATAAAATAATAAAACAAAATCCTAGTATTAGGGAAATAAAGAATAAAAAAGTTGTGAAATTGTTTGTTGAAATAAATCACCAAACAGATTGTAACTTTTTTTTATTCATACATTTGTTTTCTGTATACATCGATATGTCTGAGTTTGTTCATAAAAAAGAAGACATTCTCTGATACGTTGGCGGTTAAGAGCAGAATTGAAAGCGTGTTATGAAATGGGACATCATGCACATTACCAGGGCGCTGTTCCTCGTACGGGGCTAACTGAGTTAGCCGGATAGTTTTGAGGATGAGATGACGTAGATCAGGCTTTTCGGTTCCCCGAAGCAGGTTTGTCGAAATCACCATAGCAACACATCGAAAAACTTTAACTTGTTTCGGCGCAGGTTCATCTGAGCTAGTGGATTAGTTCATCACTCCCCCGGAAAAATGGGCAGCCGACTTCCTCATTGATGAAGACAGTCTGCTTCGGGGCAGACAAACTAAAAATATAGATCAAAACACCATTCAACTGATGTCTAAAAGGTAAGATTAACTTTTTATAGGGAGAGACTTCTCCGAGATCACAAAGACCCGTTTAGATTTCCCCGAGCCGAAACGTTACGTGATGAACACCACACGCTGCAGCCGAACATCGACTGTCCCGCAGACTGTCTCCCACTGTCTTTCATACTCTCTCTCATCAGGAATCAGGAAACATTTATTGCCAAAATATGTCAAACATACAAGGAATTTGTCTTGGCGGTTGGTGCGTGACAGTAGACAGTGTAACAATAGACAAGACAGCAGTGCACAAGTAATAAAATAAAATGAAATGCTAATGCAATAGGTTAGTAGAATAAGGATATGGGTTAGTATACAATAAGAGAATAAAGTTAAAGTTAAAAATTAAAATTTTTCAAAAAGTTACAAAATATTTAAAAAATAAAGTTGTCTCATACACTGTCTCTCATACTGTCCTGTCTCTACGGTGTTGCGATGCAGAGAACATCTGGAAAGCCGCTGTATGTCGTGCTCTTCGTAAAGTTCTGTTGGTTTATTTGTCGCTTAATAAACTTCTGAATGTTCCGCATTTCACTGCTTCAATTGATCAAATGTCTGATTATGAACAATGGATATATAATGACTCTCCCTTACACATTCACACACATATATTAAAACTCCTAGTTCTAGATGGTCATCTTCACATACCATTATCATTATTGTCATTGGATGATGCTCGATCCATGAAGCCTCCTGCAAGCAGCCACATTTAAAGAAATATAATCTGATTGATTAGAGTGACGAGGCACTCAATTGAGCCTATGCATTTCACCAACACGCACATAACGTTAACTTGTCTGCAAAAAGTGGGGCGGTGTCAGTTTTTGCCATGATTATGTGATTAATTAAATATTATTTTGCGTCGCACAATATCGCAAATTTGCCTCAGAGGTCTTTACAGTGTGTACACATGTGACATCCTCTGTCCAGAAACCCTAACATCAACACAGGAAAAACTCCCCAAACACTGAAAAGGTATTTGATGGGGAGAATAAAGGGAAGAAACCTTTAGAGAGACACAGGTCGATCCTCCCTGGGACGGACAGACTGCAAAGGACGTACAGAATGAACAACGTAATACATTAAATTCATCCGACAGAAATGATTCAAATGAACATTATAAGTGTTCATGATCATTTCCTGCCCGTCAGAGGAGAAAAAAAAACGCTCTTCTTTTAAGTTTATTTGCCGTTATACTGTTAAAAAATCCTGGTTTTTGTGTTCGACTCTTCCGCCTTCTAACTTAGGACGCGCACGATCTGGTTCAAACTAACAAGACGGTTTGACCGTCGACCCGCCTTCGAGGAACCGAGATGTTGATCTGTCAATCATCTCGGTAATTTGAGCTGGATAATCGGACATTTGATTGACTTAGTTGAAGAAAGTACGAGAAACAGGGCCCAGATTTATATATTTTCAAAAACAAGCATTAATAACGGAACTGCTGCACACCATTAATGCCATGTCATCCTGTACTGTTCACAAATGTCATAAACATGTCAACAATTAAAAGTATGTTAATTTGCCCACATCTTCTTTCTTTTACAAAGCAGTTTGAACAAAAATGTTTTTTTATTTGCTAATAAACATTTATAATGTAGGTGCCACATGTTTCGTTCCATCATTCAACAACTGGCTGCACCTGGAAAGTACCGCCGCAGCATCTCAGCCATCTCACACTTTGACCTCAGAGTACTGCGTTTCGTCTCCCTCGGAGCTGCTGGAGTACCAGCCGCCTCCCCCTCGTCCGGGCTTCGCCGCGAAGGTCACCTGAGAGTAGTGGACCTCCACCTCCTCCTCGCTGGAGTCCGTGTCGTAGCTCCATGGATCTGGATCTCTGGCCAGGTGGGCGGAGCTGGCGTTCTCGTAGTCCTCCTGCCTTTCCTCGCTCTAGAGGAACAACAGAGATGGTCGCCAGAATATTTCAGTCATAGCTTATCTGGACTTTATGGAAGGAAAACATTACAATCAAATCAACACACATTTAATGCTTGTGAGAACTTGGAAATGTATTCCTTAAGTAACTGCTCTCCTCGCGGTCTCAAAGCAACTCTCTCCTTTGTCCTCATCCTTCTGGACTTTTCCACTGCATTTGACACAGTAAACCATAAGATCCTTATCTCCTCCCTTCAGGAACTTGGTGTCTCAGGCTCTGCTCTCTCCCTTCTCTCATCCTACTTTGATGGCCGGACCTACCGAGGAACCTCGGCATCACACTCAACAGCCGACTCTCCCTGACTCCCAACATCACTGCAACAACACGATCCTGTAGATAGGCGCTCTACAACATCAGGAGATTACGTCCCCTTCTCACTCAGAAGGCAGCGAAGGTACTGATTCAGGCTCTTGTCATCTCACGCCTGGACTATTGTAACTCCCTCCTGGCAGGTCTCCCCGCTACCGCTATTCGACCTCTGCATCTCATCCAGAATGCAGCAGCTCGACTGGTCTTTAACCCTCCTATGTTCTCCCACACTACTCCACTCCTCCGCTCTCTTCACTGGCTACCGGTGGCTGCCCGCATCCAGTTCAAAACATTGGTGCTCACATATCATGCTGTGAATGGATCGGGTGCATATTACATCCAGGACATGGTCAAACTCTACATACCGACCCGCACTCTCCGCTCTGCATCTACCAAACTGCTCGTTTCTCCTTCAATGAGAGCAAAACACTCGACAAAATCACAACTCTTTGCTGTCCTTGCTCCGAAATTGTGGAACCAGCTCTCTGATGATATCAGGACCGCAGAGAGGCTTCACATCTTCAGCCGCAAACTAAAAACACACCTCTTCAGACTCTACCTCGCCTAAAAGACTAAAAAGATTGTAGGACTTAAATTGTACTTATAATGGCTCTTATCTATAGTAAGTTGTAGATCGGCTTATTTGAGGAAATTGCCCTTTCTTTTGTGGTGTATTCTTGGTTAAATGCACTTATTGTAAGTCGCTTTGAATAAAAGCGTCAGTTGACATGTAATGTAATGTCATTTTGATAGTAAGAAGGAATTTATTCAATTAAAACTTTGTGGACACAGAGACGCAATGCACACCAAATAGTTCTTCTTTTGTGATAACGGACCAAAAACATCCGGTTCCTTGGATTCTGACCTTTTTAGGTGGCTTTTGCTTGGACACTTTAGCATACACATCTTCTCCCGCCTTTGCCCGTTGGTTTCTAGAAATACAAATACCATCATGTGCATAACGTACCACATATATTTGCCATGTATTAAATCCTTTCTTTGTCATTCTCACATTTTTCCAAAGTGCACAGAGGCGTAGTTGAGGGAATCCTCCGGTGTGTTCACACCTTTCTCTGTGATTCCGTTTAGTGCAGGAGGACCCTGAGCAGAGACACACAGAGGTGGAATATATTGTATCCTAGAAAAATTGCTTGGTATGTTTTGTGGGTGCAATTTTTATCCACAGCCTTTAATCTTTTGCTGGCTCTTTAAAAAAAATGTTCTACTCTGAGGCTGTTTGTGTGTAACTTGTGTGGAACCACAAGTTACACAGATCTATCAATCTAAAAAAACGTGAAGAAAGATCTTGTACTCGGACTTAAAAGAAGCTCCTCCAGGAACGACAAAGGACGTGATGACAAGTCCGTACTTCCTATTTATAAAGTACGATATCCTGTACCTTTTTGAAATTGTGATTCGTATTTTCAGTACTTTAATGTGTTGCTGTCTTGAAGCTTTGACAGCTTGACTCACGTGTTGTCCCGAGGGCTCGTTCACCGTGCAGTAAATGCTGTGGATGTTGGCTGCAGGTCTGCAGAACAACAAAGGCCAACATGAATGAAAAGGTGCAGTGACAAATGACAGGGACGACGGTTATGCTGCCAGTCGTGTCTGAAGGCTCTTAAATGGATGCTCTGTCAGTGTGTGTGAGGCTGCTTACGTGCTGTCTGGATGAGACTTGCATCGTGGGGCCTTTGGACGGTCCGGCCAGAGGTCATCCTCTGCACCGCGGCAGTTCGTCCGATTCCTCTCGCTGCTGTTCCACCAGCGCTGAATGGGTTCCCACTGACACACAAAAAGAGGGATGTCACTTCTATTCTTCTACGTTCTGTTACATAACAGAGTGGAAAAACACAAATGAGTCATCACCAGAAAACCGAAAGTGTTTGTAGCTGCTTGTTCACTTGATCGCTTCCTCTTTTGTCTGAAAACACAAAGGGACAAGAGTGAATGTTTGCACCAAATTACACATGACAAATCATCCACTGCATGTAATTGTGTTCGTACTCCACCTATAGACAACGACAATCAAGAAAATGGTGAGTAGAAAGACTATAAACAGGATGATCAACACGGTCTTCAAGACGTTTCCTGTGGTTAAAAGAGACAGAACATTAGAAAGGTGTGAAAAGAAGCACAGTTTCAAACGGCCGTGATTTAATCATTGGAGGAAACAACACACTTCCTTGAGATTCACTCACGCTCAAACAGATGGACGGGGCTGGACGCTCTCTGATGTATGTCGTTCGTTGCGACGCAGTAGTAGGATCCCGGTTGGTCTGAATACACCGTGTAGTTCTGATGGTCGCTGATGGACACCTTTTTATTCGCTGCCTTGTGGTTCTCCTTGTACCACAAGTACTGCGTGATCGGCGGGTAGCTGTGGCTGCTGCAGCTCAGCGTCACAGAACTTGTGCCGTCGGCCCCCCAATGCTCCGTCTCTGTGATCTTTGTCAGCTTCGGGGCATCTGAGGATCAATATGTTCTTGTTTTTATAGAACATAACAAGCTTCTGTGTGTGGAATGTGAAAATGTCCCTTTGCCGTCTTCCAGTGGGAGTTTCACAGAGACACACTTGAAGGGCCCACACCCTTTGACATTAGCCACAACGACAGCAGCACACTCACACTTGATTCTAAGCTCGGTTTGCGGTGAGTTTCCGGTTCCCACGTCGTTGCTCGCTTCACAGCTGTACAGTCCGCTGTCGGAAGGGCCGACCGACTTCAGGGAGAAGGTCTGCATCTTCCCGAGGATCTCGGTCGCGCCATCGCTCATCTTCCTCCAGGTGACGGAGGTCACCGGTGGGTCGGACCGGGCGCTGCACTCCAGAGTCAACGGCTCCTTCTCCTCCACGACGAGGGAAGGCCGAGCGATTACGCTCACGTCTTTGGGACTATCTGCATTCACCAGAATTAAGAGGAAGGGAGAGAAGTAGTAGATAGATGATATAGTTATCTGCTATCAGTAATCCTTCCATAATACACATACTTCCACTGCTGTAAAATACGATTCATTCCCAAATGCAATGACTCATAGACCAAGTTGATGTACATTTAAATTCATTGTATTTTAAACTACTTCATATACTGTTGCAGTTTATCTATAACGGCCGGTTTTCTCATTCAATCCTTTTTGTATGAAAACTTGTGTACTCAAAATATCTAAAGTGCTTCGTACGAGCTGGCACTTAATGGACAGAAAAGAAAATAAAGATCTACATTTTACATTCTAAATCAAGTTTCCTTTGGAACAAGTTTCTTTTGCTCACATTTCACCTCCAGCTTCTTCCGTTCGCTGGTCATTGAGCCTTCGGTGTTGGTGGCGTCGCAGGTGTAGAAGCCAGCGTGGGTGGAAGTGACGTGAAACGTGTGGTAGAGATTGTTGGGCCGTCGGTCACTACCAGGATGAGTGAAAAGCACCTTTGAAGACGGAGGATTTGACTCTGAGGTTAGTGTCAAGGTGAGCTTTGAGGGCGGGGAGCTTTCAACGCTGCAGCTGATGGAGACCAGCTGACCTTCCCTGACCTCGGTCTTCATGGATAGCGATGGACTGCTGGGAGCATCTGCAGAGAGAAAACATCTATGTTCTTCAGAAGGTTTCATTCATTGTTTAACATCATAGTACGTTAGCATCTCTGAAGTTCACCAATCAACGAGGGGGATATTTTTTAATGTATTTAGCATACAAACTCATTCGTGACATTTTGCTACTTTAACAGGGGTAAATGCCTGATTTTGGTCTTCCCTTGTTGCCTGGCAACTGCTCGCCATAAGAAGTGTTTTTGTTGGTAAATCATAAAAGTGTTGCAATGTCTGAGCTTTAGAAGTGCTGGGAGGTGGAATCAGTGCGTTAGCCACGTTGTCATTCCCACGCTCAGCTAACTGCTGAAGTTTTTTAATCATTTTATATTTCAATATTCATTGTACAGGCACGCGAGTTTACTACAAGTTTTCATTTCCTTCAGAAAAATAACAATTTACCGTTAAAATATACATTTAAAAGATAGACAATGAATTGAGGTGATGACTTTCGGGCGATTGATCGAGTCCTTTGGACGTAAACGCTGATTTTCTAATGATCACACTTGACGTAAAAATGAAAAATAATAATAACAGAAACTAATCAGAGTGACATAATTACTTACAGAGCACTTCTATGCACACTGGCTCGCTTTGCTTCCCTGTATTGATGAAGTTGGTTGCTTTGCACGTGTAACAACCTTCATCTGTTCTCTCTACTGTGACCAGCGTTAGTTTGTTATCTCTGGTTGTCTCATACTTCCACCGTGAGGAGTCAATCTCCATGATTTCATTGTCTCGGTACCAGGAGTATCCAAGCGGGGAGGGATTGGCCTCAGTCTGACAATAAAATGTCAGAGATTTACCAACTCCCACACGTTCATCATCTTCACTGATGGAAATGTTTGTCCTCCTCGGGCCATCTGAAAGAAAGAATGAAATTATGATTAGGAAATAATAATAATAATAAAGCCTGCTTTCTACGGCGATGGAGGCGGTATATTCACTTCCTCACTCCACTTCAACAACAACATTTGTAGAGCTCTCAGAGCTGTGGTTGGCTGGATGCTCTGGACGACGTACCGCTCCGTCCTCTCCTCGCTGAGGGCTTTCTCATCCTTAAACCAGGTGAAAGTGTGAGGTACCGGGTTGTTTCTCCTCACACGACATGTCAAAGTCATCGCATCTCCTTGTCTAACTGTGGCAGTAGGGGACATGGACACCTCAACCTCGGGCCGGTCTGAAACACAAGATTGAATCCTTTCTTCATTCTAATTGGCAGCAGTTATTCTGTAAAATAATAATGATAATATACTCACATGTAACGTTAATGTTGACAGGGTTTGATTTCATTGTCCCCAGTTTGTTTGTAGCTTCACAATGGTATTCCCCACTCTGTGACTCTACAATCAACGTGATCTTATGTTCGGCCCCTCTTCCAATTTCTTTATTTTCATTTCCGAACCATGTGAAGTTGGGATCTGGACGTCCGTTGGCGACGCATTTGAGAGTCACAGATCCTCCCTCCACAACATCTGCAGGGTGTTTTTCAGCCTGTGTGTCTCTGGGAGCATCTGTGTCAACCAATACAATACAAGCAAAAGAGAAATCCGTCAACTTGTTGCTCACTCACAGAAATGAAATATGATAAACTGTTTATTTAGTACAAAAGATGCATCAAAGGTAGCTGCTCCAAAATGTTCTCATTCGTTTTTGCTACTATAAAGTACTGAAAACATAAAGACCTTAAAGAATCCTTAAAGAAGGAGCATTTACAAGTAAAAGCCATTAAGTGAAAGTACAAAAGTGTTAACATCAAAATGTAAATAAAGTAGAAAATGCAGCAAATATGCAGAATGGGTGATTTTAATGATGTATCACTCATTTGATTAAGCCTGATTATTTTACTATATATTTATTTGGCTTACTTAATTGCACCAACAAATCATTTTCACTCTCATCTAAGTTGCTGTCGATCACTGGTAAAGCAGACATAGATAGACTCCATTTATAAACTTACATTCCACAGTTAAGCTGATATTTCGAATCAAATATCTGTCGCTGTCATCTGTCTGGCAGGAAAACTCCTCTCCGTCATGCTGCCAGTTAACAGTAAAACTGAGCGAGGTGCTCTTCTGATTTCTGCTCTCCTGTGGATGCGTTAGGTGTGAAGTCGGAGACCGTGGACTCGAACTTTTGATTACTGGGTTTAAACCACATGAACTCAAAGTGGAGCAAGTGAGCGTTGCTGTGTCGTTTTCCTTGAAGACGGGCGGTTGCTGAAAAGTGATCAGGCATGGATTGTCTGGAAAAATAAGAAGGACAATATCAGAAGAAATGTCGTGGCGAATTACTTCTGTTCACTATTTCTGTTCTAAAGAGGAATTAATTACCATTCGTTACTGAGGTGATCAGTTAGTAAAGCATGTGAGTAGCGCTTCAGTTAAAAGCTTTGGAGTGATAAATACATTTAATGCTCAGTTAAAACTTTGAGTCTTCCGAGTTAAAAAAAGCTGCATAAACATTATATTTTCTCATTCTTTGCTGTTATATTGTTGTAAAATTTTCACTTAACTTTTAACACCACGACCAATTATCTTTTAAGAATATTCAAAAATGTAAACTTGACTTCAACCAACTCAAACATTTCTGCTTCCAGACCAGCTCATCTCTTACTGATTAATTAATTTCTATGTATTTTCTTAAAGTATATTTCAGTATTACCTTTAACATGTAGTATCACTGGGTCGGTGTACCACTTTCCTTCCCCATCAAATCTAAAGAAATATTTTCCAATGTCGGACTTTTTCAAGTTGCAGAGTAAAATACTGCTCTTTTTTGAGATTGTAAGATAACCTCCTGAAGCTGGTAAAAGAGAACTGATTTCTTTCACTCTGTCAGCAAAGTCTGTGCTGACAGGAATGAGTGACTTATTCATGCTGTAGACGACGGTGCCAATCAAAACTGTTTCATTCCACACTACGTCCTTTATCCAAAACCAGTGAGCACCAGCAGCTTTTACTCTTCCATTGACTCTGCAGCTGATTTCAACGCAGGATCCCTCTTTAGCTGTCAGGGACGTGGTGACCAGTTCGAAGAGGGTTCTTTCACTACAAGAAACATCTGTGATGGTCAAAACACAAGTGGTAAAGTCAATTTAAGTGATTTACAATTGTTAATAACAATCTTGTTAAAGTTTACATTGTTATCAAACTGGAGTAATACATTCCTACTTTTAATATTGCCAGGATCGACCAACCACCAAACTGAGTGAGCTTTCATTGTGCGCACTAAAGCTTGACG